CAAAGAAAAATCCAGGTGAAAGAAACCTAATGTGAAACATGCAGTTTGAGCACACATTGTAACTTCTTGCTGGGGAGTTTATGAGGATGCATAAATTTGATTTAAAATGTGTTGCTGTGCAGCAAATGTTCATCAATGAATATGAGCATTTACATTGAAAAAATGAGAGGGAGGATATACATTTTGTATATGGTGCACCATCTCTCGCTCTCTGTATGTATGTATATATAAAAACACTGCAGAGAGTAAAATTACTGACAGTCCACCATTGTACAAATGTAGAAATTAATTTCACTGAAACAATAATGTGGTGCCAAGCATAGAAAAATCTGCACTTTGAAAAATACCCGTGTACATGTGGACGTAGCCTGAGAGCCGATACTGATGGAGCCATATTAGAACAAGTCTTGAAAAACTAGATCTATTGTAGAAATACTTTTTTGAGAAAAGCAGGGAGCTGAAACTTTGCACACATCCTATTGGGATTTTTTTTCTTCTTTTTCCTTTATAGTTACACATAAAATGTTTTTATTTAAATATGTTATATGTTCAAAAATTAAATTTCAACATCTTTTTTTTTTTTTTTCTTTTTTTTCCCAGCTCTTCCAGTCTCTCTCCATCTCATGTGAATCTCCAGACTTGCCAACAGGCGCTGTTGTTCGTCCTAAACATTCGGTGGAAACCGTGACCGAATGTCTGACTCAGCTGAGAGATGACATGAAGAAGCTTCTGGAGACCACATGGCCCAAGATCTCTGCAACAGGTACCTGAGAGAAATATCCATCCACTTGATTCCACTTAATTCAGTATTATTCATTTATTTTGTTCCTATCAGTTTTTGGTATAAAAGTTGTGCTGCCACCTGTGCCAAAGACCAGAGAAGAGTTTTTGTGCTGTAAGTATATCAGTATATCAAAGCAGTAATCACTTACTAAATACTAGAAGGCTGATGATATTCTTGGTTTGCTTGTCCATCAGATCACTGTCCTCTAACAGTGGATCCCAACTCGGTCAACAAATACTTGGACCTTTCACAAGATTCTCAACGAGTGACGAGTGGCTACTATGAGCATTTTCATTTATCTCACTCGGACAGGTTTGGAGGTGTGAAGCAGGTGCTGTGCAAAGAGGGTTTAACAGGGCGGTGCTATTGGGAGGTCAGTTGGAGTGGTGGCGCCTGGTCAGTGGCAGCGTCTTACAAAAACATCAGCCGGACATCATTCGACTCAGAATTTGGGAAGAATGACAAGTCCTGGTGTTTGGAGTGCTCTGCAAAAGGATATACTTTCAGACATAATTTAGTAGCAAAGGCGGTGTCAGGTCCTCGTACCTCTCAGATTGGCGTGTACCTGGATTACAGGTCAGGTACTCTGTCGTTTTACAGCATCTCTGACATCATGACTCTGCTTCACAAAGTGTGCACAGTATTCACTCAGCCTCTCTATCCTGGCCTTGGGCTGAAGGAAGGAAGCTCTGGCTGTTATGCAGAAGTGAAGAAGTTGTGATGCCAACTTTTTCACCTCTACCATGTTGATTAATGTCTTTCAAGACCTAAAATAAGCAGTGAAGAAACCTGTGAGTGACTCGAATGACTCACACTGTTTGGATGTTGAAAGGCGTGACTCTAGGTGCTCTATCCTCACCAGGCAGGTGTAGAGTTGTGGTTCTAGATTAGAACATTGGAGAAATAAAATCACTGCTAAGTAAATGTAAGAGTTTGTTGCTTTAAGTAATATCATTACCCCGGGTTTGTTTTTGTTTTGCTTTTTTTTTTTTTTTTTTTTTTTTTTTAAAAGTGACTTTGAACGGTCACTTTATAAGCTACATGCACCTAATTGTCTTTGTTCTGTTTTGTCTTTAATGCCTCGGGGAAAAAGAAGTGTTACATTTGTGTTGGTGTATGGTATAAAATATAACTGCTAAAGAAAACATCTGTCTGAGACTTTTTAATGTCAGAATTAAAATATTCACAATAAAGAGCAGTAATTCAGTGTCTCAGATTTTGGCAAAACACACAACCATGTCGGAGCAAGCGGCGGCGCTACCGGCAGCAGCAGCGACACCTGGCCCGGTTATGGCAGTGCCACCAGCGGCTACTTTCACCATCAAGCCACCGGAACTGTTCGACTTCGCAAAGCCCAAGGGATGGGAGAAGTGGATCAGACGTTTCGAGCAAGTAATCTGAACAGTTCAACAGATGCTAACCAAGTGAACACATTAGTTTACTGCATGGGAGACGAGGCTGACGACGTGCTAAGGGGACTTGACCTAACAGACGGGCAGTGCCAGTAGTACGATGCGATCAGAAACGCATTTGATAGACATTTTGTCCCCAGAAAGAAAGTGATCTATGAAAGAGCAAGGTTTAATAAGCGAGTACAACAGCCAGCAGAAACAGTTGACTCCTTCATAACAGCTCTATATGCTCTCGCTGAAAACTGTGAATATGGTGAACTTCAGGATGAACTTTTGAGGGATAGGCCCGTTGTGGGTCTTAAAGATTCATCACTGTCGGAGAGAATGGAGCTCAACAAAGATTTGACCCTAACCAAAGCTATCACAATGACGAGACAATCTGAGGAAATAAAAAGACAGCAAACTGTCCTAATAGGTGAAAGCAGCACGGACAAAACAGCCGTGCATGCCGTGCATGTCAGAAAATCACAGCCAAATAAATTCAGAAGCAGAGACCAAAAGCAGTTCAAGCCACAAAAACCACAAATAACAAAACAAGAGAATAAAACATGTTCTAAATGTGGAAAAGCACAGATGCGCCCAGCCAAAAATGCAGAATGCCACAACTGTGGAAAACGTGGACCCTACGGGAGAGTTTGTAGATCTACAACTGTGCATGAGGTGGCAGGAGAAGACCCGTGGCTTGCTAACATCTGCATGAGAGGCAAAAGCATGACATTTAAATTAAACTCGGGGGCAGATGTCACAGCTATCTCAGAGGAGACATTCAAAGACATTAAGCAGCCAAATGAACATTTGCAAAAAGCTGAAAAGCCACTGTATGGACCAGGAGGTGCAGCACTGATGGTACTTGGGTCTACAAAGGAGGACATTTCCTACAGTGACAGGAGCACTACAGAGACAATCTATGTAGTCAGAAATCTGCGTGTAGCTCTCTTAAGCAGGACAGCTTCTGTGAGACTGAAACTAATTGCCCGAATGGACAATGTTGACCTTGAGACAGTGAAGAAAGCGTACCCGAAACTATGTGATGGGCTCGGGCTTGTTCAAAAACCATACACGATTAAGCTGAAGCCCAACGCTAAACCTTATTCACTGAAAGTGCCAAGGTGTGTTCCACTGCCACTACTGGGCAAAGTCAAAACAGAGCTGGAAAGGATGGAACAGTTGGGAGTAATCAGTCGTGTGGAAGAGCCCACAGACTGGTGTTGCGGCATGGTCGTAGCCCCCAAAAAGGACAAAGAGAAAGTCCATATCTGTGTGGACATGACACCATTAAATGAGTCGGTGTGTCGTGAAAGATATATCATCCCCTCTGTAGACCAAACACTAGGCATGCTCACAGGTGCGCAGTATTTCTCCAAGCTTGATGCTAACATGGGTTTTTGGCAAATACCGCTGTCCAAAGAATCTGCTCTCCTCACCACACTTATTACGCCATTTGGTAGATACCATTTCAATCGTTTGGCATTTGGTATTTCCAGTGCATCAGAGCATTTCCAAAACATGATGATGACGGAAGTGACAGCCGGCCTCGCGGGAGTCATGTGTAACCCAGAGTAATTTCCTGCACTTATTTCCTGCCATTGAACGCATCACAAATGCATGACTCCAACCACATGACTTTGCTCAGCCAATCGGATGGCATGTAGGTCATAGTAAGCCTGTCCCGGCTTCCTCCCGTCAGATGCGTGGAGGCAAGCCAGGTGACAGAGCTGTTGCAGGTGTGTATTGGCAAACATTTGCTTTTCCCGTTTTAATGCATTTTTTTAACACCAACTAACTTATGCAACTTAGATGCTGATTACTGTGAGCCAGAGCCATAATGTTGTTGTGCACTGAACAGAACGGAATTGGTGAGTTTGAACTTTTAATTGATTGTTTGTATTGCTACCAGCTGACCCTAATCGGCTGCTGCCGGTCCAAACACTTTGATTTTGATTTGACTGATAGTTGTTGAATAACAAATGTTGTGGAGCTACATAGTATGTATGTATGTATGTAGCAGTTGAAATGTTTTCAGTTAAATCCTTAATGGTTAGGAATATTATATTTAACCAATATATTGTTTGTTTATTTATTTATAAATTGTGTACACAGGAACAAGAATAACTTAATGTATTTAGCTTAATTGGCTGACATTTTTGTATTATTCTTGTGATTTCTTATTGGCCTTGTTTATTTAATGCAGGCCAGGTGAACCTTTTTGGGGTATGAAAAAGGATGGCGAGCCAATGAACGGCTAGGAGCAGGACACATTCTGCAATTGACGCTTCCACCGGTTGGGTAGGAAGCTATCAAAGACAACGCTCTGTCCCCATTTTCCAAACACACTGATTTCCGCAATCATACACACCATTCCTTTCATTTATGGACAATAGCGCTTGGACATCTCTCATGGACATTCAGATTAAACTCATGGACTTCAGTGTGGATCAGTGGATTTGATATTAACATGTGGTGTTTATGGGGGAACTGTTTTTTTTTGAGAACCTGTGTTGCTTGGTATAAGCCAGATAAATCTGTTTAGTTGTCTTTGTGTACCCTCACTGGGTTTTTGATTAATTGGATAGCTGCAGCAGGAGTGATTTAAGTTATTCTTTTCTTGTTATTCTTTTTTGGGGTTTGGTTAAATACATGGTACCTGCAAAACCATTTTTTTGTGTTGTGTGTATTTATTAATTACTGCCCATCAGCTCCAGTGGCGTCCCTAAATCTTCTGATTAATAATAACCATAAAATCGCACTCAATCCCTAGCCTGTATTACTTCATTAGCGCTACATCAGTGTTACACATGTGCCACATGGACGACATCCTGGTCTGGGGATCCACGAGAGAGGAGCACGACATGAGACTCCACGCTGTCCTCGACCATGCAGAGAAGGTGGGCGTCACCCTGAACATGTCAAAATGTCAGTTTGGCAAAAGAGCAGTGAAATTCTTAGGATTCATTGTGTCATCTGAAGGCATGAGTCCTGACCCTGACAAAACTAGTGCGGTGCAGAATATGACAGAGCCAAGCACCGTGAGTGAGCTTAGGAGCTTCTTAGGAATGGTGAATCAGCTGGGGAAATTCATCCCAAACCTCTCCAAAAAAGACAAACCACTGAGAGACTTGCTTTCAACTAAAAACGTGGTACTGGGGGCACGAGCAACAAAACGCGTTTAGCAGTTTAAAAGAAGAACTGTCATCCGCTCCAGTACTGCAGCTTTACGACCCAAACAAACCCCAAAAGATCTCAGCAGATGCCTCTTCATACGGGTTGGGGGCAGTTTTGCTACAGAAAGACAATGACGTGTGGTCACCAGTTGCGAATGCCTCGCGATCATTGACAGCCACAGAGCAGCGCTATGCTCAGCTGGAAAAAGAAGCGCTGGCGCTCACCTGGGCCTGTGAAAGATTCAGTGACTTTATTCTAGGGCTACACTTTGAGCTTGAGACCGACCATAAGCCACTTGTGAGCCTACTTGGAGGACAAGCCTTGGATTTGCTTCCACCGCGGATACAGAGATTCCGCATGTGCCTAATGAGGTATTCTTACACTATAACGCACATTCCAGGCAAAAGCCTCACCACAGCCAACACGCTGTCACGGTTACCGCTGGCAGACAGCGTGATGCCCAGAGACAATGATCTTATGGAGGACACCGATATTTACGTTGATGCAGTGCTGGAGGGCCTTCCTACTAGCAGCAAATACCTTGCAGATCTCCGTGAGCAGCTACAGTCTGACAGCGTCTGTTCCCAAGTCATGAAGTTCTGTGCAGAGGGCTGGCCTGACAGGAACCAGCTGCAGGGAGTGGTAAAACACTACTGGTCAGAAAGAGCAGTTTTGAGTGTACACGATGGACTACTACTGCAAGGCACAAGGTTGGTCATACCTGCAAACATGCGAAATGCAGTTTTGGACAAAATACACGAGGGTCACCAAGGGGTAGTTAAGTGTCGAGAACGTGCCCGACAAGCAGTGTGGTGGCCAGGCTTAAGTAATCAGATCAGTGAACTTGTCCTTAAGTGCAGGCTGTGCATACAGGAGAGATACAGGAGAGAGTTAATGTGAGGGAACCTCTTATGCCCACACGTTTACCTGAGAGGCCATGGTAGAATTTAGGAGTTGATTTGTTCACACTAAAAGACAAAAACTGTTGGTAGTAATTATTTCTCGAGATTGCTCAACTCAGCCCAACTCGTTCAGCCAATGTGATTGTGCATTTAAAGTCAATATTTGCATGCCATGGAATACCTGAAGCATTGATTACAGATAATGGCCCACAATTTGCCTGTCAAGAAATGAAAGACTTTGCAAAGGACTACTGTTTTGAGCATGTCACCAGTAGTCCCAGGTAGGGCTGGGCCATATTATACCGTTCACGGTAATACCGGTATAATGTTAGGCAACGATAGGAAAATGAAATATCGCGATAGAATATGAGTAAAACGCACATGCGCAGTGCCTTTGTTTTCATACGCACATGGCCGATTGTTGAGTGAAACAGATGAACCAGAATTGGTTTGTAAAAATGGTGCAACTTCAGTGATGTGGAACTGGTTTGGTGTTTGTCCGTCAGATACACAACAAAGTACATTTTTTTTGCAGAACATGCAAGCGGCCGTCGTTATTGTCGTATTTGTCGGACTAATATGCTCTTAAATCTGGGAGTAATCTGGGTCCTAAACTCCGTATCTTCAGGTCAAACAACACTGCAGCATCACTGAGAGTTAAAAACTCTCTAAATTCTTTCATCTTTAATAAAACGATCAGCGTTGCTGCTTTACCAGGTGTAACTATGAAGTTTAACTTCCAGGCATCCAAATTTATTACATTTAACAGAGTTAGAAGTTAGCAGGAAGCTAGCTGAAGTTAGCTCGCTAGTTTCGCTAGTTACCTAAGCATGATATAGCACGTTCTGACTGAGAGATTTCTGGAAAAAAATCAAACGTACAGCTCTGCTATCACTTCCAACATAAATGAAGACAGGAAACTAAACAGCAGTGACGTTTGTAGGGTTACTGAAGTTGGGCTAGCTGGTATATAATGATGTGATCGCTAGCGACACAGCTATGTTAGCATAGCATAAACAGTGAAGCTGGAGGACGAACACTAACACTTTTCCACTTATAAAAATTTATGTTAAGGTTCCTGATAGTTAGAGACAAATGCAATCGCATGGCAGGATGCTGTAAACGGACCAAACATCAGTCAGGAGAACAACTGAGATAATCCATCCACAATACAAGGTTAGTCATTAATATACTGCAACAACATGGGAATAGAGCAGCTGCCAGAGAATTCAACATTAATTGATCAATGGTACAGAAGTGGAGGAAGCAAGAAGAATGAGTTTAATAAAGTTTAATTTATCTGACTGCTTTGTTTCGCTTAATGTGCCTTATAATCCTGTGCACTTTATGGTCCAAAAAATACGTACTGCACACTGCAGTTTAATGTTGCAAAGCTACGGAGCCCCCCAGGGGACATGGGAGAAAAAAAAATTACGGAGGAAAAAAAAAAAATCGAGATCTCGCAAAAGTATTGCGAGCGCTCGCAAAAAGTATTGCGAGATCTCGCAAAACTCCAACAATGGCGGCAGCTACTTAGTTGTAATATTACTCTTTCTGGGTCACAAAATACACTTTTAAGATATTTTGAGGCGTGAATGTAGTTGTGTAAACGTCAGATACCTGCTCGGTTTACAAGACATCACATATTTGCAAAAGAGCTCCGACGTTTTTGGAGATCTGACACCCACTAGCTCGAAGCTAACGGGAGGTCGAGACCTACTACAGCCGGGAGGAACACCGCTTTCCCGGCACATCGTGCCTCGACCTCCCGGTCGGCTTCGAGCTGGCGGCCACTAGCTCGAAGCTAACGGGCGGTCAAGACCTACTACAGCCGGGAGGAACACCGCTTTCCCGGCACATCGTGCCTCGACCTCCCGGTCGGCTTCGAGCTGGCGGCCTCCGAAGAATGCGGCTAAAACTTTTGCGAGATCTCGCAATACTTATTGCGAGATCTCACAATACTTTTGCGAGCGCTCGCAATACTTATTGCGAGATCTCGCAATACTTTTGCGAGCGCTCGCAATACTTTTGCGAGCGCTCGCAATACTTTTGCGAGCGCTCGCAATACTTTTGCGAGCGCTCGCAATACTTATTGCGAGATCTCGCAAAAGTCCGTCTTAATTTTTTTTTTCCTCCCTAATTTTTTTTTTTTCCTCCCTAATTTTTTTTTCTCCCATGTCCCCTGGGGGGCTCCGTACAAAGCACCTCTTTTTAACTTCAGTGGATATTATACATGGTTATGCTCAGGATATGTCAGCCCATTTCTACTGGAAATGCCTTTTGGTTAAACTTTCAGCAAGGAATTTGCATTTGCACTGTTAAATTTTTATAAAGCTTTAATGTACATAAAAACCAGCTTCTTGTTTAAGTGAAAATAAATGGAAGGTTGTCTTTTTGCGCTAGTAATGTTGTGGAGTTGTATTTTGTCTCGCATCAATTATATCGTCAGTTATATCGTTATCGCAAATTTTCAAATATATATCGTGATAAATGTTTTTGGCCATATCGCCCTGCTCTAGTCCCAGGTACCCGCAGAGCAACGGCGAGGCGGAGAGGGGTGTCCAGACCATCAAAAATCTCCTCAAGAAAGCCAGCGATCCATACAAGCCATTGCTGGCATACAGAACAACAGCACTGGCGAATGGCTACAGCCCGGCTCAACTTCTCATGGGGCGCAGGCTTCGTACTACTTTACCAATGCTTCCTGAAACCTTAGAGCCATGTTTGCCTGATTTTCAGCAGATTTGTCGTTCTGAGAGCGAGAAAAGGCTGAGACAAACTGAATGTTTTAACAAAAGACATAGAACAAGAGTATTGGATAAATTGTTGCCAGGGCAACCAGTCTGGATCACGGATGCAAAAGCACAAGGCACAGTGACATCAGTCCACCCAACTCCACGATCGTACATCATCAGTGGACCCCAAGGGACAATGGTAAATGGTAAATGGCCTGCATTTGTATAGCGCTTTTCTAGTCCATAGGACCCCAAAGCGCTTTACACTACATTCAGTCATTCACCCATTCACACATACATTCACACACTGGTGATAGCAATCTACATTGTAGCCACAGCTGCCCTGGGGCGCACTGGCAGAGGCAAGGCTACCGGACACAGGCGCCACCGGGCCCTCAGAAGGAACCGCAGTCATCTTGTGCCGATCCCACAGAGACTCAAACCGAAGCAAAACAGATCCTGTCCACCCCTATAGAGACCGTTTCTGAGCCAAGCGCACCCCATACACCAGGTGTGGTTAGAACCCGGTCTGGTAGGGAAGTGATTAAACCAAAAAGACTTGATCTGTGAAGCTAATTGTTTGGAAAGGGAAAAGTTGTATTTCGAAATGCTAAGTTTTGTTTTTGAGAATAGCATGTTTAAAAGGACAAGAAGGTTTAACTTGTGTTAAGAGTGTAAGAGTTTATGTTTCCTGAAATGCTGGGGTATGTCTGTATTGAAAAAAAATATTACGCAGTTATGTTTTGTTTGAAGAGCAAAAGAATGTACCAGCCTAACTTCAGTAAGGGGGATGTGGTGTAATCTATATTGATGTACATCATACGCCACTAGGTGGCAGTACTTACCCACTCAACGGGAAGTGTGTGGCATGTAAAACAGCACAAGAGTAAGCTGTATTAAAGAAAGATTGTTGTTGCTCCACGTTATCGCTTGAGCGGGAGTTTTATTCAAGAGCTCAACACAACATCTCTCTCTCTCTCTCTCTCTCTCTCTCTCTCTCTCTCTCTCTCTCATACATATATACGTATATACATATTTGTGTGTGTGTGTGTGTGTAATGTCCATTGTGTTGATTCAAATGTGCTCTGGGACAATCATAGGCATTGGTTGCTACTGAAAACAGGAAATAAAGCTGGTCCACACTATGGGCTGAACCATTTGTTAGTGGTGGAGGGGGGTATTCAATTCAATTCAATTTTATTTATATAGAACCAAATCACAACAAAAGTCTCCTCAAGGCGCTTCAGGGTAACACTATGCAATATATTCAGTTTTGGAATTTATTTTCAGTGCTAACTGTAGCTAGGCTCAAAGTGTTAATGCAATCTCATTTTGATAAACAATGTTATATTAAAAACTAGGGTGGCACTAGGGGTGGCAAGAGATCACTTCAGGGTGGCACATGCCACCCTATGCCACCTCTCTAGATCCGCCCCTGCTGAGCTCTTACAAATTGCTGCTTGTGTATAGTTGAGTTATAGCGGGATGATGGATGATCTTTACCAGCACTCGGTTTTCTTAGAGTGTCACTGTCTTAAAGAAGAACATCTAACAAGATTACAAAAATATTTCAGCATTCGACGCAGATCAGGTGGAGGAGAGTGCGGACCAGTGACGAGAGTGGACAAAAATGTCTACAGTGTGGCTTTCAAAAATAAAAAGGGTAGGTTTATCATACATAGGTGTCAGCTGTTGGGGAAATATATATATATATATATATATATATACATATATATACACACATACATATATATGTATATATATATATATATATATATATATATATATATATATATATATGTGTATGTATGTATATGTATGTATTACATATACATATAGAGGAATTGTGAATTGACAGTTTGTCTTGAAAGTGAAAATTGCTAATGCTACAAAACATTTGGTGGTCAGTTGTTGTCATAATGTCAAGTTCAAGCTATACATTACATTACAGAAGCAGCGTACAATGTACCACCACCACTTTTGAACTTTTGTCTGTGAATAGGCCATTGCATAGATGGGATGACCAGATTACTGCAGTGTAAACAAATACAAATACAGTTTTAATTTCATTTGCTGTTTGAATGTTTAATAGAAGAGGAAGTAAAGTCAGCTGCACAGACCTTAAAGACCTTAAAGCAGAAGTGGACTTTCCAATCAGCTCAGCAAGCGACTATAATTTATGTAGAGTCAGGAAAATATTGTCTTTCCTGCATTTGGTATGTACTTTTACAATTAAATTTTAGTTTGTTATAGGCATTTATTGGATATCAGGAGAAAGAATAAAAAGAAGGCAAAAAGAAACTTAAAAGGAAAATGGGTCACATAAAAAATTCAGTCTGTAACTCGAGATATCTGTTTACAGATCAACAGCGAGTCCTTCAGAGATCAGAGCATGTTTTGGAGCTTGGAGATCATCGTTTGGTGATCACAGTCCGAGAAAGTCTGGAAAGTGACGACACCTCTCATTTCATCACCCCTACTTCCACTCCAGCAGAGGTAAATTTCACAAATAAGTTTAATCAAAGTTTTATGGCTTCATATGGAATTAACATTGTCCATATGATAAAAACATTGACGTAACCTCTTACTTCAGTATTATTATGATGTATCAGCTTTGCTACAGATTGATACCTCCTCTCATTTGCATTTCTTCCCAATCACAGACTCCTGAGAACATTCCCGCCTCGTCTCTTCCACCAAGCGATGAAGAGTATGAACTACACGTTGATAATTATCTCCTTCGTTACCTGAAAGAATGTCCTCATGCTCAGCAAGAACTTGAGAACATGCTTGCCTGTTTAGCCTGCTCTGCTGATCTTTACTGTGAGGAGGGGAGAGTTTTAGTCAGGAGGCGAGCTCAACCTGGTGCTGCAGATGAAGTTAGTGATTGGAAAGCTGAGGTAGACGCTCTCTTTGGTGGCTACTTTTGCCATTATGAGGTAAACCCTGACAAAGTTGAAGCTTTGGTTCAGTCCAGCAGCTCTTGTCAGACTGCAGGTGAGGTGAAGGTGTACACAGATGAGTCTGGGATGGCTGTTGTTGTTGGAGAACTGTCTCTGGTTCATGCCAGGTTGTTAGACACTGAGCAACCTTCAAGTTTCCGTGACGATATGGCATCTCTGAGTTTAAGAGAGGAAAGCACAACCATTGCTAGCTACAGCCTTTGTGATGGGCTCCAGGTGTTTGTGTGTCAGGGTGACATCACCAAGCAACACGCTGATGCTCTGGTTAATGCAGCCAATCAGGACTTGGACCACTCTGCAGGTGTTGCTGCTGCACTGAGTCGAGCTGGTGGTCCTGAAATACAGAGAGAGAGTGATGAATTAGTGAAGTGTTTTGGGAAAATTCCCATAGGAGAAACAGTAGTGACCACAGGGGGTAACTTAAAGTGCAAGAAACTGCTTCATGCAGTTGGGCCTGTAGGTGGAAAAGCAAGTGACAGAGATAAGATGTTACTGGAGAAAACTGTGCATTGTGCTTTAAATTTATCAGAAATAATGGAGTTTCAGTCCATAGCCATTCCTTGTATCAGCTCAGGTGTGTCTGGGGTTCCTCTCACTGTGTGCACTGAGGCAACTGTTGCTGCTGTGAAGGACTTTGGCAGTGTGGGAGGTCGAAGTTTGAGGAAAATCATCCTGATTGATAACAGAGAGGAGGCGGTGAGGGCCATGCAGGAAGCATGTGACAGGCTTCTCCAAGGGATAGATACACCTGATGAAGATACAGCAAGAGGAGCCACTGCCAGAGCTCCTGGAGGCAGAGTCCACATGGAGGTTATTCAGGGATCGATTGAGAGCCAACAGGTGAGAAATGTTGCTGTAATTAAAATAAACAACACCTTGCAATAAAACACATTTTCTAAGCCCACCAAATCTCCTGCTCTTCTCCTAGGTGGATGCTTTGGTGTCTCCTATGGTTGGCCATGATCCTCTCTCTACCCGTGTTGGAAATGCTTTGTTTGAAGTAGCTGGACCACAGCTGACCACAAGGTTTAGAAAGGAAGAGGAAGATGAAACAATGCCTGGTGACTCAGTACTGCTGGAGGGCTTACCTGGACTTCAGTCTAATGCAGTCTTCTTCCTCAATCTTGTTCCCTGGGATGGTGACCCAGACGGAGTTGCAGTCCAGGTGAGATAGTAAAGGAGGGATTTTATTATTCTGTCTGTTTGTGAGGACATTTTTTAATGAAGCCATTTGTCTTAATCCAGTATTCTTATGTGTTATAGGTTCTTCGAATGGGCATCAACACAATCCTATCTTCTTGTGAGAAGAAAAGATTCAGATCTGTTGCTCTTCCCGTCCTCGGTGCTGGGATGGCCCTGCAGTTTCCTGTCAGTGAGGTGGTGAGGGCTTTAAAGAAGGAAGTTCATGTATTTGAAGAGGAACGAGTGGGCATCACACCACTCCTGATCCACATTGTCATTCACCCCGATGACGAGTCAGATCAGGTAATGACAAAGCACTTTTTTCTTTAAAAATTACCACCAACACTAAAGTCTGATATTGATTTTGTTGTGCTTAGAAAAAATGAAATTGTAAAACACCACAACAGAAATTCATGTGGTACAATGGGATATATATGTGACAGTATTAAAAGTCATCTTGTTTGCCAATATCATTCTTTTCTGACACCAAATTTTGGTGTAGCATTTATTTTTTTCGAACAGCAACTGGGCTTTACAAAACTTAATTTATGCTCCTACTTGCTAACATAATGTGTATCAATAATTCACCAATCACGTTTTGTTTCCTCTGCATCTAATGAATATATAAAGGAACTCTTACTAATGTAATAATTTGTTGTCTTTGCAGACATTTGGCTCAGTCCAAAAAAACAAATTCACTGAAGGTGTTCACCATAAAGACCAAGATCAAGGTTGGTGTAGAAAATATCCACAGATAATAATCCCGACAGTGCTTATATATATATATATATATATATATATATATATATATATATATATATATATATATATGTGTATGTATATATATATATATACATACACGTATATATATATATACATACACGTATATATATATACAGATATATATATATATATACATTAGGGGTGCAACGATAAACAAAATTCACGGTTCGGTTCGATACTTTGGTGTCATGGTTCGATATTTTTTCAATACAAAAAAAATGTTCATGCCTTTTTAATTTGTCATTTATTAAAATTATAAATATATATTTTAACTCAAAAGTACAGTTTTTAAATTTAACCCTAACCCTTGTGCGTGTTTTTTATTTTGACAGCGAATGCGCACCTGCGGACCACTTATGTGCACCCCTGGTTATTTAGCTCGTCATATTGCAGCCACAGAAATTATTTTGTCCATGAAACCATAAAGCTGCACTTTCTTTTTGCCTTATAGTCTGATTTGTTATAACTTCTCCGTTTTGTGGTAAGCTTTTCTTTGGTTGTCACTTCTTCACCCTGACCTGTCTTATTTGGCTCAGCAGAACTAAAATATATATCCTGCTGCTTTTACACACGCACTCACATAAGCTCAGCGATTATCTGTGCGATCAACCTCTCACATGTTTAAGCTTGCTGCGGGAGATTTCACTTGTCATGTTTGCATAGTAAGCTAACGATTAATAAGACGATGTCAGAGGAATTGGTGCACAAATTATCATCACTCACAGATCAGTGCTGTCGCTCTCTATACACAGTTCGCACGATTGCAAAGTGAAAGCAAAAAAACAAGCGCAAATTCAAACGCGATTTCAATATGTCACATATTGACAGTGGCTCACCGATGCCAATGACATAATTACCCAGCTACATTTCTGAAAGAATGTAAAAGCATTGACATATATTTTTCCTTCCTACAATAGCCCGACGGGCAGGGAAGAGATAGATTTTGGTAGCCCCAGGACGTCGGGCTAGCGATATTGCAAGCCCTGTATCTGATTGAGGAATCACTCATCTTTGGAAAAGGCAAGGCAAGGCAAGTTTATTTGTATAGCACAATTCAACAACAAGGTGATTCAAAGTGCTTTACAGAGACATTAGAAACAAGAACAAATAAAAAACATGATTTAAAATTGATTAAAACAAGCAAATAAACTAACTAACTAATTAACAAACAAACAAACAAACAACAGTATATAAAATCAAAACAGATAAAATCAGAACAGTAGATAAAATCAGTAGTTAAATGTAAGTTTTGAAATTTAAGCTTAAAGTGTGGATTTGGTGCTTTATTCAAATGCAGCTGAGAACAGGTGCGTCTTCAACCTGGATTTAAATAAACTGAGTGTTTCAGCTGATCTGAGGCTTTCTGGGAGTTTGTTCCAGATATAAGGAGCATAAAAGCTGAATGCAGCTTCTCCGTGTCTGGTTCTGACTCTGGGAACTGATAAAAGACTGGATCCAGATGACCTGAGGGATCTGGATGGTTCATACTGGGTCAGGAGGTCATTGATGTATTTTGGTCCTAAACCATTCAGAGCTTTATAGGCCAGCATCAGAACTTTAAAGTCTATCCTCTGACGGCCAGGCAGCCAGTGTAAAGACCTCAGAGCTGGACTGATGTGGTCCACTTTTTTGGTCTTAGTGAGGACTCGAGCAGCAGAGTTCTGAATGAGCTGTAGTTGTCTGACTGATTTTTTAGGTAGACCTGTAAAGATGTGAAGGCGTGATTGGGAGGAACGGCCTCCCTGATCTGAACCCGAGCGGTGCTTTGTTATTGGACTTCTGTGCTAATCACAGTTTGGCCATAACGAACACCCTGTTCGAACATAAGAGTGTCCATAAGTGCACGTGGCACCAGGATGCTCTAGGCCGTAGGTCGATGATCGATTTTGTAATCGTATCACCAGACCTGCGACCATATGTTCTGGACACTCGGGTAAAGAGAGGGGCTGAGCTGTCAACTGATCACCACCTGGTGGTGAGTTGGATCAGGTGGCGGGGGAGGACGCTGGACAGACCTGGTGCACCTAAACGCGTAGTGAGGGTGTGCTGGGAACGTCTAGCAGAGGCCCCAGTCCGCGAGATCTTCAACGCACACCTCCGGCAGAGCTTCAACAGCATTCCGAGGGAGACTGGGGACATTGAGTCCGAATGGACCATGTTCAGCGTCTCCATTGCCGAAGCTGCTGCATTGAGCTGCGGCCGCAAGGTGGTTGGTGCCTGCCGTGGTGGTAATCCCCGAACCAAATGGTGGACACCAGAGGTGAAGGGAGCCACCAGGCTGAAGAAGGAGGCCTATCGGGCTTGGTTAGCCTGTGGGACTCCGGAGGCAGCCGACAGGTATCGACAGGCCAAGCGGAATGCGGCTCGGGCAGTGGCTGAAGCAAAAACTCGGGTGTGGGAGGAGTTCGGAGAGGCCATGGAAAAAGACTTTCGGACTGCCTCGAAGAGATTCTGGCAAACCGTCAGGCGTCTCAGGAGGGGAAAGCGGTGCTCTACCTGCACTGTGTATAGTGCTGGCGGAGCGCTGTTGACGTCGACTGAGAAAATTGTCGGGCGGTGGAAGGAATACTTCGAGGACCTCCTTAATCCCACTGACACGTCTTCCGGGGAGGAAGCAGAGTCTGGGGATGAGGGGTGTGACCCACCGATTTCCGGGGGCGAGGTCACTGAGGCAGTTAAACAACTCCTTGGTGGCAGAGCCCCTGGTGTCGATGAGGTCCGCCCCGAGTTCCTGAAGGCTCTGGACGTTGTAGGGCTGTCTTGGTTGACACGTCTCTGCAATGTTGCGTGGAGATCAGGGGCAGTACCTGTGGACTGGCAGACCGGGGTGGTGGTCCCCATCTTCAAGAAGGGGGACCGGAGGGTGTGTTCCAACTACAGGGGATCACACTCCTCAGCCTCCCCGGGAAAGTCTATGCCAGGGTGCTGGAGAGGAGGGTTCGTCCGCTAGTCGAACCTCGGATACAGGAGGAACAATGCGGTTTTCGTCCTGGTCGCGGAACACTGGACCAGCTCTTTGTCCTCTCGAGGATACTTGAGGGTGCATGGGAGTTTGCCCAACCAGTCTACATGTGTTTTGTGGACCTGGAGAAGGCATTCGACCGTGTCCCTCGGGGCGTCCTGTGGGAGGTGTTGCGCGAGTATGGGGTGTCTGGCCCATTGCTACGGGCCATTCAATCCCTATACAACCGTTGCAAGAGCTTGGTTCGCATTGCCGGCAATAAGTCGGACTCGTTCCCGGTGGGTGATGGGCTCCGCCAAGGCTGCCCTTTGTCTCCGGTTCTGTTCATAATTTTTATGGACAGGATTTCTAGGCGCAGCCAAGTGGCGGAGGGCTTTCGCTTTGGTGGCCTCAGAATCTCATCTCTGATTTTTGCGGATGATGTGGTTCTGTTGGCTTCATCGGGTGAGGGCCTCCAGCTCGCACTGGAGCGGTTCGCAGCCGAGTGTAACGCAGCGGGAATGAGGATCAGCACCTCCAAATCTGAGGCCATGGTTCTCAGCCGGAAAAGGGTGGAGTGCCCACTCCGGGTCGGGGATGAGTTCCTGCCCGAAGTGGAGGAGTTCAAGTATCTCGGGGTCTTGTTCGCGAGTGATGGGAGAAGGGAGCTGGAGATCGACAGACGGATTGGGGCTGCGGCTGCAGTAATGCGGACGCTGCACCGGTCAGTCGTGGTGAAGAGGGAGCTGAGTGTAAAAGCGAAGCTCTCAATTTACCGGTCGATCTACGTCCCTACCCTCACCTATGGCCACGAGCTGTGGGTAGTGACCGAAAGAACGAGATCGCGGATACAAGCGGCGGAAATGAGCTTCCTCCGAAGGGTGGCTGGCCTCTCCCTTAGAGATAGGGTGAGAAGTTCGGCCATCCGGGAGGGGCTTAGAGTAGAGCAGCTGCTGCTCCACATCGAAAGGAGCCAGCTGAGGTGGTTCGGGCATCTGGCAAGGATGCCCCCTGGGCGCCTCCTGGGCGAGGTGTTCCAGGCATGTCCCACCGGGAGGAGGCCCCGGGGCAGACCCAGGACACGCTGGAGAGATTATATCTCTCGGCTGGCCTGGGAACGCCTTGGTATTCCCCCGGACAAGCTGGAGGAGGTGGCTGGGGAGAGGGAGGTCTGGACCTCTTTGCTTAGGCTGCTACCCCCGCGACCCGACCTCGGATAAGCGGATGAAGATGGATGGATGGATGGATGGACCTGTAAAGATGCTGTTACAGTAATCAAGCCTACTAAAGATGAATGCATGGACTAGTTTTTCCAGGTCCTGTTGAGACATCAGATCTTTTATCCTTGATATATTCTTGAGGTGATAGTAAGCTGACTTTGTTATTGTCTTAATGTGTTTTTCTAAGTTTAGGTCTGCATCCATCACTACACCCAAATTTCTCGCCTGGTTTGTGGTTTTTAGATGTATAGATTGAAGTTCTCTGGTGACCTGTAATCGTTTTTCTTTGGCGCCAAAGACTATTACCTCAGTTTTGTTTTTGTTTAGCTGGAGAAAATTGTGGCACAACCAGTCATTGATTTCCTCAATGCATTTACCAAGAGCCTGTACAGGGCCTCGGTCTCCTGGTGACATTGTGATATATATTTGTGTGTCATCTGCATAGCTGTGGTAGTTTATTTTGTTGTTGTTTATAATCTGTGCCAGTGGGAGCATGTAGATGTTAAACAGAAGGGGTCCCAAGATGGAACTTTGGGGAACTCCACATGTGATACTTGTCTGCTCAGATGTGAAGTTACCTATTGATACAAAGTATTTCCTGTTTTCTAAAAGAGAGTTTATTACAGAGAAATGTCTCTTTCCAAAATAAAAGCTATACTATCCGCTTCTTCTGGGCTATATTCTCAGCAGCATAATTAAGGAGAATCACGTGCTAACAGCTGTCTAAATGACTCGGCTAAAGTTAGTAGCATGCTTGTTGTTTTTGTCTTTGCACTAGGATGATGTCGGCGTAAATGTGCAGTCATATTCGTTGTGTTCCCACTAGTGCTTTCAGGTTAATCTCGTTGAAATGACCTTAACGCCACAACACGGCAAATCTCCGTTAACGAGCTACCACCGATCGCCCCGTGCATGGGGCTGGACGGCCAACACGTTAACGAGCTAACTGCGCTAACACACTAGTTCCCACCCATGTAATTGAGCATTGCATGGCACATCCAACATACTGTTTTACTTTAGTCCATGACTCGCTTACCTTCAGGGTCATACGTCACATGAAAACCAAAATAATTCCAAACGCCAGATCTGAATGAGGGTGGGGGAGGTCCATGTTGCAAGGAGAGCTTAACTTCTGTCTTGCTAGCTTGCCCTGCGCTCTTCCTTCTGACTATGCTGTCTGTGTTGAGCGCTCAGTGGATCTGCGCTCGACAGTGCAGCCTAGGCGGAGTAGTCGAACGCAGATTCACTGAGCGCTCAACACAGACAGCATCGTCAGAAGGAAAGTTGATGAAATAAATTACAAATGTTGTATTGTTCGATACATATGCGTACCGAACCGAAAGCACTGTATTGAACGGTTCAATATCGATACGAATATCGTTGCACCCCTAATATATATATATATATATCTATATATATATATAGATATATATATTTTTTTTTCTTTTTTTTTTTTCTTTTTTTAAAGGGACTACATTAAAACATGAATAGTAAATTGTGACATCTAATAGAGCATTTGAAAAAAAAATCATCAAAGAGCCAATTTGTAAATGATTGCATTAACCTTACCAATCACTGGCTTGACCTAGCAAATTTCCTTAGTGGACCAGTGTTCTCATCTTATCATTTAATATTGATTCTGTATCTGACTAAAACGGTTCAGTATCTATTGCATCCTGTTTCAAACTTCAAACCATAAGCAAAACACCTTTTTAAGAAGGGAGAAAAAAGTAAGAAACAAATGTACTTAACAGAGTCATTGTTCTCCTCTAGATTCAACAACGATGAGGTTGGTCCTGCTGGGAAAAACTGGATCTGGGAAAAGTCACCTGGGTAACAACATTCTTGGAGAGGAGCTCTTTGCCACTTATGACTCTCCAAACTCTGGAACAATGAAATGCCAAACAGAAACCAAAACAGTCAGTGGAAGAAGCATCACTCTGATTGACACCCCTGGTTTCTTTGACACAGGAAGGTCTGAGGAAGATCTGAAGCCTGAGATAATGAGCTGTATGACAGAGTGTGCTCCTGGGCCTCATGCTTTTCTCATTGTGCTTCGAGTGGGTAAATTCACAGAGCACGAGCAGGCTGTCGTCACTAAGATAGTTCAGTCTTTCTCAGATGAAGCTCTAAAATATGCTGTAGTTGTTTTCACTCACGGTGACCAGCTCAAGAAAAATATGAAAATTGAAGATTTTGTCAGTCAGAACAAAAATCTGAGTGATCTGGTGTCAAAGTGTGATGGTCGGTGTCACGTCTTTGATAACGAACACTGGAACAACAACCAGCCAAACAACTACAGGAGCAACCAGTTCCAGCTGGAGGAGTTGCTGAAAACAATAGAAAAAATGGTGGTGGAAAAAAACGGAGGTTACTACACCAATAAAATGCTGCAACATGTGGAGACGGCAATACAAGAACAGGTAGAGCATATTAGACACTCAATGCCAGATAAAACCCCAGAAGAGATCAGAAACCAGGCTAAATCTAATGTGTTTAACAGGTTTCTGATCCAAACGACAGGGATTGCAACAGGAGCTTTGCTCGGTGCTTTATTTGGTGTAGTAACATTGTGTGAATTTGCTGTGAAATCTGTGAAGATGAGTGTCACAGAAATGTTAGCATGTGTGTCTGCTGCTGCAACAGTAGGAAAAACAGCACTAGTAGCTGGTGGGACAGTAGGTTTGGCAGCAGCAGTAGCAGGAGGTGTAATGGGAGGCATCACTGGAAATGAAGCCGCTAAGGATGCAGAGTCACCTTTAGAAGCTGTACAGAGAACATATAAGGCTGTCCAAGAAAAAAGAAAAGCTTTTACTGAATTTTCGTAAGATTTTCTTAATAAGCAGATATTTATGTGAACGTTTGATTATTTAATTACCTCTTGATAATGTTACATTACATATAATGTTCACATATTTAGGAGGCAGTACATAAATTTGTTTTTATTTGGAGGTTTTTGGGACTATTAAAGGTTTATTCAGCGGTTTCCGTCATTTAGGCGCCTATTTCTTTTTTCTTCGCTTACTTTGCCTTGGGCCACTGTGTCAAAATTTTTCATACAGTTGGGAATAAGGGAAATGTGGGGTAAAGCAAGTGAAGGCTCTGATTAATTCAACACCATTGCCAGCAGTAAGAGGGTTCATCTGGAGGAAAGATATTTGGAGGGGCTCACAAACAGCAATAGTGCCATCAGTGGAGGACAACAGCTATCTTTCCCTGGCAAAAAGCAATTGTGTTTCAGTTACTGGAAGGATGTAACTTTGCCAGTGCCGGACTTGAACTCTTGTCTTTTTTCACGTTACTCTGACACCCCATCCTTTTTTTAAAGCAACTCATTTGCTACTTTAGGGCCAGAATCTGTTGGTGTTTATTAACTATAACTGGGGTTTTACTTGAGCACTCATGTTGCAGCATAATGCAACCTTCCACAGCTTTAAGGTGAATAAAATGTTTAAATGAAGTGTGGTTTGCCTTTTTTTGTTTACAATCAAGTTTAATTTCTATCACAAATTCGCATGATAGTGCTTTGCAAACTGTGTAAGTTCGAGGAAGTACACACCAGACAGGCTATTTGTTATTTCATGTAAATATAGGTGAGGCCAAGCACACACCTATATTAGTCATAACTTAAGTGTAATAACATCCCACTAGGTGTGGCATGGAAAAAGGTTAGAGCTTTACCCTTAGTATTATTGCTGTGGCTCAAGCAATGGAAGCTTTATAACGTTCACTGTCACAAATGAGATATTCAGGGTTCCATTTTACTAGAAAAGTGTCCCCAGTACTGTTCTGAATTTATCATTAACAGCATGTGCAGTTGTTTGGTCATATGGCCCATATTTCAATTCAATTTTTAGTTTCATTTATATAGTACCAAATCACAGTAACTGTGTCCTCAAAATCCTTTGAAAAGTAAAGATCAGACAATAGCACAGAGAAAACCCCAACTATCAAATGAACCTCTATAACAGGGGTGGGGGAACTAAACCCAGGGTGATATCCTTCAGTATGAGAGAGCTGTGACTGAGCGTTCATGGGGCTCATCTGGATTTCTATCTGCATCTCAAGTTATCTCATGTTACATACAAAACAAAGCACCGTCTGATAACCCATTTCTACATAAATGTGTAATTGCTGTTTCCAAAGAGAGGAACAGCTGCAAAAATCATCCCAAAACCTTCCATACACTTTCTTACTTAGACTACAAAGTCACATTGTCAAGTTTAAGATGGCCTGAATAATGGCCTCTCTCTCTCTCCCTCCCTCCCTTAGAGTAATGATAAAACTTATGTTTAATCGTTGCTCTAAGATATGCTTACAATACCTAATTCAAAGCTAATAATTATATCTAATGATGGCCCACTTAAAGCTGACGCTCCAGCACGTGTGTCAAAAACCACACTGCTTCAGAAGCACTGTGTCAAGGTTTGATTTGTTTGGCCAGAGTCATGTGATCAGTGACATTTAGAACGTAGCTGATTCGATGGTTTATAAGGAAGTGGATCATTCGCGGGATTTGTGGAGTGCTTTGATAGTGAGTGACAACAAACTACTGATCATTCTATTGAGCGATACTGAGCCAGCAAGGAAGAGGGGAGGCTCTGTTGTGTGGGAGTATTTTGAGTTGATTTTCCTCAATCGGGTGTGTTTGCCAGCTTTTTATTCTTGTTGTTTGTCTTTGTTTTGATTGTGTTTATTTTATTTTTAATAATATTATTTACAAACATACCTGTCCAGCTGTCCAGTGATTAATTGTATAAGTACCATAATGTGTTGTACATTATTATATGTATATTAATGTGTTTTTCATTTATTGTATTTACCAACATCAAAAAGTCACAAGCAAAGAAAGACCACACCATGGCACATGTTTAAATAAGGGAAGCTTATTGATCAAATTTATCTATTAAGCAAATAGACATAATTATTTCACCCAAAAAACATACATATTCAAAGCAACAAACGTGTAGGCCCAATATCAGACAGAACAGTGAACTCTGTAGAATGGGCAGTCATAATGAAGCACTACACTTTAATTTGTAGATTCAAGCTGTTCTTCATAATTTTGGCCACCAGATGTCACCAGAGAGGAATGTGTTGAAAAGCTAGTATGAAGCGTTTTTAACACAAGCTTCAATGCTTCAGAAAGCTTCATTTGAGCATCTAATAGACTCCAGTTTGTTCATGTAAATCAGGGGTGGGAGACTCCAGGCCCAAAGGGCTGATGTCATGCAGGTTTTAGATGTCACCTTGGGTCAACACACCTGAAACAAATGATCAGTTTTTTACCAGGCATCCAGAGAAATCAAAAACATGTTGAGGAGGTAATTTATCCATTTAAATCAGCTGTGTTGGATCAAGGACACATCTAAAACCTGCAGGACACCGGCCCTTGATGCCTGGAGTTCCCCTACCCCTGATTGAATGAGTCCATTGCCTATCCAAAACCTAGAAACCTTCCCAATAAAGCAACGGGGACAGAGACAACTATAAGTGTTGATATGTGAGTGCTAGGTGAACTTAAGTCTGCTACTGCAAATGAAAACATCATAGTTTACACATACTACAATTGACTAGACAAGCTAACCAATGCCAGTCTAGTGAAAGGTCCGAACAAGAACACACTCCTGTTTATAAAAAAGATATATATATATTTTTTTTAAGTAATCATTATTACTTAGCAGTGATTGTTCCAGAATAAAACAAATATGGATTTGAATGTATTTCTCTGCCTATGGTAGTGCAGTGCTCCATAGTTGTATATGAACATTTAGAATATTGCTTTGTTGTTCTAAAACTGTCATGTTGTTCTAAAACACAGCCCAGAAGATCACTGGCTGCTCTCTGCCCAGCCTGGAGGTCACTGCAAACTCTCGGTACCTCAGCAGAGCTGGCAATATCATCAAGGACCACTCTCACCCCAGCAACCAACTGTTTGAACTATTACCGTCAGGCCGACGGTACAGGTCACATAAAACCAGGACAAACAGATTCAGGGATAGCTTCTTTCCCAGAGCTATCACCGTAGTAAATAAGCACAAAAACAATTGAACCTATTCCATACCGTCACTGTCATTATATTATGCTGCTATTCATACTGTCATTATATTAATGCTGCTATCCTGTATATATTGTACATACTATTGTTTGAGTACTTACGATTGGTTTTTTTGTACTTTTTATATTTTACATTTATATTTATTATTGAAACTTGCACCAAGGGAGTGGCACTCCAATTTCGTTGTACTCTGTACAATGACAATAAAGGCTATTCTATTCTATTCTATTCTATATGCGAGTTTGCATATTTACTGTGCCACCCTACAATACTGTGATTTCCTACACATACTGTCAGTGCACTGTGTGCATGTGTAGTCATGTCATTACACTGACTCCATTAGTTACAGAAAACCTTGGAAGAACTTCTGCTTCCTAACAAAAGAATGATCAAAATACCTCTGAAATAAGTTTGAGTAGGGAGTAACACTTCCAATTTCTCCAATCAGGGCTAAGTTTCAAATGATGTGACTCATCCTGTGCATGCCCAATTCAGTTCTGCTATCACATGTGAAAAATCAGCACATTTCGTCAAACACAGACAATTTAACATGAAAAAAAGTAATTTGTATGCCAAAAAGTAAGTTTTTCTACTTTATTTCAATTTCTAATAGCATTATCTGCTTTGCAGTTAAACTCATCAAACTTGAATTATGTTATTTGTATGTCTATGGGGATATATTCTGTGTAGGTCTTTAGTGCTAATGTTTTAGCCGTTGGCTGTAATGTTAGCTAGTTCATGGCTATAGGAGTCAGTCAGTTGTAACAGCAACAGTCTGGGTTAGTTGTAACAATAATGCAGATGTTACAACTTACCACACTATTACTTTAACTTATATTAACCAAGTTGGGGCAACGACATCAGCAGAGAGAGGTTCACTGGTCGCTTTTGTATATGCGGTTAATGCCATTAGCAACACAACTACTTCACTGTTTGTGTTCCCACACATACATTATGCAGACCACTGTGTCAGAGATGGACCAGTAGGAAGTACTGGTAGTGGAAATAAATCAGGATGGGTGCAAGAAACAGATTTCCTCATCTTTCTGAAGCACTTTGCAAACCACACCAAGGTAAGCCAGGATAAAAAGTAATGGAATTGCGATGCTGGTGAACAACTACATTTTTTCAGCTTCATTGTTATGTTCAAAATTGGTGCAAGAGTTGTAGGTTATAATGCCCACTGAGCCAATGAGGCCAAACTCAAGGAAGACCAACCAAAATTAATGAAATATTCAGTTGCAGAAAATTCCATAATTTGTCTTTTTTGGGGGGTTGGAATATGTTCAAAAGCTAGATTTCTGCATTCTGTCACACACACACACAGCTACATAAATGGATGTAAGTGAATTCATGTGTTGAATAAACAAAGATTACATGTTAATGTTTTGTTAGTACCCTTATTTCATTGTGTTACATTTTACCCCAGGATATGTTACAACTAACCCAGACTACGGGGTTAATCGTAACATTTCACTCTTCGTGTTTGAGACCATACCATGCAATGGGTAATTGTGCTGCAGAGAAAATAGCTGCACTATTTAATAGCAGAGACATGTAAATACTTTGCATTACATTTTGAATCCACTACCTTAAAAGAGCTCCAATTTACAGACAGAAATGTCAAAAATGTTACAACTATCCCCGGTCTCCCCTACACACCTGCTAGACCTCATATCACTGGAAAGAAATCTATAAAAAATAATCAACAAAACTTTGTGAGGAAGCAATTTCACTCTCCTTCTGTCCAGCTGTAGCTTCTCAGCACTCCCCACTTTTTTTGATTGCTTATTCACAATTACATTGGTCATTTCCTTTAAGGTAAAACTCAAGAAATTCCATTTGCGTATGAATTGTGTCCTATAAACACACTTTCTTTGTCTTCCCTATCAGTTATTGAATAGTTGCATCCACCTCTAAAGTAATTACATTTTTATCTGTTTTGCAGAGCAAGCAAACAGCATGTAAGTTGGTAGATTACAGAACTACCTGACATTCAGCCACAATGTAGACAAAGCAGGATAACTTCTAAAAGTCTACAAATTAGATCTTCAGTTAAAGTGACTGCAAGCTACAAAAATGATCCAGAAGATACGAGCCAGCTGCTAAACAAACAGATGAGATCAAGAAAGTTCACCATTGATGCTACATGAGAAACAACATTTCTACTTAAGAAAACTCTTCAACTCTTGATTGAATTTACTGAGATGGCTCATCTCAACAGGCAGCAAAGGACGTGTGATCTACTTGTTGTTCGTCTGAACAGATTTTGTGTCAAGTCATTTTTATTAAATGTTTTGATGTTATGTTAGCTGTTTGACATATACGTGTTATTCCGCAGTTTTATTTTATTTTTTGTAAAAAATGTAGACACTAATCATTAAATGTTACAATTAAACTAAATAACCTTGTTTTTTGTTTGTTTTTGTAAATATAGTAGAAGTTTGAAAGATTTCTGTGAAACAGTGACAGAGACAATCCCTGCACAATACTTATGATCAGCACGTTTTGGAGAAATCCCTGCACAAACAAGAGAGAAGGTATTGAGACCGTTGCAGACAGCAGGATGTGACTGTGGTGATCAATGTGCTTCAGCAACATTCGTGTTGCTCACAATAAATCAATTTATAAAGTAAAACATACAGAGAAAAGTCTGCGTGTTTGATGACATAACCACACAGATTTCCAGCTGTTTTTAAGGCTCTTTACAATCCACAGCAAAAATAATAATGAGAGAGATGGTGTTTTCTTTCGAGCATGTGTAATAAATAGAAGCGGTAGTATCAAATAAATAATTAAACAATTGCGGAGACCACCCCAAATGTCTCTGGCATGCGTCGAAGCAGCAGGTACCCATTACCTCGTTTAGTCGTAGTCACGTGACCTGGGTATTTAGCCCCGCACTTCGGAGGAGTGTTTTAATAAGATGGCAGTAATGCAACAGTTTTGGATACAAGCTGCCGTTAAACTCGACTGAAGAAGAAGAAGAGCGTTTTAATACGTCTGTATCGACTTTTGTTTTGGTTAGTACGCCCAGCTTTGCGGACCAACTTCTTTGTGGTCTGATGCTGCTGCGCCACCTCCACCCTTGTTACGCATGACACGTAGCACCAATCAGTGTTGAGACCCCGGATTGTTTGCCGCGCTTGGCTCACAGGTGAATTGATTACAGTGTTTCTTAGATAAGGTGCGACTATTTGCGGTTCCTGTCAATGGACTGCGCTTTTGATTTGGTGGGTCTCATATTACAGACAGTGTATTAGTAGAGCATGTACTGAAGAGGCTTAGGGCCACCAGGGGAAAAAAAAAATATGTGACTGGTTCTGCAACCCAATTTGTCTCCTTGTTAAATGTTGAGTGTACGTCCAGTTCACGTGGTCTGTTGCCGAGCCTGGTATTTTTATTTTCTGTACAAGTTTTCGTAATCTGCAGTTTATCGGTGGCATCTGCTAGTTCGTAACTCCCACAGTATATAAATTGTACAGTAATGATGAATCGGAAACGCTAAGATTTTAAACCTCCGCTTTTTCAGAGAAAACGAGAAGTGTTCTTCACGTGGGTTTCATCCAAATGGCAGAGAAGTGGCAGCCGCAGTGTGGCGTCGAGTTAGAGCCGAATCAGTTTTACTGCTCGGTATGTCTGGACCTGCTCAAAGATCCCGTCACCATCCAGTGTGGACACACTTACTGCAGAAGCTGTATCGAGGGATGCTGGGACCAGGAAAAGGAGAAGGGAACGTACAGCTGTCCTCAGTGTAGGGAGGCCTTCAGCCCAAGGCCTGTCCTCGGGAGGAACAACATGCTGGCTGAGGTGATGCATCCACGGTGCTGCTTTTGAAAATAAATAAAAATAAATAAAATGACAATAAAACGTAGCAAGTTAACTAAAGTTCAGATACTCGGAGCTCAGAGAAATACTTAATGAGAAATATTTTTCTTTTTCTAAATTATTCTTTCTGATATTATCGTTATCCAATTTCTAGTTTTTTTTCATTTACAACATTTATAAACAGATTTTCATTAATGGTGTGGTGGTTTGCTTGGTTTGATTCTAGTCTGAGACACATCCCTTTGGGTTGAGTCAGGAAGGGCAGCTGGTATAAGTGAGTACAGTGAACTCATTGTTATGTTTAAGAAACCGTTTGAGATGATTTGAGCTTTGAGATGGTGTGTTAGCCTGCTGGAAGTAGCCATCAGTAGATGACATGCTGCGGTCATAAAAGGATGGACATGGTAGGCAACAATACTTTGGTAGACTGTGGTGTTTGGACTGGGGGAGGCAAAGTGTGCTAGAGGATATCGCCTCTACAGCATTCTAACACAAACCGGAACTGATGCAAAGCAGGATGGATCCATGCTCTTATATTGTTCATGCCAAAGTTGCAGGAGAAATGTGTTCTTCAGAACCAGCGACAATCTTCTTCAGTAGTCTAATTTTAGTGAGCGTGTGTGAATTCTGTCCTGAGTTGTGTGTTCTTTGCTGTGGAAGTGGCTGTTGCAGATCATCTGCTCAGTTTGAAGTTCAGCAGGTGATCTTGACCATGTCTACATGCCTAAACGCAGCGAGTTGCTGCCATGTGTTTAGTTGATTAGATATTTGTGTTGAAACAAGCAGATGAACAGATGCACCTCATAAAGTGTCCAGTAATCATAATTTTATATTTTCTTTGGCATGTCATTAGATTTTCTTGTGGGTGTTTGCATTGTCTGCTCTTGTTACCCCTAAAATACTTAAATGAATTATATTATCATCATAGCACATGCTTTCTAAATGATAGTCCATCCATCTTCATCCGCTTTGTCCGGGGCCGGGTCGCGGGGGCAGCAGCCTAAGCAAAGACAGCACTATCTAAATGATAGTGCTGTCTTAAAATAAATAACACATTTTTCTATAGTTTCGATTCTGTTTGTCGTGCAAAACCTTTGACCGCTTTTATTTGATCACTGTAGGTTGTAGAGAAGCTGAAGAGGACAGTAACCCAACAGGCCCGTCCAGCTTCTCCTCTTGCTCCTGCAGGACCAACAGACATTGCCTGTGATTTCTGTTGTGGGACCAAAAGAAACAAAGCCAGCATGTCTTGCCTGACCTGCTTGGCATCGTACTGTCCTGCTCATCTTGAGCCTCACCACAGTTTTCCTGTGCTGAAGCTTCACCAGCTGGTGTCTGCTACAGTGCCACTTAAGGAAAAAAATATGTGCAAAGCACAACAAGCTGATGGAGGTTTACTGTAAGACTGATCGAAGGTGTATCTGCTATTTGTGCACCTTGGACGATCACAGGCGCCACTCAACAGTGTCAGCTGAAGCAGAAAGAGCTGCGGAGCAGGTAGAGACAATAAGCCAATGTAAATCTGGAGAGTGGTTGAATTTGACTCCTGTGACTGAAATATTCACAATGACACATTCGTGGTTGCTTCTTACAGGTAAAACTTGGTGAGATCCAGAGTGCAGTCAAGCTGAGATTCCAGGAGAGACAAGAGGAGCTGAATGAGCTGGTCCAAGCTGTGAAGGACTTCGAGGTGTGGAAATAAGACTAGAAAACATGTTTCTGCTCTGACCACAGCAGTGTCTTTTGTACAGGTTCTGACATCTGGCAGTGAGAGCTGATAAGCATGACTGTCTGTAATTGCAACACGTATTCCTGCATTTTGGTGTATTTAATACACTGGTTACGTTTGTTTGAATTTTATGTTCATATGTTTTTGCCAGGAACAAAGTGAATCTAGAAAACTTTCTGCTATGTTGTGCATCTATTGTAAATTGAACCTTCTTTATACATTATATATAAACAGATTTGGTGTCAGACTGCTGTGAAGTCAAATGACGGGCTCTTTGACAAGCTGATCTCCTCCATCCAAAAACGACGTGCTTTAATGAAGGAGTTGATTGAAGCTCGGAGGAAAACTGCAATAGCTGAGGCAGAAGATCTGCAGATGCAGCTGAAGGAGGAGATGGCCACGCTGAGGAGAAGAGATGCTGATGTAGAGCAGGTTTCTCACACAGCTGACCATATTCATTTCATTCAGGTAAAAGTTGTGTTCTAGACCAACCAGTCTTTCTTTTTATAATTTTCACCTCGTACACATTTTATTATTTCAATTCAGAATCAATCAAGCATCTATAGCTGCAAGACACAAGTATTAGTAAAATGTGCTAGAGAATATTACACCCATGTTTCCATATTTTGGCTATATTATCTGAAACCAGCTGCCTGATTTGGACTTTGGGAATATTGTGTGCCTTTATATACGGAAAGATAAACATGTCAGGTTCCTATCTGCAACATGGCAGTTTCTGCAGGCCTCCAAATCTGTTAATTTGCAGAGCCATAGTGCAGGAGACGCCCCCACCCCAGATTTGAAGCACCTAGATCAAGTAGTTTTCAGTTAAAACTCCCAGAGAACAATGCTAGAAAGACTTCTAAAAACACTCTCACCTTGGCAGCAGGGACATGACACTTCCCATTAGGAAGTGTCATGTCCCTGGAATTGTTTTAATGAATTGAGACAGAATGTTCCATGTAACATGCAGTTAATATACTTTTTCTGTTCTGACTTGTCATTTTTCCTCTAGATCTTCAAGTCTCTCTCAATCTCATGTGAATTGCCAGACCTGCCAAGAGGCGCTGTTATTTGTCCTAAACATTCGATGAAAACGGTGACTGACTATGTGTCTGACCTGACATATGACATGAAAAACCTTCAGCAGACCACATGGCCTGAGATCTCTGCTACAGGTGCGCATATATATGTAAAGGTGCCTGAAGGAAATATTAAATAGTTGAATACAGTTCCTCTGTTTTCTATTTTTATATATATTTCTTTTCCCTGTTAGTGTCTGTTACAGATGTTGTGCTGCCACCTGTGCCAAAGACCAGGGGAGAGTTATTGCGCTGTAAGTAAAAACCGTTAAGGCAGATCGTTAAGTCTAATTGTTGAATGTTGCCATTGTGTTTCTTAAATTTGTACAGTCTTAGTTTAAGCAGTAGGATCAAAGCCATTCCTTTGATCCTGACCACCTCTCCAGCCACTCTGTGCTGGGGGAGGTTTTATTGTAGATACATCCTATCTGAAAGATCTGTTTCTTTTGATGTAAGCTTCCTGGGTTTATGACCCTTTGGTCAGCAGGAGGTCTGACACACACACACACACACACACACACACACACACACACACACAGACACACACACACATACAGTGCCTTGTCTTTGTAACCAAAGGGGGTTGCAAGGGGAGGTGTTTTGTAAACTATTGTTTGAAGTTTGTCAATAAAAGGCGGCGAGAGGAGGCCACCAGTGTGGTCATTTCAACGTGCTGGTCACAGACGAGAGGCCTCCCTTGCGCAAGAAATCGATCGAACACTGTTGCCTTGCTTTTCTTTCATGGGAATAAGTCTTGGATACAGCGGGGTCTGAGTTTAGACCCAACATTTATTTGGTCCTTCGGAGCCGGAGCCTAACACATTGCATCCACCGAGGAGAGGAAGAGGACGCCACCGCAACGTCTGGGATGATTGACGTAAAGCCCTGGTGTTTTTGGCTTGCCACCAGGCCGGGAAGTTTGCGCCTGACCTCCCCTCGGGATGGATGACGATTGACGGGATCCAGAGACTCTTCCCATGAACGTAAACAAACAGTGAGTACAGAAGGCCTTAGAGAGCGTCTCTATAACCGCGTGAATGAATGTGGGATCCTAGAAACGCGTCACCGTGATTCTGCGTGAAACGTTTGAGTCCCGGGGAGCGCTGGTCACGAGAGCGCACGTGGACCCAAAACAATAGAGAGCGGCTACGGGCTGTGCGTTAAACGTGAGTCCGGGAGCGCGCTAGCCGCGTGAGAGAGACGCAGGCTTCTCCGCCGTTTGGGGCGTAGAGAGTTCTCCGCCATTTGGGGCGTGGAGAGAACCTAGGTTCAGAGTCCGGAATCTCCGCCATTTGGGGCGTTGGAGAGTGTCCGAAGGTTGAATTCTCCGCCATATGGGGCGTTTGAGAGTTTTCAACAGAGAGCGCAGGCTGTGCGTGCAGACGCAAGCGATAGGCCTATGTTGTGTGTGTGCGGGCCAGACGTGGTCTGCGTGAGTGTGGCTGATTGTTGTCTTGTAATGGAGAATAAAATGTGTAAGTCTGCCTTAGAAGGAGATGTAAAATTTATGCAGAAAGTTTTACCAGGCAGCACGCAGTATGTAGGTTGTTGGTGTAAGAAATGTGGATTTGAAGGGACATTAGTGGAAGTTAAGTGTAAAATGCTGGTAGAAAGAATATCTGTAAGTGTAGCAGGTAAAACAGGTAAAGCGAAGCAGAGGAAGGAATTTCAGTTAGCAGTTGCTAAGTTGTGGCTGGAGCAGGCTCAGAAGAGGAGAGAAGCACAGAATGTTAAAAGAGCAATATTGCAAGAAGTAGTTGTGAAACCTGAGGATGAAACTACAGCTCAATCCACTGCAACTACTCTAGAACAACACCGTAGAAAAGCATTAGAAAGAGCAAGAATGTTAGCAGAAAGTAGAGTCAGAGAAGAGCGTGAGAGAGCAGAGGTAGAAGTGGAGGAGAGATTAGAGGCATATTAGGAGCAGCATTGAGTCCAAGACAGACTAGGCAAGAGAGGAGACAGAAAAGATGAAGAAAGTTTTTCTCCTGATCAATTCCGCGAGTGTGAGAGTGTCTGACGTCATGGTGTGTGTGAAAGGTATCCAGCTGGGGCAGACATGATTCTGCAGGTCACCTGCCCAGTGGACAAAAAGAAATAAAATAGTTGTGTGGATGAATGATAGCACGAAGAGTGTTTGGTGTTTCTCAGTCTGAAACAGCTGTAATGCTATTTTCTGTTTTGGAGAAAAGTACAGTTAAAGAAGAAAAACAGAGAGAGATGTGTGTTGTTTTAAGCAGTGATGAGAATAATGAAAGTGTGATGAGAGAGGACCACAAAAACATACAGAAAATGCATTAACTATACTAACCCCACATGCATATACACATACAATGATACTCATGAGACCAGACAGCATCTTAAGCATGAGATTCTGTTTGTCATCTTGTCCAAGTCACTAGTAAGATGAAAGTGATACATAGACTAGTGGACTGAATATTATAGGAGGACAGATGGTTGCATTATAGAGGAGAAAGCAGAATGCTGATGAGAGGTCTTAAATGAGTGAGTTGAGTGAGCTGATTGTGAGTTTCTGGTGTGTGAAGAAGTTTTACCATGGCACACATTTAGTTACATGAGAACTAAAACTTATTATGTGCTAAGACAACAGGGTTATGCTGTATGTTGTGTGTATGGCTGATTGGATGAATGTTTGAGATTAAACTGGCTGTTTGATTTGTCTTTATTACTAAAGTTGAACCTGCCAATTGGGTTGTTACGATTTATCCCCCTGGCATGAAGAACACGTGTCATGACTTAAACAAGGCCTTTCTTTCCATTATTTTCTTTGATTTCTTTTATTTTCTTTCTTTTATTTTGTTACTTTCATGGTGCACTGAAAGTTTTGTTTGATGATCTCTGTTGAGCAGATCTGCACGATTAGAATCGAAGCGTCGTCGAGAAAACTGTTGCAAAGTGAGCTTCTCCAAAATTAAAATGGGCTCTTATTTGGGACAATCAGGAAACAAGTTCCTGTCCAAAAGGATTCAACGAGGAAATCCAGTCTAAATTATTTTTCTTTTTGAAATGACGTTGTTTTGCTGAGCGTGGAAACGAATGCGACGATAATTTCCACAATTAGCTAAAGAAGGAATCACTGAGTGAATGAGTAAGAATTTTAAAATAAATGGGGAACTGACTGACTGACTTAACACCATTGTGTGAAGTCAACCCCCGCTTGACAAAGGTGTGGATGTATCTCTGTGTGTGTCTCTGTTACAGGAGCAGAAAGATGATAGCAACATCTGAGGTTGCGTGATGGTTTAACCTTTTAAATGCCATTTTTATGTTTGTGAATCTATCAGAGGTGTGTTATTCATGGGCTTGTGGTACTCACAGAAGTTACTGTGAGAAAGTGTGTACACACCTGCGCAGCGCTAACATTTGCATTTTTTCTTACAGCATTGCAGTTTTTCATGTGATTTGATGATGTGGTTTTTAGCAGAACAACTGGTGGATGTTTGTTTCTTTATTTCAGGTTTTGTTTTCTTTAAGAGTGCATGTAGCATTCAGCAGAAGTGGACAAGTGACATGAGTAAAACAAATAAGAGATTACGATATTTATGGAATAGTTTATTATGGGCTCATTTGCTGGCCACTTTTGGACCCATAATAATATATGAGTGGAGTGACTTTGCTTAAGGGAAGTCACCGATTACATTAATGTTAACTGAGCACATGGGATGATCCATGTTTGAGGCGAATTATGGTAACAATAGTGATTTAATGATTTGAGAAAACCTGCACATGACACTTGTCTTGCTGATGCTGAATGCTTGTTACTCTTGTGATATACTTGTTTATAAGTGTGAAGTTTGATTTTACTTCCAGATCTTGTTTTCCAGGCCATGATGGTGAGTATGCAGGCTCCTGGTGGAGCCAGTTTTTAAGGCAGGGATCCAGGTTTGGTGAGTTGACGCATGAGAGTGTCCATGCGTCAAGAGGTGGGGTCCAGAAGTAACATTAAACAATGTTTACTATTATTGTTGCAGTGATTTGTGTGATTAGCTGTTTATTTACAAGTATTAAACCTATGCAAGTGGTGCATCCATGTTCAGATGAGGCTTTGATGGCCTATAAGTGAAGTTCACTGATTACAATGTGGAATAACGTTGAGATGTTAAATAATTTGGAATAAATTATGGGAAAACGTAGGAGTTTAATGAGTTTAGAATAAACCTGCAATGATACTTGTCTCTGTGATGCTGAATACTTTATTACTTTCATGATCTATAGTTGGTTGCAAATGTGAAGTTGTTTTAAATTTTAAGACTTTGTCTTCTGTGATACAGGAGCTGGGAGTTAAACAAGTTGAACATTTAAGTGCTGACTAATGTTTTACACAGGGTTACAGCTTGGAGTGAAGCTGCTCCAAGGGACAAACCCTGGAGATTGTTTTAGGGAGACTGTGCGACACTCTTGTACATGTCTCATTGGGGAGTTGACACATGGCGAAAGCCGTGTGGCGAGAGGAGTGTCATTTTTTCAATTTGTAGATGTCGTGAGGTGCCATGACGAGAAGGAGTGACTGAGAGGATCGCCCACTAACTGGAAGCTGAGGGAGTGTGCCAAGCTCCAAAAAGTGACAGCGCAGAGGAGGTCCAGCGATGGACTTGTGGTTCTGTGAACAGCACAAATACAAGGTGACTGTAAAATAACTAACAGCACTTTATCCACAAGTGAAGCCAGTAACTTACTATCCTAAAAGATTAGCTCTAGTTGCTCGTGCTTTACCTCCATGCGTGAGATCAGTATGTGCAGCAGTTTAAGCTGTACAATGTTTCAATAGTTTATTTCACCTTTTGACATTGTTAGTTCCACACGAGGTAGAGGTCTACTACTGCAGACTAAACTTACATTTCTGTCACCTACAAGACACTTGTCTTTAATGTTACTGTTACTCTCACAACCACACATATTACCATAAAGTGGTGCACAATTCTGAATCTGTCCAACCCTTTTTGCCAACGGAGGAGGGCACTTCTCATGAGTGTAGAGAGCGCGAGGAGAAGAAGTGTAAGCTGAGGGATGACTTGATAGATGTGCCACTCGTTGAGGGAAAGGTTTGGTTTGTTGATGATTTGAGTTTTACAACAGCAGAGGGACAGACTAGAACACGTTTTACTGTAGCAGACAGTGAGAGAGAGTTATCTATGTAGGACAACTAGCATGTTTCATATTTGCTTGAGCAGCAGAGATGCTAGCTTTAACGGAAGCGTGTAAAGCTGTAGAGAGACAATATACACTGATAGGCAGTATACATTTGCTACTGTACATTTCTTTGTAGTGCAGTGAGTGAGACGAGGTATGACAACCTCAACAGGGAAACCTGCAGAACACACCAAACTCTTGCAAAATCTGCTGGAGGCAGCGTTATTAACCAGTGGAATTGCCGTTTGTAAATGTGCAGCACACATGTGAGGGAAAGATCCGGTTGCATTAGGGAAAGTTTTTGCAGATAAGATCGCAAAAGAGGCAGCTTTAGTTAAACATGGTGTTAACCTTTTATCAGTACAGCATTAGCAGACATGCAGGCCCACTCACCTACTGCAGGACAATAGTTGTGACTTACAGAGGGAGCAAGCTTGCAGGATGATTTTTTTATCTGTGTGATAAACCAGTACTGCCTAATAATTTGTATAAGACTGCTGCTATTTTGAGCCATTGGCTATACCATGTCTCAAACAGGAGGGAGATGAGCAGTCGTTATACTCACTCTAGGATTATTAAATACTTTTAAAAAAAAAAAAAACTTTTGCAGGCAGAGAGAACTAATGGAATAGTAAAGTTAAGATTTAGGAAGACAGGCAGGACATGGTTAGACTGTATAGAATAAGTACATGAGGATTACTCCAGCAGAGAATGGTCTGACTCTTTGAGATTACACATGTTAGAGCATTTAGAGTTCCAGTCTTCTGTAGTGATGATAGAAAAGCAGAAGAGAGAGCATATCGGCAGATTAGATGCTTGAAAATGTTTAAAAGTAAAGTAGTCATGAGAACAAATGATCTGCCAGATGATTCTGTTTCTTCGCAGGAGCAGAGCCTGAAGTCTGGAGATTGGATGATGATAAGGCCATGGAGAGGAAGTGCTGGTCCAGTCCACGATGGGAAGGTCCATATCGGATGCTGCTGACGACGACCACAGCAGTGAAGATTGCTGGAAGGAACACTTGGATATATCAAGCGCACTGCAAGAAGGTGACACACATCCAGGCCAGCTCGGAGTAAGTGGCAGGAAGACCGGGAACAAAGGGGGGGAAAGCCTCCAGGGCCCCTCGTCTCAATCCGGTGAAGAAACCAACTGAGCCACAGGTACTCATCAGAATGGCTGGGAATGTGCTGTGCATCTTCTTGTGCCTGTGGACCCTGAGTGGGATGACAGGAGCGCATTGGGACAGAGCAAATCACACCCAGTACCCGCATGGGTTTTCAACCAACTACTGGTGGCAGTTTAAGAACACAACCGGATAGCATCACTTGGAGTGAGACAGTTTGTTTGGTTGCTTTAGCAACACATCCAGGAACACTGCCAACTTTTCAACTGCTCTGAACCTGAATGGAAGGTTGATTCACCAGTAGCTGGGAAGGTGAACTGCTCTGGTGAGTCAGACCTGCTCGTCTGACTCAAAGAATATGACTTGCTGCAGGACATTGAACAGCTAAACGAACTGGAAACAGGCCAATTGCCTATGTGTATGAAGGACAATGGATTAGTCCAAGTTGGAGATCAACCATGGAACATGGCAACATCACCTATTCTTTTGTCTTCCGCAAGAAGGATGTAAACAGAGAAGCCTTTTGTCTACATTTACATCATGAACACTTGAGGTTTTGAGCCAAGAAGATCAAAACCCCTTGATCCAATTTCCTTTACAAAGCTTTTTCTGTGGTGACAACAGGACAGGAGAAGAGTTGTAAATGCAGATAATTCACCAGTTGACTCTAACCCCCACAGGATGCCTACAGTGAGAAGATTTGGGGGGTTGATAGGAGTCATAAAGACGGGTGTTGACCAGGCTGCAGCTTTGAAGTTAGCTGAGAGCCATATGGACAAACAATAAAGTCAACTGATGCGTTTAAATACCTATGTCTGTATACAGTTGGATTGTAGTGACATATGATTTTTGAGAATGATGATTCTTCTTGTTTGACCTTTGACATTCAGTTGTTTACTTGAAGAAATACATAATGAATTGCACGACAGGAGTAGATCCGCCACAAGGCTGGATAGCTTGGTTACCGTCTGGTCCTTGGTGGCATCTTCTTTTGAAAAAATTAATTCCTGTTTTTGGACTGTTGATACTGATTTGCTTATGTATAGGATGTAGTTTACTGTGTATGAATGAAATCTATACTGACACTGTCCAAACAAAGGGTGCATAAGTTGAAATTTAAGAACAATGACAAAAAGGAGGGAAATGTTAAGTCTAATTGTTGAATGTTGCCATTGTGTTTCTTAAATTTGTACAGTCTTAGTTTAAGCAGTAGGATCAAAGCCATTCCTTTGATCCTGACCACCTCCCCAGCCACTCTGTGCTGGGGGAGGTTTTATTGTAGATACATCCTATCTGAAAGATCTGTTTCTTTTGATGTAAGCTTCCTGGGTTTATGACCCTTTGGTCAGCAGGAGGTCTCTCTCTCACACACACACACACACACACACACACACACACACACACACACACACACACACACACACACACACACACACACACACACACAGTATACATTTACATACAGTGCCTTGTCTTTGTAACCAAAGGGGGGTTGCAAGGGGAGGTGCTTTGTAAACTATTGTTTGAAGTTTGTCAATAAAAGGCGGCGAGAGGAGGCCACCAGTGTGGTCATTTCAACGTGCTGGTCACAGACGAGAGGCCTCCCTTGCGCAAGTAATCGATCGAACACTGTTGCCTTGCTTTTCTTTCATGGGAATAAGTCTTGGATACAGCGGGGTCTGAGTTTAGACCCAACACAGATCATTATATAAATGAAGTAATCACTTAATAAATACTAGAAGGCTGATGATATTCCTGGTTTGCTTGTCCATCAGATCACTGTCCTCTAACACTGGATCCCAACTCGGCCAACAAATACTTTGTCATTTCACGGCAATCAAAACGAGTGACGAGTGGCTGCTATGAGCATTTTCATTTATCTCACTTGGACAGGTTTGGAGGTGTGAAGCAGGTGCTGTGCAAAGAGGGTTTAACAGGGCGGTGCTATTGGGAGGTCAGTTGGAGTGGTGGCGCCTGGTCAGTGGCAGCGTCTTACAAAAACATCAGCCGGACATCATTCGACTCAGAATTTGGGAAGAATGACAAGTCCTGGAGTTTGGAGTGCTCTGCAAACGGATATACTTTCAGACATGACTCAGTAACCAAGGCGGTGTCAGGTCCTCGTACCTCTCAGATTGGAGTGTACCTGGATTACAGGTCAGGTACTCTGTCGTTTTACAGCATCTCTGACACCATGACTCTGCTTCACAAAGTGCGCACAGTATTTACTCAGCCTCTCTATCCTGGCCTTGAGCTGAAGGAAGGAAGCTCTGGCTGTTATGCAGAAGTGAAGAAGTTGTGATGCCAACTTTTTCACCTCTACCATGTTGATTAATGTCTTTCAAGACCTAAAATAAGCAGTGAAGAAACCTGTGAGCACATTGAACTTGACACTTATTTGCTGAATGACTCGCACTGTTTGGCTGTTGAAAGGTGACCCAGGTGCTCCACTGTGACAAAGGACATTGAAATTATAAGGTTTTTTTTTCCGCTCTAATTAATCTATTCTTAACAGGTGTTTGTTTTTTGTTTTTTTTTTTTTTTTTTTAAATTGAGTTTAAATGGACTTTTTCACTTGCATGTACTTCATTGTTTTCTTTCCATTTTACTTCTTTAATTTCTGGGGGGGGGATAAAGTTGACAACATACTGCGCACAGGGCTTATTGTACTAATGATGAATGGGTTCAGATGAAGTCAGTTTTGCAGTCAGCTATAGCTACATAGATGCTGTATTGAACTATGACCAAAGTCTAGAAGATGGGAAAGCAGGATAAAGGTTAGTGTGGCTTTTGTGACACTTTTCCAAAGGTACTGCACTCATTTCTCAAAGGTTTGTCAAATTAATGGTCCTGTATTTTTAATTTAACTGTTTTTAGACTGCTTTCATAGGATTCCTTTCCTGTTCATCTGAGGTTGTGCTAAAAATCAATAAATAAAGATTGCCAATATTTAAACTGTTGTGAATGACTTGTTTGTCCATGATCTGTCAAATGTGTCTCTCATTAATGATATCCAGTCTTTTTGAGCCAAAGTATGTTCCTATCACAAGTTAGAAGCTGCAGTTTTGACAAAGTGACTTCATATACTCCCAAGTAAAGTGTCATGTTATATTAAAAATGTCTTCTTCAAAAGAGATCTGGTCTCGAGGCTGTCAGTAAGTGTAAAAAGCAGTTAGATATTTTAAGAGTCCAAAAAGAACTGCATTGGTTACCATGTAGGTGCAAACAGTCATTGCAAGATACTTTCAAAGCAGGTCACTTCTTTTATGCAACGCCTGTTGTTAATCCTCTTGACTAGTCGGTCAAAATAAGCAAAGATATAAGTCATAAAAAAATCACACGTCACTTTTCAGCAATGTATAATCTTCTACTGACAAAGGCAGGAGTACGCCTAGTACATGAGTACAAAGACATATGTCCCAAGGCTAGATTTGAATTGAACTCAAAGTCACATGTATTGAAAATATAGTTTTTTATAAAGCGAGACCATTATTGTTTTTCAAACATGTTGACATCTGCAGTGTAATCTATTTTGACATGTGCCATGTTATTATGTAAAACCTGCCACGTTTACCTCTGTCCGTGTCTTTTTAGTAGCCTGCTGTTAGTCTAATATTGGTAATGGCTCTTGTGAACAATCAGTATTCCAAAGTGTTCATATGCAAAATCACTAATTGCGGAGGCATTTATTAAAAAAAAAAAAACAAGACTTGGAAGAGGAAAACTCGTTTTAAGATGTTTACTGTGAGCTTTCTAACGTCTTGTAGACTGTTACTAAAAAGGAGTTATCACTGTTGTAAATTCATCATTGGGCGTGCGCTGTTGTTTGGTCATGTGACGCACAAACACGATTGTCGGAGGAAGCCATGCAGGATCATCACTCCTTTACTCCGATCCGAGCGTGCTGAGCTCTTACAAATCGCTGCTTATGTTTGGTTCAGTTACAGCGGGATGATGGCTGATCTTTACCAGCACCCGGTTTTCTTTGAGTGCGAGAGTCTTAAAAAAGAACATCTGACGAGATTACAAAATTATTTCCGTAATCGTCGCAAATCAGGCGGAGGAGATTGCGGACAACTGACGAGAGTGGACGCAAACGTCTACAGCGTGGTTTTCCAAAATAAAAAAGGTAAGTTTATCATGCCTTTTAAGATATCTAAATATTCTATATTTATTATTAAAATATATATTTTATATATATAATAAATAGATTTATTTATGCACGAAATATCTTATTATTTATTATTATTATCATTTCTCGGCTAAAATAGCCGTAACAGAAAGGTTTCAGCTGTTTAAGAAATATTACATTTTCACCGTTGAAGTACAGCTGTGGGTGGGAGTAGTGAGAAAGGAAACGTAAACCAAACGTTAGTCTGGAAACCGAAACTTGTTACGCAACGTTACGTTTCGTTTTCGGTGATCAGCAGCTGCCTCAATGCTGAGTTCAGGGAATTTGGGAAACTCTGATTTCCCACCGTCACATTTGAACTCTTTCCTCTGTGAGTGGGCTGTTTAGAGGGAGAGAGCTACTATGAGATGACGATATTATTGCAAATACAGTTTTTTTTTATTGTATTTTCTGTTTGAATGTGTTTTAGTAGATAAAGTGAAATGAGTTGCAAAGGCTTTAAAGCAGAAGTTAGCAATATATTGTGTTGGACATACTTCATATGTTCTATGTACTGATTTGGTAGCTTGTGAAGCTTGCACACAAGAATTTCACTCACATGTGCTGTACCAGTGCACCAGTAATGTGGTGTGACAACAAATTTGATTTGATTTTGATTTGACCACTGAATTATAGTTTCTACCAAACTGGCAGTGGGTGAAAAGAGGAGGAAAAAAAAAACAAAGAAGGGCAAAGAAAACAAAAAGAAAGAGTTAAAGTTATATAATAAATTCAGTCTGTAATTTGAGATATCTGTCAACAGATCAGCAGAGAGTTCTTCAGAGATCAAAGCATGTTTTGGAGATTGAAGATTGTCGTTTGGTGTTCACTGTCCGAGAAAGTCTGCAAAATTCTACCTCCTCTCACTTCATGACCCCCACTTCCAATCCAGCAGAGGTAAATTTCATGTTTTTGTTTATCTAGGTTTTTAATAGTTTTATGCATCCATATGAAATGAACATTGTCCATTTTATTATAATATTAATGTAAGCAGGGGTTTGCTACAAATTGATAGCTGTTCTCATTTGCATGTCTTCCCAATCACAGACTCCTGAGCACATTCCTGCCTCATCTCTTCTACCAAGCAATGACGGGTATGAACTACATGTTAATAATTATCTTAGTTACCTATATGTCCACATGCTCAGCAAGAACTTGAGAACATGCTTGCCTGTTTAGCCTGCTCTGCTGATCTTTACTGTGAGGAGGGGAGAGTTTTAGTCAGGAGGCTCGCTCAACCTGGTGCTGCGGATGAAGTTAGTGATTGAAAAGCTGAGGTAGACGCTCTCTTTGGTGGCTACTTTTGCCATTATGAGTTAAACCCTTACAAGGTTGAAGCTTTGGTTCAGTCCAGCAGCTCTCCTCAGACTGTGAGGTGAAAGTGTACACAGATGAGTCTGAGAAGAGTCTGAAGTAACTCTTGCTGCTGTGAAGGACTTTGGTAGTGTTAGAGGTTAAAGTCTGAGCCAAGTCATCCTGTTTGATAACAGAGTGGAGGCGGTGAGGGCCATACAGGAACCATGTGACAGGCTTCTTCAAGGGATAGATGCACCTGATGAAGATACAGCAAGAGGAGCCACTGCCAGAGCTCCTGGAGGCAGAGTCCTCATGGAGGTTATTCAGGGACTAATCGAGAGCCAACAGGTGAAAAATGTTGCTGTAATTAAGATAAATCACAACTCACAATAAAACACATTTTCTAAACCCACCAAATCTCCTGCTCTTGTCCTAGGTGGATGCTTTGGTGTCTCCTATGGTTGGCCATAATCCTCACTCTACCCGTGTTGGAAATGCTTTATTTGCAGTAGCTGGACGCCAGCTGACCACAAGGTTTATAAAGGAAGCAGAAGATGAAACAATGCCTGGTGACTCAGTACTGCTGGAGGGCTTACCTGGACTTCAATGTAATGCAGTCTTCTTCCTCAATCTTGTTCGTTGGGACGGTGACCCAGACGGCGTGCCAGTCCAGGTGAGATAGTAAAGGAGGGATTTTATTATACTGCCTGTTTGTGAGGACACTTTTAATGGAGTCATTTGCCATAATCCAGTATTTTTACCCTCTATAGGTTCTTCGAATGGGCATCAGAAAGATCCTATCTTCCTGTGAGACAAAAGGATTCACATCTGTCTCTCTTCCCGTCATTGGTGCTGGGATTGCTCTGAAATTTCCTGACAGTGAAGTGAAGAGGGTGTTAACAGAGGAAATGCACATATTTGAACAGGAGCGAACAGGCATCACACCATTCCTGATCCGCATCGTCATTCACTTTGATGACGCGGAGACACTCAAGGTAATGGAAATATTTTTTTTCCCTAAAAATCAACTACTGACAAATGCTGAGAGTTAAAGAATGCCACCATTCCTTATCTTAAACTCAGAATATAATAATCAAATATCTCACAATTGGAAAAGCTCATTTTCCTATATCAGTCAGCAGGAACAGTCTCATCTGACCCCAATATTTGGTTTATCCTTCATATTTTATTTTTCAAAGCAGCAAGGCTTCAGGAGGCTTCACAAACCTGATTTGACTTTAACTTGGAAACATACTGTATACACAATCATTAACCAATCAGCTATTGTTTCCTCTGCAATATATACAGTATATACAGGAATCATTACTAATGCTGGAAATTTGTTGTCTTTGCAGACATTTGGCTCTGTCCAAAATAAACAATTCACTGAAGATGTTCAAAATAAAGACCAAGATCAAGGTAGGTGTAGAAAATATCCACAGATAAGAATCCAGACAGTGCTTTTTAAACATAAATAATAATTTGATTCTTTTTGTTAAAAAAAAATCTTTTAAAAAAGAGACCATAATAAAACATCAACAGGAAATTACAACATCTGATGTAGAATATAAAAAACATTCAGTTGGAAAAGTTTAAATCTTACCTGTCCAACTGAAGCTTTTCTGTCAGATCAGGGGATACATCACCCTCATAAACCTCACTTTCTTGTGGGGTCCCCCAGGGGTCCATTCTTGGCCCAGCCCTTTTTTTGAATTTACATGCTCCCTATGGGCTCAACCTAAAAACAAACAAAAAAAAAAAAAACATGGCATCACATTTGACTGTTATGTAGACAAAAAAAAATTACCTGCCACTGAAACATAAATCTGTGAGTCCTCCAAAGGTTCTACTAGATTGTTTGGAGGATGTTAACGCATGGATGGCTTTAAACTTTCTTAATTAAAAGGAACAGAAAAGAGAGGTCATTGTGTTTGCTCCCTGTCACCACTACGACTTTGGCTCTTGATTAAAAAAACCCTTTGCGAGGAACTTAGGAGTGATTTTTGACTATCTATCTGTTTATCAATCTAACGCTTGATAAAACAGATCAATGCTGTAATCAAAACTATTTTTTTTCATCTCCGGCTACTTAAAAAAGTGAAGCCATTTTTCCATTTCAGAGACTTTTGTAATAGTCTTTATTCAGGATTCAGTCTGTAATTAGTTAGCCGAGTGCAGCTGGTCCAAAACGCTACAACTCAGTTACTAACTGGCACGCACTGTACTTTTATTTGCCTTATTTCTTCCTGAAGTCTTCTAAATTAAGGTTTTTTTTTTCTTAAATTGCATCACATCTTCCTACTTTTATATCTTTTGATTGTTTTAAATTTGCAGCACTTCGGTCTCAGTTGTTGTTTTTACATGTGCTATATGAAGAAGTTTGACTTTGACTGTTGATTCTGTTTTAAACCTGAAACCCTGACCAAAAAGTATTTCGAAGGCAGCAAAAGTAAGAAACAAATGTACTTAACAGAGTGACTGTTCTCCTCTAGAGTCAACAACAATGAGGTTGGTCCTGCTGGGAAAAACTGGATCTGGGAAAAGTGATTTGGGTAACACCATTCTTGGAGAGGAGCTCTTTGCCACCTACCATTCTCCAAACTCTGGGACAATGAAATGCCAAACAGAAACAAAAACAGTCAGTGGAAGAAGCATCACTCTGATCGACACCCCTGGTTTCTTTGACAAGGGAAGGTCTGAGGAAGATCTGAAGCCTGAGATAATGAGCTGTATGACAGAGTGTGCTCCTGGGCCTCATGCTTTTCTCATTGTGCTTCAAGTGGGCAAATTCACAGAGCACGAGCAGGCTGTCGTCACTAAGATACATCAGTCTTTCTCAGATGAAGCTCTAAAATATGCTGTAGTTGTTTTCACTCACGGTGACCAGCTCAAGAAAAAGATGAAAATTGAAGATTTTGTCAGTCAGAACAAAAATCTGAGTGATCTGGTGTCAAAGTGTGGTGGTCGGTGTCACGTCTTTGATAACGAACACTGGAACAAGAACCAGCCAAATAACTACAGGAGCAACCAGTTCCAGCTGGAGGAGTTGCTGAAAACAATAGAAAAAATGGTGGTGGAAAAAAACGGAGGTTACTACACCAATAAAATGCTGCAACATGTGGAGACGGCAATACAAGAACAGGTAGAGCACATTAGACACTCAATGCCAGATAAAACCCCAGAAGAGATCAGAAACCAGGCTAAATCTAATGTGTTTAACAGGTTTCTGATCCAAATGGCAGGGATTGCAACAGGAGCTTTGCTCGGTGCTTTTTTTGGTGTTGTAACATTGGCTGAATTTGCTATCAAAGCTGTGAAGAACCCACAACTGATGAATGTCACAAAAAAGCTTTCCACATTAGCACGAGTACCAGCTGCACACGAACCAAAAGCACTAGTAGTTGCTGGAGCAGTAGGCTTGACAGCAGCTGTAGGAGTAGGAGGAGTAATGGGAGGTGTCATTGGAAATGAAGCCGCTAAGGATGCAGAGTCACTTTCAGAAGCTGTACAGAAAACATATAAGGCTGTAGAAGAAAAAGGAAAATCTCTCACTCACTTAATGTAAGGTTTTCATAATAATCAGATATTTATGTGAACATTTGATTATTTTATTACCTCTTGATGTTGTTACATTATATATAATGTTTAAATATTTAGAAGGCGGTAGAGAAAATTTGGAGTCCAGTCCGTTAGACAGGAGGGTTTTGTTGTTTAGCCACTTTAGCACTTAACACTTTTTTTGCCTGACTGCCATTTGGTGGTGGGAACATATTCTTTGGTGTGTTTATGAGAGATTTATGTTCAATAGGTTTGTGGTCCTTAAAAAGTAAAACGATGAGCTTAAAGATTCCCTACCAAGTCTGTCAGTATGCTTGTTTTGCTTGTGAGATTGTTGCTTGATCTCCCTGGTGCCTCATTATTTTGTCTTGTCCATATAAAGGACAAGACTGTTTATGACCATGAAACACAGACTTAAAAACTCCAACAACCACTGAAGAAATTAGGTTTTGTTTCTGTTTTTTTCTGATATTGTCAAATCTCTAGTTTTACTTAATTGTAAACGATCTGATATTGATAGAACTACTTGAAATGTGTATGATATATTGGTGATGTGATTGACAGATCAAAGATGATGTATTAAGCAATAAAAGCACTAATTTCTGACAAGATTTCCCATTGCCCATTTGTTTTGTTTTGAGATTTTTTCCCTCCACATCATAGTTTTGTTCTTGTTGTACTGCACTTGCATGTTGTGATTAACATGAGACACTGAGGAAGAAAAGGCGTGAAGAAAGGACATTTAGAGGGGCTACAAAACTGCCAGAGTGTTGCCAACAAAGTGCAACAACTATGTTTCCCCGCCTGAAATTTTGCCTGTGCAAAAACATGAACTTTTGTCATTGTGAATCTTTGAGTTGAGTGTATCATTACCAGCATGCACAGTAATTGGTCATATGGCCCATATTTCAATTTTCAGTTCAATCTTTAGTGTTATTTACATAGTCCCAAATCACAACAACAGTCTTCTCAAAGTTCTTTCTATTGTAAGGTAAAGACACTACAATAATACAGGGAAAAAACTCAGTTGTCCTCTTAGAGAAGTGTATAAACAGTATGTGAAAAAGGTGAGTGAAGAATAAATGCTCAATGCATCATGGGAATCCCCAAGGAGCATATGTCTAGTGCAGCAAAACTAATTAGGTTTCACCTGATTCAGCCCTAACCATATGCTTTATCCAAAAGAAAGGTTTTAAGCTTAATCTAAAAAGTAGAGATAGTGTCTGTCTCCTGAAGAGGGGCCTCTGATTCTACTTTTGAATACTCTAGGAACCACAAGAAGGTCTGCAGTGCAAGAGCGAAGTGCGGTGAGGCCTTAAAGATAAGATGGGACCTGATTATTCAAGTATGTGTATGCATAATGTAAACAGAACTCGTCCTATCGCAGAACCATGTGGATATTTATAATGTGAAGTAGATTCCCCATTTACATGAACAAACTGGAGTCTATTAGACAGATAGGATTCCAACCACTGCAGCGTCGTACCTTCAATACCTACAACATGCTATAATCACAGTAATAAATTAACAGAGATGAGTCCACTGTCAGAGGCCATAAGAAGATCATTTATAACTTTCACTAAAGCTGTTTCTGTACTGTGATGGGCTCTGATACCTGACTGCAACTCATCAAATAAACAATTTCTCTGCAGATGATCTGTTAGCTGTTTGACATCTACTCTTTCAACAACTTCTGAGATGAAAGGAAGGTTGAAAATTGTCCTATAATCATAATTAGTTTTGCATGTAGACATACAACTCATCTCCCAGGATCAAACCTTCAGTCTCATGAGAGAGTGCAGAGCTCTTACTAATTGCTTTGTATTTTATGAAAATATTTCCATATTCACCACAGTTTAGGAGACCACTATGAGAGTGAGAGACAAAATCTACTTTACTGCTTTCAGAAATCAAAAAGATATGTTCATCATGCATTGTAATCCAATCCAACTTTATTTATATAGCACTTTAAAAAACAACAGTTGACCAAAGTGCTTTCCAATAATTAAACAGAGATAGCAGTTAAAAACCATACATAAAGCAGACAAAAAAATAAATATAAATAACAATGAAATAAATACATAAATGAAAAAGAAGATAAAAATAAATCAGTATATATATATATGAAATATTAAAACATTAGTAAAATAGGCAATAAGATCTACAATGAACAAAATTAACAAAATAAAAAGATTAAGAGACCAACAGCTGACTAAAACTGACTACAAGCTGACTCTGGTACTACTCCTAAAAAGCCTTTGAGAAAAAGTGTGTTTTTAAAAGTGATTTAAACATTTCAAGTGTTGGGGCCAGCCTAATATGGAGGGGCAGTTTGTTTATGGAGGGGGCCACAACAATGAAAGCTCAGTCTCCCCGGTGTTTCAGTCTCGACATGGGGACAGCAAGGAGTGACTGGTCAGCTGATCTATGAGACCTTTGTGGAGTGTATCGGTGTAGAAGGTCTGCAAACAATAAAATTTTAAAATGAATTCTAAAATGGACAGGCAACCAGCGTAAAGAGACAAGAACAGGGGTAATGTGCTCATGTTTGCATGTCACTGTCAACAGGCGAGCAGCAGCATTCTGGACCATTTGAAAGCGTGATAGTGAAGCTTTATTATACAGGGAGTGCAGAATTATTAGGCAAGTTGTATTTTTGAGGAATAATTTTATTATTGAACAACAACCATGTTCTCAATGAACCCAAAAAACTCATTAATATCAAAGCTGAATGTTTTTGGAAGTAGTTTTTAGTTTGAGCTATTTTAGGGGGATATCTGTGTGTGCAGGTGACTATTACTGTGCATAATTATTAGGCAACTTAACAAAAAACAAATATATACCCATTTCAATTATTTATTTTTACCAGTGAAACCAATATAACATCTCCACATTCACAAATATACATTTCTGACATTCAAAAACAAAACAAAAACAAATCAACGACCAATATAGCCACCTTTCTTTGCAAGGACACTCAAAAGCCTGCCATCCATGGATTCTGTCAGTGTTTTGATCTGTTCACCATCAACATTGCGTGCAGCAGCAACCACAGCCTCCCAGACACTGTTCAGAGAGGTATACTGTTTTCCCTCCTTGTAATCTCACATTTGATGATGGACCACAGGTTCTCAATGGGGTTCAGATCAGGTGAACAAGGTGGCCATGTCATTAGTTTTTCTTCTTTTATACCCTTTCTTGCCAGCCACGCTGTGGAGTACTTGGACGTGTGTGAAGGAGCATTGTCCTGCATGAAAATCATGTTTTTCTTGAAGGATGCAGACTTCTTCCTGTACCACTGCTTGAAGAAGGTGTCTTCCAGAAACTGGCAGTAGGACTGGGAGTTGAGCTTGACTCCATCCTCAACCCGAAAAGGCCCCACAAGCTCACCTTTGATGATACCAGCCCAAACCAGTACTCCACCTCCACCTTGCTGGCGTCTGAGTCGGACTGGAGCTCTCTGCCCTTTACCAATCCAGCCACGGGCCCATCCATCTGGCCCATCAAGACTCACTCTCATTTCATCAGTCCATAAAACCTTAGAAAAACCAGTCTTGAGATATTTCTTGGCCCGGTCTTGACGTTTCAGCTTGTGTGTCTTGTTCAGTGGTGGTCGTCTTTCAGCCTTTCTTACCTTGGCCATGTCTCTGAGTATTGCACACCTTGTGCTTTTGGGCACTCCAGTGATGTTGCAGCTCTGAAATATGGCCAAACTGGTGGCAAGTGGCATCTTGGCAGCTGCACGCTTGACTTTTCTCAGTTCATGGGCAGTTATTTTGTGCCTTGGTTTTTCCACACGCTTCTTGCGACCCTGTTGACTATTTTGAATGAAACACTTGATTGTTCGATGATCACGCTTCAGAAGCTTTGCAATTTTGAGACTGCTGCATCCCTCTGCAAGATATCTCACTATTTTTGACTTTTCTGAGCCTGTCAAGTCCTTCTTTTGACCCATTTTGCCAAAGGAAAGGACGTTGCCTAATAATTATGCACACCTGATATAGGGTGTTGATGTCATTAGACCACACCCCTTCTCATTACAGCTATGCACATCACCTAATATGCTTAATTGGTAGTAGGCTTTCGAGCCTATACAGCTTGGAGTAAGACAACATGCATGAAGAGGATGATGTGGACAAAATACTCATTTGCCTAATAATTCTGCACTCCCTGTATGTGGACTGGTATCTTCACCTAAACATCCTACAGTGGTAGAAGTATGCAAATGACAATCATGAAATTATTATTATTATTATTATTACCATCTCAGTTAAAGACATGCCATGAAATATCCAAAAGAGAAGGTTTAAGCTGGAGTAACAGGAGCTATATGCAAATACAAAGGTAAATAAAAATGTGTCCATCCTGTAAGACAGGGCAGCCATACAAGTTTGCAGTTAATGACACATCACCTGCTATTTGCCGTTAGTTCCTGAGTGATCCTGTCTTTATTAATTCACAAAGTCATTTCGGTTTTCTTGTGCATAAATGCATGATGTTCCCTGGATTAGGAAAAGCTATGGAAAACTGCTATATGTAAAATGCTAAAAACAAACAAACAAACAAACAAAAAAATCTAGAAGCAACAAATTAACCCTCAGATCGTGTTAATATTTATAACATGGAGTATAATCATTTCTGGTGAGTCCTGTTGATTCAATCAGTTACAAACTTTACAAACACAGACCCATGAGAATGACTCAAACCCCAGCGGACCCCCCCCACACACACACACACAACCCATATCTGGATGACATACCACTTACCATGCCAGAAGTCAGCCAGCAATGCCGGCTTGACACCAGATCCAGGCAAAACCTGTTTGCTATGTGGGCATAGGGATCAAGGTCCAGCGAGCCCCAGACCCAGGCCTACTCACACACACAGAAACTGCACAGACACACTCATCAATCCACATCCACCCCACGGACGAATGCCTCTCGACCATAGCCAGCAGCCCCGTTGTTCGAGATGCAGTTAACCCGTCCCCTGATCATCACTCCACCACAGCGTCAGGTAGGACGTAGGAAATAGGGATGTAAGGACCGGCTTGTCCATGTTAAAATGGTCTGTTGGGTGCATATGTTGGTGTGCGTGAGTGAGTGAGTGAGATGTAAAAAGTGAATATGACGTGTGAAGAGCGCTGTTAAAATTCAGCGGAGAACTGTGGCACGATAATGAATGGCTTTTCTAAAGAGAGAGCATTGTTCTTACCAAAACATGTTGATATCTTTGGCAAAATCTATTTAGAAGCGGCATGTGTTTACCTCTGCGGATGTCTGATTTTTTTTTGTAGTATCCTGCTGTTTTGGCTCTTGTGAACAACTAGTTTTAAAAGTGTTAAAAAAAAATTAGTAATTACAGAGGCATTTAATAAACGTACTTGGATGAAGAAACTGGTTTTAGATGGTTTCGGTACGGGGAGCTTTGGAAGACTGGTTTACCACAAAGGTGTAGTTATTACTGTTCTAAATTTAACATCACCTGCAGGCGCGTTTGTTTAGTCATGTGACCTTTATGACGCACAAAGGTGTTTGTGCACTTTGAGGAAGCTTGCAGGATCACTCCTTTACTCCGATCAGAGAGTGCTGCGCTCTTACAAATCGCTGCTTATGTTTGGTTCATTTACAGCGGGATGATGGCGGATCAGACCCAGCACCCGGTTTTCTTTGAGTGTGAGAGTATTAAAGAAGAACATCTGACGAGAGTACAAAAATACTTCGGTATTCGCCGCAAATCGGGCGGAGGAGAGTGCGGACCGGTGACCACAGTGGACGAAAACCTCTACAGTGTTGCTTTCCGAAATAAAAAAGGTAGGTTTGTTATGAATTTTAATAGGTAAATATATTTACCTATGTTTATAATGTACGGACTTTCTTATGCACGAAATATCATACAGTAGTCGACGTCTCTAAATGACCATTTATTATTTTCATCAATAATTATATTTTGCCTCAGTAACCGTATCAGAAAGTTTTGGCTGTTTAGGAACTATTATACTTTCACAAGTGAGTTACTGGTGGCCTGGTGGGACACGTAAGAAAGGAAAACAAAAGTCTGTCCGGAAAGCGAAACTTAATATTACACAACATTTGATGATCAGCCACCGACAGTGGGTGAAAAGATAAGATTAAAGAAGAAGGAAAAAAGAAACATAAAAACGAAAATAAGTCACATAAAAATAAATTCTACATGAAACTCAGTTTGTAACTTGAGATCTATTTATAGATCAGCAGCAAGTTCTTCAGAGATCAGAGCATGTTTTGGATCTTGAAGATTGTCGTTTGGTGTTCACTGTCCGAGAAAGTCTGCAAAATTCTACCTCCTCTCACTTCACCACCCCCACTTCTGCTCCAGCAGAGGTAAATTTCATGTTTTGATTTAATCAAGATCTTTGACAGTTTTATGGATCCATATAGAATCAGCATTGTCCATCTATCTATCTATCTATCTATCTATCTATCTATCTATCTATCTATCTATCTATCTATCTATCTATCTATCTATCTATCTATCTATCTATCTATCTATCTCAGAATCAGAATCAGAATCGTGTTTATTGGCCAAGTATATGTGCAGACACATACAGGGAATTTGGTTCCGGTAGATGGTGGCTTTCAAGCACAGCAATGTAAATCTCACACACACAAGTGTCTATATATACACATTACACATACATACACAGAGCTGTGTAAACCAACTATAAATAACGAATCTAAACTTATATACATAAAATACAGAAATGAATGAGGTGGAATGAATACTACAAAATGTACATAAGGTGCAGTTGCAGTCTGGCAGTGGGAGCAGTGTGACAGGTCAACTGTTAAGAAGGGAGATGGCGAGGGGAAAGAAACTGTTCCTGTTTCGGGTGGTCCTGGTCTGCAGGCTTCTGTACCGTCTGCCAGAGGGCAGCAGATCAAAAAGTCTGTGTGCAGGGTGTGAGGGGTCTGTGATGATTTTCCCTGCCCGTTTCCTGGTTCTTGAGAGGTACAGATCCTGGATGGAGGGCAGGGGGGCGCTGATGATCCTTTCTGCTGCCCGTACAGACCACTGCAGTCTGCTCCTGTCCTGTTTAGTGGCTGCTCCATACCAGACTGTGATGAAGGAGCACAGGACAGACTCAATGACCGCAGTGTAGAACTGGATCAGCAGCTCCTGTGGAAGACTGTACTTCCCCAGTTGTCTCAGGAAGTACATCCTCTGCTGGGTCTTTTTGAGGATGGAGTTGATGTTGGTCTCCCACTTCAGGTCCTGGGAGATGGTTGTACCCAGGAACTTGAAGGTCTTCACAGTTGACACAGGGCTGTCTGATATGGTGAGGGGGAGCAGAGTTGAGGGATGTCTCCTGAAGTCCACTGTCATCTCTACAGTCTTAAGAGTGTTCAGCTCCAGATTGTGCACCAGAGTACCAGCCGCTCAACTTCCTGCCAGTATGCAGACTCATCACCATCTTGAATGAGGCCAATGACAGTGGTGTCATCTGCAAACTTTAGGAGTTTGACAGCAGAGTTATTGGAGGTGCAGTCGTTAGTGTAGAGGGAGAACAGTAGTGGTGAGAGGACACATCCTTGAGGGGCACCAATACTGAGGGACCGGGTTTCAGAGGTGATCTCCCCCAGCCTCACTTGTTGCTTTCTGTCTGTCAGGAAGCTGGTGATCCACTGACAGGTAGCTGGTGACACGCTGAGCTGGGAGAGTTTGGAGGAAAGAAGTTCAGGCACAATGGTGTTAAAAGCCGAACTAAAGTCCACAAACAGGACCCTGGCATAAGTTCCCGGGCGGTCAAGGTGTTGCAGGATGTAATGCAGCCCCATGTTCACTGCACTGCATCTATCTATCTATCTATCTATCTATCTATCTATCTATCTATCTATCTATCTATCTATCTATCTATCTATCTATCTATCTATCTATCTAATTATTTTACTGTATATTTTACAGTTTTGTACTGTTCTTCTAAAATATCACTAAATCTACATAAATAGGCTGTGATTTTACATTTCAAATGTAAATTAAAGTAAAATCACTGTAAATGCAATAAAACATAATTTTCTTGTTTTTTAAATGTATTTGTCTGTAAATATGCATATTTAGATTGTTAAAATACATTCACAAATCTATCATAATTTCACAAATATTTGTCCGTTATTTGAAAGAAACTGTTAAATTCAAATGTAATGCTATGGAAAAATATATAAAATTATTCTTATGAACTTTTTTTTTTACATCAAATAATAATTATTATTATTGTTATTTAGGGCGATTGTGGCTCAAGCATTGGCAGATTGCCTTGTAATCAGAAGGTTGCCGGTTCGAGCCCCGGCTCGGACACTCTCGGTTGTTGTGTCTTTGGGCAAGACACTTCACCTACCACCTACTGGTGATGGCCAGAAGGGAATTGTAAAGCACTTTGAGGGTCTCAAAAAGCACTATATGAATGCAGTCCATTATTATTTAAACCAACTGGTAACTTTATATTTCTGTACATTTAAGTATTATTATTCATATTGCCGCATTCATTGACCTTGTTTATAGGTAATTTTATTGTTTGATCATGTTAAAATGGACCTAATTTAATGTTTAAAAGCACTTGAAAAAGGCAAAATCCCATGTATAATTAGGGCAACAAACTGTTTTGTCATTACTGAAAATAACCGTATTTTTATGAGAAAGTTATTTTCTGTTATTATTTTGGCGCCCCAGCTGCCGGAATATTACAGTTTGTTTAGTTTTGGGGTTTTTTTACGGTGTGTGTGTGTGTATATATATATATATATATATATATATATATATATATATATATATATATATATATATATATAAGGTAAGGTGGTCTTTGTTGCCGATTGATACCTCCTCTCATTTGCATTTCTTCCCAATCACAGACTCCTGAGAACATTCCCGCCTCGTCTCTTCCACCAAGCGATGAAGAGTATGAACTACACGTTGATAATTATCTCCTTCGTTACCTGAAAGAATGTCCACATGCTCAGCAAGAACTTGAGAACATGCTTGCCTGTTTAGCCTGCTCTGCTGATCTTTACTGTGAGGAGGGGAGAGTTTTAGTCAGGAGGCTCTCTCAACCTGGTGCTGCAGATGAAGTTAGTGATTGGAAAGCTGAGGTAGACGCTCTCTTTGGTGGCTACTTTTGCCATCATGAGGTAAACCCTGACAAAGTTGAAGCTTTGGTTCAGTCCAGCAGCTCTTGTCAGACTGCAGGTGAGGTGAAGGTGTACACAGATGAGTCTGGGATGGCTGTTGTTGTTGGAGAACAGTCTCTGGTTCATGCCAGGTTGTTAGACATCGAGCAGTCTTCAAGTTTACGTGACAATATGGCATCTCTGAGTTTAAGAGAGGAAAGCACAACCATTGCTAGCTACAGCCTTTGTGATGGGCTCCAGGTGTTTGTGTGTCAGGGTGACATCACCAAGCAACACACTGATGCTCTGGTAAATGCAGCCAATCAGGACTTGGAGCACTCTGCAGGTGTTGCTGCTGCACTGAGTCGAGCTGGTGGTCCTGAAATACAGAGAGAGAGTGATGAATTAGTGAAGTGTTTGGGGAAAATTCCCATAGGAGACACAGTAGTGACCACAGGGGGTAACTTAAAGTGCAAGAAACTGCTTCATGCAGTTGGGCCTGTAGGTGGAAAAGCAAGTAACAGAGATAAGATGTTACTGGAGAAAACTGTGCATTGTGCTTTAAAGTTTTCAGAAATAATGGAGTTTCAGTCCATAGCCATTCCTTGTATCAGCTCAGGTGTGTCTGGGGTTCCTCTCACTGTGTGCACTGAAGCAACTGTTGCTGCTGTGAAGGACTTTGGCAGTGTGGGAGGTCGAAGTTTGAGGAAAATCATCCTGATTGATAACAGAGAGGAGGCAGTGAGGGCCATGCAGGAAGCATGTGACAGGCTTCTCCAAGGGATAGATACACCTGATGAAGATACAGCAAGAGGAGCCACTGCCAGAGCTCCTGGAGGCAGAGTCCACATGGAGGTTATTCAGGGATCGATTGAGAGCCAACAGGTGAGAAATGTTGCTGTAATTAAAATAAACAACACCTTGCAATAAAACACATTTTCTAAGCCCACCAAATCTCCTGCTCTTCTCCTAGGTGGATGCTTTGGTGTCTCCTATGGTTGGCCATGATCCTCTCTCTACCCGTGTTGGAAATGCTTTATTTGCAGTAGCTGGACCACAGCTGACCACAAGGTTTAGAAAGGAAGCAGAAGATGAAACAATGCCTGGTGACTCAGTACTGCTGGAGGGCTTACCTGGACTTCAGTCTAATGCAGTCTTCTTCCTCAATCTTGTTCCCTGGGATGGTGACCCAGAGGGTGTTGCAGTCCAGGTGAGATAGTAAAGGAGGGATTTTATTAGTCTGCCTGTTTGTGAGGACATTTTTTAATGAAGCCATTTGTCTTAATCCAATATTGTTATGTTCTATAGGTTCTTCGAATGAGCATCAACACAATACTGTCTTTTTGTGAGAAGAAAGGATTCAGATCTGTTGCTCTTCCCGTCCTCGGTGCTGGGATGGCCCTGCAGTTTCCTGTCAGTGAAGTGGAGAGAGTGTTAATGGAGGAAGTTTATGTATTTGAAGAGGAGCGAGCAGGCATCACACCATTTCTGATCCGCATCGTCATTCACCCCGATGATGAGGAGACACACGAGGTTATGACATAGCACTTTTCCCTAAAAATCAACTATTGACAATTACGACGCTGAGAGTTGAAGAATGCCACCAACACCAAACTCTTATATTGATTTGTGCTTAAAAAAAGAAACTCTGAATATAGTAATCAAATATGTTCCAATAGTAAGCTCATTTACCATCTCATTTGCCAATATCAGTCAGCAGGGACAGTCTCATCTGACCCCAGTGTAATTCTTATGTGTAATAATATACTGTACAGAAATTGTTACTAATGCTGTTAATTTGTTGTCTTTACAGACATTTGGCTCTGTCCAAAATGGCAAATTCACTGAAGATTTTCACCACAAAGACCCAGACCAAGGTGAGTGTAGGAAAATATATACAACTAAGAATCAAAACTGGTTTTTTTTTTATCTGTTTTTTCTTTTCTTTTCGGGCACCTAAAAATCTCGAGTTAAAAAAGAGACAACATCTAAAACATCAACAGGGAATTACTACATCAGTTAGAGAATATAAAAGACATTCAGTCCATCACAGTGTACAAAATACACAGCATTTGGACAACAGCTCAAATACCTGAAAGTTTGGAGGATTCAGACAACCCTCCAAAGACTGAACAAAAGCTTGACCTAATTATCATTTAATGTTCAGGTCTCATATTATCCCTCCTGCTACAGACCCATCTGTTCTCATACCAACAGTGACAGTGGTCAACAACCTGAAACCCACAAGTTGTACTCTGGATATTTATAATAACCGACCAAAAGCTTGGCCTAATAGCAAACTGCATTCTCCTCTTATTCTTTAGTATTGACTCTGTGTCTGACTAAGCCTATACTGTAAAATCTGCTTCCTATTTTAAACCTCAAACCATGACCAAAAAATATTTCAAAGGCAGCAAAAGTAAGAAACAAATGTACTTAACAGAGTCAACTTTCTCCTCTAGATTCAACAACGATGAGGTTGGTCCTGCTGGGAAAAACTGGATCTGGGAAAAGTCACCTGGGTAACACTATTTTTGGAGAGGAGCTCTTTGCCACTTATGCCTCTCCAAACTCTGGAACAATGAAATGCCAAACAGAAACCAAAACAGTCAATGGAAGAAGCATCACTCTGATCGACACCCCTGGTTTCTTTGACACAGGAAGGTCTGAGGAAGATCTGAAGCCTGAGATAATGAGCTGTATGACAGAGTGTGCTCCTGGGCCTCATGCTTTTCTCATTGTGCTTCGAGTGGATAAATTCACAGAGCACGAGCAGGCTGTCATCGCTAAGATATGTCAGTGTTTCTCAGATGAAGCTCTAAAATATGCTGTCGTTGTTTTCACTCACGGTGAACAGCTTGACAAAAAATTTAAAATTGAAGATTTTGTCAGTGAGAACAAAAATCTGAGTGATCTGGTGTCAAAGTGTGGTGGTCGGTGTCACGTCTTTGATAACAAACACTGGAACAACAACCAGCCAAACAACTACAGGAGCAACCAGTTCCAGCTGGAGGAGTTGCTGAAATCAATAGAAAAAATGGTGGCAGAAAGAAACGGAGGTTACTACACAAATAAAATGCTGCAACATTTGGAGACAGTAATACGAGAACAGGTAGAGCACATTAGGCAGTCAATGCCAGATAAAACCCCAGAAGAGATCAGAAAGCAGGCTAAAACTAATGTGAGGAGTAGGTTTCTGATCCAAATGGCAGGGACTGGAACAGGAGCCTTGCTCGGTGCTTTTTTCGGTGTAGTAACATTGGCTGAATTTGCTATCAAAGCTGTGAAGAACCCACAATTGATGAATGTCACAACAAAGCTTTCCAGATTTGTGCCAGCTGCACAACAACAGAATGCATTAGTAGCTGCTGGAGCAGTAGGCTTGGTTGGAGCAGCAACTGCAGGAGGACTAATGGGAGGTGTAATTGGAAATGAAGCAGCTAAAGATTCAGAGTCACTTTCAGAAGCTGTACAGAAAGCATATAAGGCTGTACAGGAGGAAAGAAAATGTCTTACTCATGTAAGATTTTCATAATAACCAGGTACAGTAGTCCCTCGTTTATCGCGGGAGTTACGTTAAAAAAAATAATAATAGCCAACTTAAATTTTTTACAGTTATTATAGATGTTTTAAGGCTGTACAACCCATCACTACATACTTTATACACTTTTCTTGTTGTGTTTGACATTTTTGTGTCTGTTGGGAGAAAACTTACAAACACACAGGACAGCTCTTCAGAGTCACGCTGCTAGTGATCGAAGATTTATGTAGATTTGACTACCTGAACTCATTCTGTACTGTACAGGAGACACGGCACGAGATTGATTGGCAGTGGTCTACAGGACGCAGAACACAATGCATTGTTAAAATTTAAAAAAAGAAAAAAAAGAAAGCCATAAAAGGCGTTGCACAAAATTAGTGTTTATTTGGAATCTGGTTTTTGGCAAACTATCATATATTTAGTCAGCAGTTTCCCTCCTTCATGAAGGAGATTTTGTTCTTCAGCCACTTTAGCATTTTCTCTACTAACAATTTGTTTTTTCTTACTTCCCTTTGGTGGTGGGAACATATTGTTTGGTGTATTTATGTTCAATAGGTTTGTGATCCATAAACAACTAAAACGTTGAGCTTAAAGATTCTCACAAGATCTATGAGTGGGATAGCTGTGTTTATGGGGTTGTTGCTTGAACTACCTAGTGCCTTGATTCACTGTGATCATAATTTTTCATACAGATGTGACTAAAGTGGACGAATGTTTGAGACCATGAAACACATCAAACTTTAAAAACAATAACAAAACACAACAACACACTTAAGATTGAAGAAATTAGGTTTTGTTTGATTTTTCCCTGATATTGTCAAATCTCTATTTTTACTTAATTGTAAAGTATCTAATAATAATAGAACTACCTGATATGTGTATGCTATATTGCTGATATGACTGACAGATCAAAGATGTCTTATTAAGCAAATAAAAGCTATAATCTCTGACAAGGTTTCCCATTTCCCATGCCACGGTTTTGCTGTTGTAGTACTACACTTACATGTTGTGATCAACAAGAGACACTCTAAGAAAATGCATTGATTCATGTGATGCCATTACCAGCATTAACATCAATTTTATTCATATAGTCCCAAATCACAACAGCAATCTCCTCATTGTGCTTTGTAAGGTAAAGACCCCACAATAATGCAGAGAAACCCCAACAATCAATGTGAGCAAACACATGGCAACGGTGGTTAGGAAAAGTTCACTTTTAACAGGAAAAAAGCTCCACAAAAACCCGGCTCAGGGAGAGGGCATCCATCTCCTGTGACCATTTAAGGGTTAGGAGAGGTAGACACCTATTAATAAGAGCCAGAGACTATTAATAGCTAATGATTAAATAAGATAAGATAAGATAAGATAAGATAACTCTTTATTGTCATTGCACATGTTGCACAAAAGGGCGGCATTTATTTTTACATTAAACATAAAATATGCATTTACACGTAACATATTTGACATAAGATAAAACAAAAACAACATGAAATCTGACATACCTGATAAAAAAGGTAAAAGAAAGAAAGACCTCCAAGTAAATAATTTGCCCACTCCAGCTCCTACGACCAAATACAGACAGTGGGGAAGAGGATTAGCTCAACCCACCACAGCTCCCAAGCTAGCAAGGAATACATATTCATGCTATCATTTATGGCGCCTAAAACACATTTATGACACACACATACTACACACTTATAACATCTTACAAAAACAGGCTCAATAATGACAATAACTGAATTAAAATCGCAATCATAAACATCAGGGTGGTTAAATATGAATTATGTGTGCTTTAAGGTGCTGGAAAGAAATGACACCCACCTCTCCCACAGGGGAATTGTAGAAAAAGGGGAGAGGCAAAAGGGGTACACTGTATTTATAGTATTGCACCAAAGAAGAAGAAAAGAATGAGGAGGGGCTCTAACTGATAATGAACACAACTACAGGCTTGGAGGTCCTAAAAGTCAGGTATAAAAGGAGAAGTTTGGGGGTTTAGAACACATTTTGTGTAATTATAACAATGTTATTTATGACTCTGTTACACACAGTCATACATAGTACAGTAGTACAATGAAATTGGAAAAACTGTCCTACGTCGGCACTACATACAGTGGGGCAAAAAAGTATTTAGTCAGCCACCGATTGTGCAAGTTCCCCCACTTAAAATGATGACAGAGGTCAGTAATTTGCACCAGAGGTACACTTCAACTGTGAGAGACAGAATGTGAAAAAAAAAATCCATGAATCCACATGGTAGGATTTGTAAAGAATTTATTTGTAAATTAGGGTGGAAAATAAGTATTTGGTCACCTCAAACAAGGAAAATCTCTGGCTCTCACAGACCTGTAACGTCTTCTGTAAGAAGCTTTTCTGTCCCCCACTCGTTACCTGTATGAATGGCACCTGTTTGAACTCATCATCTGTATAAAAGACACCTGTCCACAGCCTCAAACAGTCAGACTCCAAACTCCGCCATGGCCAAGACCAAAGAGCTTTCGAAGGACAGCAGGAAAAGTATTGTAGACCTGCACCAGACTGGGAAGAGTGAATCTACAATAGGCAAGCAGCTTGGTGTGAAAAAATCAACTGTGGGAGCAATCATCAGAAAATGGAAGACATACAAGACCACTGATAATCTCCCTCGATCTGGGGCTCCACGCAAGATCTCATCCCGTGGGGTCAAAATGATCATGAGAACGGTGAGCAAAGATCCCAGAACCACACGGGGGGACCTGGTGAATGACCTGCAGAGAGCTGGGACCAAAGTAACAAAGGTCACCATCAGTAACACACTACAACGGCAGGGAATCAAATCCCGCAGTGCCAGACGTGTCCCGCTGCTGAAGCCAGTGCATGTCCAGGCCCGTCTGAAGTTTGCCAGAGAGCACATGGATGATACAGCAGAGGATTGGGAGAATGTCATGTGGTCAGATGAAACCAAAGTAGAACTTTTTGGTATAAACTCAACTCGTCGTGTTTGGAGGAAGAAGAATACTGAGTTGCAGCCCAAGAACACCATACCTACTGTGAAGCATGGGGGTGGAAACATCATGCTGTGGGGCTGTTTTTCTGCCAAGGGGACAGGACGACTGATCCGTGTTAAGGACAGAATGAATGGGGCCATGTATCGTGAGATTTTGAGCCAAAACCTCCTTCCATCAGTGAGAACTTTGAAGATGAAACGAGGCTGGGTCTTCCAACATGACAATGATCCAAAACACACCGCCCGGGCAACAAAGGAGTGGCTCCGTAAGAAGCATTTGAAAGTCCTGGAGTGGCCTAGCCAGTCTCCAGACCTCAACCCCATAGAAAATCTGTGGCGGGAGTTGAAAGTCCGTGTTGCTCGGCGACAGCCCCAAAACATCACTGCTCTCGAGAAGATCTGCATGGAGGAATGGGCCAAAATACCAGCTACTGTGTGTGCAAACCTGGTAAAGACCTATAGTAAACGTTTGACCTCTGTTATTGCCAACAAAGGTTATGTTACAAAGTATTGAGTTGTATTTTTGTTATTGACCAAATACTTATTTTCCACCCTGATTTACGAATAAATTCTTTACAAATCCTACCATGTGGATTCATGGATTTTTTTTTCACATTCTGTCTCTCACAGTTGAAGTGTACCTCTGGTGCAAATTACTGACCTCTGTCATCATTTTAGGTGGGGGAACTTGCACAATCGGTGGCTGACTAAATACTTTTTTGCCCCACTGTATAACACAACACGACACGATATGACACATCACAACGTAACAAACAACACAACACAGTATATTAACTTAAAATGCAGAAAGATGTATAAATTAGGGATGGCACAATACCACTTTTAATGTCTGATACCGATATCATAAATTTGAATATCTGCCGACACTGATATGAATCTGATGTAGTCTGTTTATGATCAATAAAAAAAATTAAATTTATTTTGCTGAATGTTGTAAAAGTTCATACTAAACAAAACACTAAACACTATTATACTTGTATTAAAAAATAAACTGCACCCAAAATATTTTACAGTTCAACATTATTAATCTTTTTATTTGAACTTTTAGCAGAATTTTAAATGTAAATATTTAAAGTAATATTCAAAAGTAATTTAAAATGTGATTTTATGCAGATTTCAAAAACTCTTTGGTTCTGAAAAAAAGTGCAATATTAGCACAAAATAATGTTTATATTCAACAACTTAGAAAAAAAAACAAGTTGTAGAATGGATTCCTTTATACTTACAGCTTAACATAAATAGACATCCAGAGTGGAAAGCAGTGCAAATAAATGCAAACATGGCTTATTGTGACACTCATCTTTTATCAAGATGGATGTCAGTGTAAGCTCTTTCTATCAAATTTAACCTGAGATTGAATTTTTTGTAATTTTGATACAAAACTTAATACAAGTATAAAAAAAGTGTTTTGTTTGTTATTGTTGTTTTTTGGAATCATGAAACTATTTAACCTGCAACATTGCGTTTTGCAATGTAAAACTTGAGTCTATCCATTGTAAGGTCAGACTTAGCAACGACAATGCAGAGACGTCCAAAATGTTGAGTAAAGAAGAAACACTGAGTGCGGGGCTGTGCAGAGATTTTTGAAGGGGCATGTGCTACAAGTTTAAAAGGAACAAACAGAACTGGGGTGACCCACATGTCCCAATGTGTGAAATGACTCTCAAGTCACAGTAACCTTAGGTTTGTCTGTCTGTGACCCATTGTTCTGCTTGGGAAGTAGACAGAGAGAGGAAAAAGGAAGGCATAGAGGTCAGAACATCTCTTCCCCTACAACCTCCCTAAATGGGTCAATGCAATCATTGAGGAAATGGAAATACTTGTAGGTTCTATTTCTCTTAATCGATGTTTATGGATGTTTGTCTATGTTTGCTAAATTCTTACTCAAATAAACTTTTTTAAAATGTTCATATCAATACACTAGGATGGACAGCAGCTCCAGATAGACTAGAGAAGCCAGCCACAGGTTTGGAGAGATGAGAGGGGGCTGCACCTGTGACATCTAGTTTTGTGAATCAGTTTTCCTGAACACTTTTTAATCTTGCTAAACATTACTAGCTTGCTCAATCTAATAAAGCAGTGTTTTCGACACAAGTCACTGTTAGAATAATGTTCGAATGCCCGGTATGCCCGAAGACCAGTCCAGCCCTGACTCAAGCTGCATCATAGTGTAACGCGTGGGTTCACTAGATGGTTTGGAATCTCTCTGAATAATTAGGAACAGCAAGATGAAGACGGATAACTTTTTAGCAGCCTCTTTACTCTCAGCACACAGCAACAACCACCCACACTTCCTGTGTGCCGCCCTCATGAATATTTCACTGGCCTCTCAGAAGCCAGGAAATCTTACACTCAGATCAAAACAGGGAAAACAACCAGGTAGATATAACGCATACTTATTACTGGTTTGAACATGCATGTCTAAACATTCAAACGTGTAAACATGTAAATATCAAAACACGTAACCACCAAATAGCTACATAACTAGCTTTATGACCTTTGTAAACACCTCTTTGTATATCAAATTAGATTTAAATTTACTTCTACACTTTACAATAGCAAAAGCTTCACAAGATTAATATGTCACTGCAATTGTTAACTTAGTTAGTTTCTGCTTTCAATTAGATGAAATTGACTTTTTCATAGAAGGAAATGGAAAGTTGCACGGGTACAATGTGATGATAATAATAACAAATATCAGTAATTACAGTAATTACAGAAGTCCAGACTTGGATAAAAAAAAAACTGGTTTTAAAATGTTTTCGTACAGGGACCTTTATAAAGTCTTTAATGTGCAGACTAGTTTACCACAAAGGCGTTGTTATTACTGTTCTAAATGTATCATTAGCTACATGCACGGATGCTTAGTCATGCACCCCCATGTGACGCATAGACGACAGAAACCTGTAGTAGACATACAATGATCAGTGAGTGCTGAGCTGCTTATATTTGGTTCAGTTACAGCGGGATGATGGGTGATCAGACCCAGCACCCTGTTTTCTTTGAGCGTGAGAGTCTTAAAGAAGGACATCTGACGAGATTACAAAAATACTTCGGTATTCACCGCAAATCAGGCGGAGGAGGGTGCGGTCCGGTGACGAGAGTGGACGAAAACGTCTACAGTGTGGTTTTCCGAAATAAAAAAGGTAATTTTATCATGCCTTTGAACGAACTTTGTTATGCATGAAATATCCTACAGTTGTCGAAGACTTACAAATGACCATTAGTTAATTTACTATTCTCTTTCGGTTAAAATAGCCGTAACAGAAAGGTCTCAGCTGTTTAAAAGATCTTATATTTCCACTGTGATGTACTGTTGGAAGTGGGAGTAGTGAAAAAGGAAACGTAATCGAAAGTTTGTCTGGAAAGCGAAACTTAATGTTATACAAAGCATTTGGTGGTCAGCAGCTGCGAGTTCAGGAAATTACCGAACCTCTAATTTTTGAAGTCTTTCCCCTGTAAATGGGCTGTTTAGACAGAGGCAGAGAGCTACCCAGATATCTCTGCATATGCAGTTTTTATTGTATTTGCTGTTTGTACGAGTTAGTAGAGGAAGTAAAATAAGCTGTACAAGCCCTTAAGCAGAGGTAGACTTTGAAATCATCTGCATGCTTTTATTACTGGTGTAGTCAGGGAAACATTGTGCGTGTGACACATTTGATATTAAATTAGACGTTTTATATTTTTGTCACTCAGTGAAAAGAGAAGAAAAAACACGATGAAGAATGGCAAAGGAAGCAAAATAAATAAATACTTAGGTTATTTAAGGAATTCAGTCTGTAATTTGCGATATCTGTCTACAGATCAGCAGCGAGTACTTCAGAGATCAGAGCATGTTTTGGAGCTTGAAGATCGTTGCTCGGTGATCTTTGTCCGAGAAAGTTTGGAAAATGACACCTCTCACCTCACCAGCCCCACTTCTGCTCTAGCAGAGGTAAAGTTCATACATTAATTTAATCATGTTTTTTTTAATAGTTTTATGTATCCACATTAAATGAATGTTGTAAATTCGATTATATTATTAATGTAAGGACAATTTGCTATATGTTAATAGCCGTTTGTATTTGCATGTCTTTCCCAATCACAGACTCCTGAGAACATTCCCGCCTCGTCTCTTCCACCAAGCGATGAAGAGTATGAACTACACGTTGATAATTATCTCCTTCGTTACCTGAAAGAATGTCCTCATGCTCAGCAAGAACTTGAGAACATGCTTGCCTGTTTAGCCTGCTCTGCTGATCTTTACTGTGAGGAGGGGAGAGTTTTAGTCAGGAGGCGAGCTCAACCTGGTGCTGCAGATGAAGTTAGTGATTGGAAAGCTGAGGTAGACGCTCTCTTTGGTGGCTACTTTTGCCATTATGAGGTAAACCCTGACAAAGTTGAAGCTTTGGTTCAGTCCTGCAACTCTTGTCATACTGCAGGTGAGGTGAAGGTGTACACAGATGAGTCTGGGATGGCTGTTGTTGTTGGAGAACTGTCTCTGGTTCATGACAGGTTGTTAGACATCGAGCAGTCTTCAAGTTTACTTGACAATATGGCATCTCTGAGTTTGAGTGAGGAAAGCACAACCATTGCTAGCTACAGCCTTTGTGATGGGCTCCAGGTGTTTGTGTGTCAGGGTGACATCACCAAGCAACACACTGATGCTCTGGTAAATGCAGCCAATCAGGACTTGGAGCACTCTGCAGGTGTTGCTGCTGCACTGAGTCGAGCTGGTGGTCCTGAAATACAGAGAGAGAGTGATGAATTAGTGAAGTGTTTGGGGAAAATTCCCATAGGAGAAACAGTAGTGACCACAGGGGGTAACTTAAAGTGCAAGAAACTGCTTCATGCAGTTGTGCCCTCAGGTGGAAAACTAAGTAAGAGAGATAAGCTGTTACTGGAAAAAACTGTGCATTCAGCTTTAAAGTTTTCAGAAATAATGGAGTTTCAGTCCATAGCCATTCCTTGTATCAGCTCAGGTGTGTCTGGGGTTCCTCTCACTGTGTGCACTGAAGCAACTGTTGCTGCTGTGAAGGACTTTGGCAGTGTGGGAGGTCGAAGTTTGAGGAAAATCATCCTGATTGATAACAGAGAGGAGGCAGTGAGGGCCATGCAGGAAGCATGTGACAGGCTTCTCCAAGGGATAGATACACCTGATGAAGATACAGCAAGAGGAGCCACTGCCAGAGCTCCTGGAGGCAGAGTCCACATGGAGGTTATTCAGGGATCGATCGAGAGCCAACAGGTGAGAAATGTTGCTGTGATGACGACACTTCACAATAAGACACATTTTCTAAATCTCCTGCTCTTCTCCTAGGTGGATGCTTTGGTGTCTCCTATGGTTGGCCATGATCCTCTCTCTACCCGTGTTGGAAATGCTTTGTTTGAAGTAGCTGGACGACAGCTGACCACAAGGTTTAGAAAGGAAGCAGAAGATGAAACAATGCCTGGTGACTCAGTACTGCTGGAGGGCTTACCTGGACTTCAGTCTAATGCAGTCTTCTTCCTCAATCTCGTTCCCTGGGATGGTGACCCAGACGGAGGTGCAGTCCAGGTGAGATAGTAAAGGAGTGATTTTGTTTTTCTCTTTGTTTGTGAGGACAACTTTAACTTAGCTATTTGTAATAATGCAGTATTTTTACCCATTATAGGTTCTTCGAATGGGCATCAACACAATCCTATCTTCTTGTGAGAAGAAAGGATTCAGATCTGTTGCTCTTCCCGTACTCGGTGCTGGGATGGCCCTGCAGTTTCCTGTCAGTGTAGTGGAGAGAGTGTTAATGGAGGAAGTTTATGTATTTGAAGAGGAGCGGGTGGGAATCACACCATTCCTGATCCGCATCGTCATTCAATCTAATGATGAGGAGAGACACGAGGTAATGTCAAAGAATTTTACCCTAAATATTGGCTCCTGAGTGTTGCGTGTCGAGAAACACTTTGGCAAAGAAAAGATGCGTCCATATCAGTATTTTTTTTTAACTTTTCATTGAATGTTTGATTATTTTCTTCGCAGGCATCTGATGTTGTCCAAACTGACAAATTCACTCAAAAAGTCCGAGATCCAGGTGAGTATAGAATACTGAGAAAGAATGAAAAATAATAATACCCAAAGTGCTGGAGTAATGCATCTAAATTTACTAAATTAACAGCCTGAGGGCAATAGCTCAAACTCAAATTATTCAGACAGTCCAATATTTCATTATCCTTCCTAATGATTGCTTTTAGTTAAACCCCTTTGGCTCTAATTCTGTTTTTCATTTAGGAGTGGGGTTTTTTATTACTATAACTATGAACCATGTACTGCTTACTGTTCAGAGTCAACTTTCTCCTCTAGATTCAACAACAATGAGGTTGGTCCTGCTGGGAAAAACTGGATCTGGGAAAAGTCACCTGGGTAACACCATTCTTGGAGAGGAGCTCTTTGCCACCTACCCCTCTCCAAACTCTGGAACAATGAAATGCCAAACAGAAACCAAAACAGTCAGTGGAAGAAGCATCACTCTGATCGACACCCCTGGTTTCTTTGACACAGGAAGGTCTGAGGAAGATCTGAAGCCTGAGATAATGAGCTGTATGACAGAGTGTGCTCCTGGGCCTCATGCTTTTCTCATTGTGCTTCGAGTGGATAAATTCACAGAGCACGAGCAGGCTGTCATCACTAAGATAGTTCAGTATTTCTCAGAAGAAGCTCTAAAATATGCTGTAGTTGTTTTCACTCACGGTGAACAGCTCAAGAAAAAGATGAAAATTGAAGATTTTGTCAGTCAGAACAAAAATCTGAGTGATCTGGTGTCAAAGTGTGGTGGTCGGTGTCACGTCTTTGATAACAAACACTGGAACAACAACCAGCCAAACAACTACAGGAGCAACCAGTTCCAGGTGGAGGAGTTGCTGAAAACAATAGAAAAAATGGTGGTGGAAAAAAACAGAGGTTACTACACAAATAAAATGCTGCAACATGTGGAGACGGCAATACAGAAACGGGTCGAGCACATTTCGTACTCAATGCCAGATAAAACTGCAGAAGAGATCAGAAACCAGGCTAAATCTGATGTGTGCAACAGCTTTCTGACCGAACTGACAGGGATTGCAACAGGAGCTTTGCTCGGTGCTTTTTTCGGTGTAGCAGCACTGGTTGGATTAGCTGTCACAGCTATGAAAAACTTAATGTTAATGAACGCTGTAAAAAAGGCTCCAGCATTAATGGGAGTGTCGGCAGCAGCAGCAGGACAAACAGCATTAGTAGTCGTTGGAGCCACAGGTCTGGGGGCAGCAACAGCAGGAGGAGTATATGGTGGCTTGCTTGGATATGAAGCAGCTAATGATGCTAAGTCACCATCAGAAGCTGCACAGAGAACATATGAGGCTATAGTGGAGAAAGGAAAGTCTCTTATCAGGTTTAAGTGAGATTTTTTTAATAATTATTATCCAGGTAGTGGAAGGGAAAAAAGCATCTTATTATTTCTTGATGTCCTTACACTACACATATTAGTACTACATACATCGAAGAAAACATTTTAATTATCTGGAGTCAGGTTTGTTGGCAAATAGCTGAAAAGATGAGAAACCAGGCTAAAACGTATGTAATGTGAATGATCTAAATGACAGGGACTGAAACCAGGCCTTTGCTAGGTTTTTTTTCGGTGCAGTAATGCTGGCTGAATTTGCTATCAAAGCTGTGAAGAACCCAGAACCGGTGAATGTTGCAACAAAGCGTTTCACATCAGCACATGTGCCAGCTGCAGAAGATCAAACAACACTAGTAGTTGCTGGAGCAGTAGGCTTGGTGGGAGCAGCAGCAGCAGCAGCAGGAGGAGGTGTAATGGGAGGTGTTTGGAAATGAAGCCGCTAAGGATGCAGAGTCACTTTCAGAAGCTGTACAGGGAACATACAAGGCTGTAGAAGGAAAAAGAAAATCTCTCACTCAGTTAAAGTAAAATTTGTTTTTACAATAATCAGATATTCCTGTAAACATTTGATTATTTCATTTTCTTTTGATGTTGTTACATTACAATTAATGTTTACATTTTAAAAGGTGGTACACATTACATAACACTTTATTCAATAACAAATGTTTGCCTGATAGCGGTGGTGGGAACATATCGTTTGGTGTGTTTATGATAAATTTTTGTTTAATATGTTTGCGAGCCATAAAAAAATTAAAACGACGAGTTTAAAGAGGCTCACAGGGTCTATAAGTATAGTTATGTTTGTGAGGTTGTTCCTCAGTCCACTGTGATCATAATTTTTCATTCAATTGTGACTAAAGGAGAAGACTGTTTGGGACCATAAAACACATCAGGCTACTGAAGACTGAAGAAATTAGGTTGTGTTTGATTTTTCTGAAATTGTCAAATCTCTATTTTTACTTAATTGTAAATGATCTGATAATGATAGAACTACTTGATATATGTATGATATATTGGTGATGTGATTGAAGGATGAAAGATGGCTTATTAAACAATAAAAACACTAATTTTCCAAAAGTTTTCAAAGTTTTTCCATTTATCTATTTTCTTTTGTTTTCAGACAGGTTTTCCCAGGTCATAGTGTGTGTGAATTTGCATGAGCATACACTCTTTTTCCATTTTACATATCTATTTTTACACATATTCACATTTTTTTAAAAAGCTCTTTAGAGAGCTGTCGACAATCTTTAGGGCCACTTGGTGCCAGTACATGATTTTGAAGGTTTATAAAAATGCTGCCATGAAGTCCAATTTTTGCCTCTATTTGTTCCTGTTTACGGTCAAGTTCAATTTCTGTCACACTGTTGCATGACAGTGTTATGCAAACTGTGCAAGATTGAGGAACTAGATACCACTCAGGCTATTAGTTCTTTCCCGTAAATATAGGTGAGGCCAAGCACACACTTATTTATTATTCAGGTGCGCCTGAATAATAAATAGATTCTTAGTATTGACAGCATGCAGCTGTCCTTTCTGTCCTTTTGGTAATCTACTGTAACCTTCGTACTGGTAATGAGGTTTTAATGTACTAAAACTAGAAGAAACTGAAGAAACTTAAAAGCTGTGTTTATGATGGCTTAAAAAGTGGAAGCTTTATATCTTCCAAGTGCGGTGGAAAATTCTTTCTGGAGTTCCCCTGATAAGTGTGTGAATGCAGCATGAACACTGACTCTTCAACAGCTTGGTTATAAGCGACACCTGTTCACTTAGTCTCTCTATACTTGCCTTCAGCTGAAGGAAGGTGATTCTTGGTGTTATGCCAGAGTGAAGAAATTATATCATCTTTGTCATATTTACCACATTGAATAACAGCTTTGAAGTGTTAATATATGCAGGTAGTTTAGTGATAGTGCAACAGTTCAATCTGTGAGTGCCACTGTTAAAGTTGATTTGGTGAGCTTGTTTCTATTCTTGTATTTACATCTAATTTTCAGCTGTGCCTCAGGCTTCAGTGTTTCAGTTCACTTTGTGTTTTTTTAACTGCTGATTGATGTATTTATTTTAGCTGTTACATGCACCACTGTGGTCGCCAGGCTGTTGATCCTCGAGTGTTAAATTTGTGGAACGTGTGCTTAAAGTGGCTGTTCTGAGGCTGTTCATCAGTTGCTATGAGCCACATATTCTTAGCACAGTTCAACAGTTTGCCTGATAAAATAAGTTAATAAATATACCTCTTTTTTTTTTCTTTGGGCATCAAACTTATGGTAGAACATTTAAAGACCATATTGTGATTAATATTTCATAATATATGGATTTGATGGAGATTGCAAAAATTAATTGGGTGAAATAAATCTTATCAGATATCCATACTATAGTACACACTGGAACACACACAACTTACTTTCCTAATTCTGAATGGCTACAGATGAATCCAGTCACTTTACCATATCCAAAAATAGGGGACAGCCAGCAGACTGTAGCCAACAGATCTGCTGTGTTGGTGTGGCTGCCAAAGACTAGCAGGGTGAATGCTTGCCAGTATGAGAACATGAACTCCTGTCCTTTCTCAGATTAGTCTGATCCTTGTTTTTGATATAGAGTCATTTGTCACTTTACATGTGTGCTTTCATAAATGTTGTTGGTTCAGGAGCTGCTGATAAGCTTCATGGCTGGTTTGTGTTGGTGTTTACTTAGTATAACTGTGGTTTTACTCATGCATTCATGCTGCATCTCAATACAAGCGTCCAAAGTTTGTAGATGAATAAAAAGTTTACTTAAGTGTAGTATGGGGGGTCATGGTAACCATTAAAATTAGACTTCCGGCCCAGTCTCCAAAGCCATCTTAAGGATTTATTGTTGGAAACTTAACCAAAATTGTTACAAATTAAAAACTATGTAACTATATGTGGTGTGTATTGTTAACATATCAAAAGCACTATACAAAGATCTAAAATATGTCACATGTGATGTTAGACCTCTTCTTCAGAGTCAATAGACTGATCTGGTCAAAGTGAGTTTATTACTGCCATTGTTTAACAACACATGGGCATACAGGTAATGGGGGTTGTAAATATCACATTACTTTGGATCTCGGACCTCTTCTTCAAAGTCAAATAAGGTCCACCTTCCACAAAACATTAGGGAAATGATAACGATATATGAGGATTTTAAATATCAAATTATAATTTGGAGGTCACATTTGACCTCTGACATCAGTTTTACATTTCTCACATGCCTTTCTTTCAAGTTGACCCCAAAATGTGTTGCAGCTGTAAAAATAAAGAGAATGAGGCAGTTAAAAACATGCTATAACATTATATAACAAGCTCGAGTTATTCATGTCCACTTATTTACAAATAACTCATTTTATTTCAAGAAGGAGAGATTATTAGAAAGAAATGAACATGATTTATTGATGTACAGAATTTAGATAGCGGTATTTGGCGGTTAGAATTCAATGGCCCGTCTCGAAGGAAAGGAATCCCAGCGGTGATAGAGATTACAGCAGGGCACCCTGGAGTCTAGACGCTGGTGGTGGAGATAAAGATGGAGATGTAAATGGAGCCTGAGTGATAAAAGGTGGTGATGGGAGGAGGTGGGATGCATGAAGGCGTTTGCAAAGGAGAATGAAAGAGCTCCAGTGAGATTTAAAGTATGCTGCGTGAATGCTGACTGACCTGAAGAAGGCCAGGAAAAGGATGATTGGACTAGACCAGTGTTATTGCAAACAGCTTGACAGTGTGGGGAAGAGGAAGTGATGTGAAGCTTAGATTTAGCAGGCTACACCTGAGAGCAGACAGATGTTAGAGGTTTCATCTTCCTTACTGAACTTACCCATAAGCTTCGTTACTAAACATTTAAGGAAAACATTTTACTGATATAAAGGAATGCCCCACATGAACTATATTCACAAATAAAAATTCATAGAAATAACAGAATTATACTCAAATGAAATAACAAAAGCATGCACTTTTGCTCTTGTTTTTACTGCATTACAAAGTTTTTAAAGTATCTTTTAAAATCACAAAGAAACGAAAATGAATGTGTGCAAAACCACAATACCATTTCTTTAAAAGTAAATACTGCGCAGAGATTGAGCTGGTTGGTGAAGGTTTGCGCAGCTGTACAAGGCAGAGAAACAACACAGTGTAGGGCATCTGACCTTCAAACAGTTGTTTCTCTTAAGGAAAAAAAGTGAATAGGCTTGAAGAAGGGAAATCAAAGTGAAGTTTAAGAAGGCTTAAAGGGTTTATTATAACTTCCACTGCTTGCCAAAGGCTACGCATTCAGTCCAGTGATGTGCCCTTCCGCAGTCATTTCTCTCGGCAAGACTTCCCATCCTGTCCAAAACTTGATGAGGGCTTTTCGTTGTGCACAAGATGCTGCAACGGAACATTGTTTTGAGCTATAATGACATCCTACATTCATTATTTTCAATCTTTTATGGAGAAATACCATAAAAGATGAACACTTTTTTTAATGTATTGCATGGAGGCAGTATGGAGCAAATAACAAAACAAATATATACTATAGTTATACTTTGTTAATGACCCGAGATCACTGGACTGTGTGTAATTTACCAAAGTATAATCAGAGAAAACCAATAGCAAAATACCTATCGCAACAGACTTACCATTTTCAATGAAGGACCGAAGGTAACCTACCACTCTGCATTTATCCTCGAGAGCATTCCTCTTCTTCCTCATCTTCATCTTCTGTGGCAGGCCACACTATCCTTTCTAGAATAGCCTGCATAAAACAGTTCACCTTGAATAAGTGTTTCTCTTAAATGCTACTAGATAAAATTAGCTGAATTTGTCATTTCATAACTTTACTTATCTTGTAGTCTTAAGAGCGTCAGCAACATTAGGTGTATTTTTATTAAATGTAACCCAGCTGTTCAACTAGCCCAAGCATACCAAATAGTATATTGGTGTTTTGTGTCAACAATTAATGTGCATCCTTCATAAATTAACAAAATACCTTTACTATTCAGATGTTAAAAGATGTGACCTGACTTTACCTCACAACAGGGAGCAGTCTCTGATTACCTTGGTAAGAAAAGAGGAATGATGTCTGATCTTTCTGTCAGAAGCAGCCATACCATCTCCTTAAGCCCTTTCCTCAGCTGCTTGACTTGATGACTTGTTCGTGTTATGACCTACAACGGTGAGACCAAACCAAAACTGAAGTGTGAGTCCGTAAAGTGAAACACACTTTAAATGTTAAATACTTAAAAAACATCCACTGTACTAATAAAATAATTTCAGATGGCCTTCAAAGAGATTTTTTTTAATGTATATGAAAAATGTACTTATTCACATCCAAAGGTTTGATGTGCTTTTCTATTTAAAATTTAAATGCATTGCTGAGAGTAAGTCAGTACTCACAGCGTGGAATAGCAGACATTCATACAGCAACTTTATATTGGTTTGTGTGACACCTGGCAGGTCCCAAGCCAGGGCTAGCTCGAGAACATTTCTTCATTCCAGTTCTGTTAATTCAGCAGTGCCATCAAGCTAGGACAAAGAAAAAAAATTTAGTAGTCAGTAGTAGGTACTGGTGGCTATTCAATCATGTCTCTAAATTCAATATTTAGTGAAATAGTAATTCTTCAAAATAATGGTACAAAAATGCAAACCAGCTGAATAGTGCTGCAGATATCAATATCAGGGCAATCCTCAATCTGAACTGTAGCTGTTTCAGGTGAGCCACCAAAAAGGACATGGATGATTGCAGGACTTATACCAGACACACACGGTCCACCATGAATGAATGAATGTCCCATTATTCTTGCTAAGACCAAACATAATAAATTCAGCCTAACATTGCACGGTGGTAAAAATAAACAGTTTTGTAACTGCATTCAACCTATTTTTCATCTTTAGGGTTACAGTTAGGATAATGTAACACTAGTAATGCTGTTACCTTTAGTGCTGCACGTATATTATTTTAAATTCCTCTTCCTCTTATTTCTGTACATAACTTTCTTACCTGCCACCAAAAACATGTCACTCTCAAGCAAGGTCTGAGAAGTGGATGGAGTCAAGTGTTGTGGCTCACCATCAAACAGTCTTGTAAGATCTGTGTTCCCTGAAAAGAGTACAGCTAGGTTATGTTGCGTATGAGAAATCCAGGCAGTACTCTACCTTTGGGGCTTTGTAGAGGGAGATAAGTGATCTCTGTTGATCCATAATACTTTCCCGCAAGTCCATTTGCAGGACTACTGCCTTTCTGGTCTCATGCTTTGGAAGTAACTCTGAGCCAGGCTGCTCTGGTTGCATCTTGTTCACATTTCCACTCTGAAAGGTACCCATTTGTATGGATCACATAAATCAAAAGAAATAAAATATATGTAATTTTTTGTCATTTTTCTGGTATGTTCCTAACTTAATTCCTGTCACTACCTGGTTTTTCCCCTGGAAGTGACTTCTCCACATCTTGATGAGGTGCATCTTCTTGCACTACCATATCACCTGACGATTGCTCTGCTCTTGCTGAGGTTATGGTGGATTCCAAGATGATACCATCTGGTTCCTCTACCCCGCAGGACAGATTCAAGGCATCACTGTTGCTACAGGATGGGACTTCTGACCTTGCTGTGTTCAATGTGCTGCCCAACACAATGGGCAGCACATTGAACACATTTTATGAGTGGTCAGAAACTTGTAAATAACTCATTAAAGAATAAAGTTAAGTTGAATCCAAGCACACCATTGTTTTTCTTGTGACATTACCAATAAGTTTGATGTGTCACATGGCCCTCTTCCTATTGAAAAAACAAAAGGTTGTATCCAAGATGGCCGACTTCTAAATGGCCTCCATGGTCACCACCCATCTTGAGGAGTTTGCGCCCTCACATATACTAATGTGCCACAAACAGGACTTTAATATCACCAACCATTCCCATGTTATTACGGTGTATCCACATAAATGGCCCACCCTGTAGATCTCCATCCACACAGGAGCCGATCGCTGATGGTTGGTCTCTAGCACTTAACATGTCAAACACCAAGTTCTAATTAAAAAGGACAGTGATTAAACATATCACAGCTCTATAACATGTCATAAATTGTGACGGGAGTCATAAATCCCTTCTAATACCCCTCCTTGTCTACGCGGTTTTGGGGTTATTGTTTTCTTATTTTGATCCAGCAGTATCGTTTTACTGGAAAAGTTGGACACTTCTGGTAAAGGGTGGGGTGAGTTCATATGAACAGGAATGTTACTGGCAACAGGCCAAAATACCAAAGGAATTTTCTTTATGTGAAAGAAGACAATGCCATTGCTTAAAGGTATTTAAAGTTTTCCTTCATTCTCATAATGAAACCCGCCACTGCATTTCTTCAGGCCTGTCTGTCTGGTTTTATCATTAAAAATCTATGGGACTGACAAGTGTCTTTGAAGGAGAAATCCAAGCAACACAGTGTTGATTAGCAAATATATTTTAATATATAATGGTATATTTATTTTAGGTTATTGACAAAATAGCTTAATTCAGTTCAGTCTCATTTAATGACTAACCCATGACAAAAAGCCACACCTTTATGTGTTTGAATACCTCATGATGTTTTGCTGCAGTCATTGCAAAATAAATCATGAATCCTGAAGTACTCCCCATGAGAGGAAATCCTTAGCAAAAGTGTCTAACAGCATTGAGCCCATAGGATCCAACAGGGTTACTTATGTGAGCTGAAATATTTAATGTTTGTAATGATGCTCCTCACTGCACTCTTAAGGTCAGTGTGACACTACATCACTTTAATGTCTCAAATATCAGGAGTAACACATAATCTTATCAACAGCTCTTGACAAACATAATAAAAAAGACTATGAACCAACCACACACCTGCCACTTGTAACATAAAGTAAGAACTATCCACTTTAGAAAAATTAGACACTAGCGGAATATGTCTGCAGTGTCAGACAATGGAGATGCACCTACAAATAAAGATTTGTCACTTCAAACGTCATCAGAAGTTGCTCAGTGTTAAACATACAATGAGTCTTTCAAGACTTTAATCACTTTCATTCACTCCAGCAGTTTGCAGCTGAATGGAGTTGGGGCTTTTATCTGCGATGGAAATATTTTTTTGCATGAAAATATTTGTCTCAATGAAAAGTCAAAAACCATTTTTGTTGTGCAAATGGAAACAAATAAAGTTAAGAAACAAACAAATATCATTGTTGCACTTCTATATTCAGAATTACTAACATAACAACAGCCTCATCGTCACGAGTGGCAGCTCAACACGGTACACCACCAAGTAGGAACGTAGTCACGACAGATGAGTGAACCCTACAGGACAGATGAACAATGTGCAGTTAACCCAGCCGGTGGCACTGCTGCGATGGCTGAACTCTCAGACAGACTCTTGGGCATCCAGGTTAGCAGATAGCAGCAGAATCACTGGCCAGGACAAAGTGGACACCTACAAATGAGAAAAGTGAGCATCACATCTCTCAGTTATTCTGTGAGAACTCCACCTTTCTGTTTGCCTGATAACTTCATAATTTAAACACTTTATTTGATACAATGCAGTATGTTAGTTTGTGATCTGTAATGAATACTCTATCTGCAACCAGAACAGTGACATCTAGTTTTGGTACTGAAAAAAAAAAAAACACCAAAAAAACGTGACACTGAAAGATAAAAATTTAAACTGAAAAAGAAAGGATTTTTTAAAAATTTAAAGCTTTTTTTTTTCTTTTAGCTGTAATACCTTCTTTTTTCACACACGGTGTCACACTCTGTTGAATAGATCTGTGCTTACTTCTTGGTTCACCTTTCGACAGTGCTCTACCACTTCACCCCCAGTTTTACCAGAGGCTCATGCACCTTTTAAACCAGTGGTTCTCAAACTTTTCACAATGAGTACCACCTCATAAAATATATGGCTCTTGAAGTACCTCCCTTATGACCGACATTAAAGTACAGTTGCCTCAAGGTGCTTTATATTGTAAGATTTAAGGCGCTACAATAATACAAAAAAATGAGAAAACCCCAACAATCAGATAACCCCTTATGAGCAAGTGCTTTGGCATCAGTGGGGAGGAAGGACTCCCTTATAAAAAGAAGAAACTTCTAGCAGAAACAGTCTCAGCTGCCCCTCCCCATCTGGCCCTCCCTGCTGCTGCTGTAAAATCACCATTTTGTCATATTCATCCATCCATCTTCTTCCGGTTATCCGGGGCCACGTCGTGGGGGCAGCAGCCTAAGCAGCACCTCATTGTGGTGAAGGGGTTTGAGAAAACCATGGAGGGAACACTTCACCCTGCAATTCCTGTTTTTATTTTTGCATGTTTGTCACACTTGAATATTTCAGATCAATCAAGTTTAAATATTGGACAAACATAACACAAGTAAACACAAAGTGCTGTTTCTAAATGAAGGTGTTTATTATTAAAGGAAAGAAAAATCTGTGCTGCTCCCTCTTGTAAGATAAATTAACTGTGGTGTATCACATCTTTGGAAAGCAGAGTTCAGTTTCTCTAACCACACCCACACCTGACCACTGACACACCTGATCAGCAGATCATTTAAATAGAGCCTGCCTGACAAAGTGGAGTTGACCAAAGTGGGTCTGGGATAGGGTTACCGGGGCCCCGCCCTGGGGCAAGGCCCAGGGAGGGTGCCCAAGGGCGAGCGTCTGGTGGTCAGGCCTTAATCCATGGAGCCTGCACAGGCACAGCCCTAAAAGGGGACATGGGCCCATCCTCCTGCAGGCCCACCAACCACAGGAGGCACCGTAGGGGTCGGGTGCTATGTGTGCCGGGTGGCAGCCAGGAGCAGAGGCCCTGGCGGACTGATCCCCAGCTACCAAGACTGGCAAGCATTTTGTCAAATTTGAAATATAAATCTAATATATTATGTTTCCTAATGTAATTTTCTGTAAAATACACTATGTGTTTTTAATATTGTAAATATAATAATCCATAATTATGTGGATATAAATATTAGATCGTGTAAATAATAAGCTAATACTACTTTGTACTATAAACTATAGTGTACGCTGTACACCCTACTTACTGGTTTTTGTTGCATCAGTCTGCATCTCTCGATTAATTCTTGTGTTTCTCCAACAGCTTCGCTCCAACAAGGCGGCAAAAAATGCCCATGCTCTTTGTGAGCTCATTCCCGGGTCTTCAGTAATAATGAAGCTCATGTATAAGTTAAGTAAGGAAGTAATCACTCATCTGCCTGCTTTCCTGTGTGTTCAGCTGCTAGTCTATTCTTTACATCACTTCCACTTTCCCATGCTGTCAAAATCAGTGCTGACATCATTACTCTCATCCAATAATTTCTTGCCTGCCTTCTGTTCTGTGTTTAAAATCTCAGTGCTTTCTGTCTTTGTGCAACCCACCTCCTTCTCATCTTCATCTTCATCACCACCAGCATCAAATATAACAGATTGTAAAGGTATACCAAGGCTATGAATACTTTAAAACTAATGCAAAACTATGAGTGTACACTTAAAACAAATAATTGTTTCACCCTAACTAACACCCAGTAAATTTATGTAAACTGTTCTGAGACAATGATTGCAATGTATTGTAACTTTAATATTGATTCAGACCTCAAATGTACAGATTCAGTACTGCAAAAAACAACAACAACAAAAACAAATCAGTATTCATCTAAATTTAAGAAAGTTAAAACTACAGCCATAATTAAGAACTGATTAAAAAAGTGAAAATAAAGCATTGTAACAAAATGAAAACTTAAAACCCCTTCTATATTAAATATAGAATAAATCTAAAACAAAACAATTTTCAAAATCAATCAAATCAAATCAAATCTTTCATAAATGTCACAAACCCATAAACAATATATGAAGTAGATACTATGAAAACAAGTTTTGGGAACTAAATTTCCTCTAAGAGTCAGAAAGTCTGTTATTTAATCAGAGGTGTTGGCAGAGATAGTACATCTTCTAGTTGTAGTGTTTATGTAGAGTAAACATGTTCAAATTAAATGCAGAATATTTCTCTAAAACTAAAGTTATGATAACACATACGTCTTGCGCACTGGTTTTCAAAGTTAGAGCACGTATTTCCTTTTGTTTTTCTATGTGAACACATAAATGCTAAAAAAGTCTTGGATTCTCCTTCCCATGGGGATGTTGAGCAGGATTAACAAACTTTATGTCCCTTATTGTCTTTGGTCTCTTTCACATCATTGGTCAGAGTGGTCCCACAGTGATCCACGCTACTCTAATCTGTGAAAATAAGTAAACATAAGATGAATTAAAAACACAACAATGGATGTTCAGTGTAAAAAAAAAAGGTTGTTCAACAATAGTATGCAAAGGTGTATACAGGCTAGATATAATGTGTTAGTAAACAGATTTACATTGCATATATACATATAGAGGACTTGCTGCGACTTGATGTCCAATGTTTAATTTTTCTGCTTATATATAAAAAAGTTGTCTATTTGGTATTTGTTTCCCTCCAATCATATTCTTTTCCCATTAAGATCAGGATAAAAGTAATATCTATGGGACAGGGCTTTTATTTTTAACCTGTGTACCAACATTCATTAGGAGAGCAATTTCCTGGACTTGCTGGTTGTTTTGTGCGCTGGAGCTGTTTACTTGCTGCTGTTCTAAATTTATCACGAATTTGATGCAGTTGTTAGGTCACGTGGCCCCCGTGACGTACCAGCACTCATTTTGCGCCCGTGTCATAACGGCACAACTCATCTCTCAGGATCAGCTGTAGATCTGATGCCTGCTACACGCTCTACATAACTTTAGTTACAGCGGGATGATGGGTGATATGTACCATTACCCGATTTTCTTTGAGTGCTACGGTCTCCGCGAAGAGCATATAAAAGGAATAGAAACATATTTCCGTTGCGCCATCTCGGGCGGAGGAGACTGCGGCCCACTGATAAGACTGGGTGAGGACGTCTATGGTATTGCTTTCAGATATGAAAGGGGTAGGTAAATCATTAATTTTAATATGGGTACATATATTTAAATATATTTCGTATGCTTTTTCACGAGACGTCATATAGTTGTCGAAGTATGCAAACGGCCAGTCGTAATTATTTGTTTATTATTTTCTTTTTGCTAAGATTTGCTAAAAACAGTCAGAACAACGAGGTTTAAAATATTGAGGGAAAACTTAATGATGAGCTGCATGAAAGAAAACCTGAACAGGAAGAGTCTATAAGGGTCTATCGAAAGTGAAAGTTAACCATTCAGTTAAGGCTGTGCGACAGAACTGAAACGACCAGTTATTATGTAACTGGTGGTATCTTCTTCTCTATGGATGAGCTGTTAAGGAGAAGACTGGAATATTGCAGTACACTCAAGTACAAATGCAGTTTTTGTTGCATCAGTGGAACAAATGTGGGTTGACAGAGGTAGTAAAATCAGCAAGTAGGGGACACCGGGGATAGTTGTAACATTTTTGACATTTCTGTCTGTAAATTGGAGCTCTTTTAAGGTGGTGGATTCAAAATGTAATGCAAAGTATTTACATGTCTCTGCTATTAAATAGTGCAGCTATTTTCTCTGCAGCACAATTACCCATTGCATGGTGTGGCCTCAAACACGAAGAGTGAAATGTTACAATTAACCCCGTAGTCTGGGTGAGTTGTAACATATCCTGGGGTGAAATGTAACACAATGAAATAAGGGTACTAACAAAACATTAACATGTAATCTTTTTTATTCAACACATGAATGCACTTAGAGCCATTTATGTAGCTATGTGTGTGTGTGTGACAGAATACAGAAATCCAGCTTTTGAACATATTCCAACCCCCCAAAAAAGACAAATTATGGAAAAATGTAGTTGTTCACCAGCATCGCAATTCCATTACTTTTTATCATGGCTTACCTTGGTGTGGTTTGCAAAGTGCTTCAGAAAGATGAGGAAATCTGTTTCTTGCACCCATCCTGATTTATTTCCACTACCAGTACTTCCTACTGGTCCATCTCTGACACAGTGGTCTGCATAATGTATGTGTGGGAACACAAACAGTGGAGGAATTGTGTTGCCAATGGCATTAACCGCATATACAAAAGCGACTAGTGAACCTCTCTCTGCTGATGTCATTGCCCCAACTTGTTTAATATAAGTTAAAGTAATAGTGTGGTAAGTTGTAACATCTGCATTATTGTTACAACTAACCCAGACTGTTGCTGTTACAACTGACTGACTCCTATAGCCACGAACTAGCTAACATTACAGCCAACGGCTAAAACATTAGCTCTATAGACCTACACAGAATATATCCCCATAGACATACAAATAACATAATTTAAATTTGATGAGTTTAACTGCAAAGCAGATAATGCTATTAGAAATTGAAATAAAGTAGAAAAACTTACTTTTGGCATACAAATAGCTTTTTTCATGTTAAATTGTCTGTGTTTGATAAAATGTGCTGATTTTTCACATGTGATAGCAGAACTGAATTGGGCATGCACAGGATGAGTCACATCATTTGAAACTTAGCCCTGATTGGAGAAATTGGAAGTGTTACAACTGACCCATGTTACAACTATCCCAGGTCAAGTAAAATCGGCAATAAATCCAAGGGCAAGTTGTTGAAAGGCATTTGTAACATATGACAGGCATGAGATGTAAAGAATAAAAGGAAGGAGGCTTTAAAGAAAATAATTTACTATATATATAATTTAAATGTAAAACAAATCCACTGTATAACTCCAGATGTCTGTCTACAGATCAGCAGCGAGTCCTTAAAAGATCAGAGCATGTTTTGGAGCTTGGAGATCGTCATTTGGTGATCACAGTCCGAGAAAGTCTGGAAACTTACACCATCCCCACTGCTACAGTAGCGGTACATTTTGTATATTAATTTAATCAAGGTTTTTAAATGTGGAATAGCTAATAAATTTATAACTATAGGAACACACACAACACACACACACATCATCAAATCATCAATTTATATATACACATATATATATATAAGGTGGTAAGGTGGTCTTTGTTGCCGATTGATACCTCCTCTCATTTGCATTTCTTCCCAATCACAGACTCCTGAGAACATTCCCGCCTCGTCTCTTCCACCAAGCGATGAAGAGTATGAACTACACGTTGATAATTATCTCCTTCGTTACCTGAAAGAATGTCCTCATGCTCAGCAAGAACTTGAGAACATGCTTGCCTGTTTAGCCTGCTCTGCTGATCTTTACTGTGAGGAGGGGAGAGTTTTAGTCAGGAGGCGAGCTCAACCTGGTGCTGCGGATGAAGTTAGTGATTGAAAAGCTGAGGTAGACGCTCTCTTTGGTGGCTACTTTTGCCATTATGAGGTAAACCCTGACAAAGTTGAAGCTTTGGTTCAGTCCTGCAACTCTTGTCATACTGCAGGTGAGGTGAAGGTGTACACAGATGAGTCTGGGATGGCTGTTGTTGTTGGAGAACTGTCTCTGGTTCATGCCAGGTTGTTAGACACCGAGCAGTCTTCAAGTTTCCTTGACAATATGGCATCTCTGAGTTTAAGAGAGGAAAGCACAACCATTGCTAGCTACAGCCTTTGTGATGGGCTCCAGGTGTTTGTGTGTCAGGGTGACATCACCAAGCAACACGCTGATGCTCTGGTTAATGCAGCCAATCAGGACTTGGACCACTCTGCAGGTGTTGCTGCTGCACTGAGTCGAGCTGGTGGTCCTGAAATACAGAGAGAGAGTGATGAATTAGTGAAGTGTTTTGGGAAAATTCCCATAGGAGAAACAGTAGTGACCACAGGGGGTAACTTAAAGTGCAAGAAACTGCTTCATGCAGTTGGGCCTGTAGGTGGAAAAGCAAGTAACAGAGATAAGATGTTACTGGAGAAAACTGTGCATTGTGCTTTAAAGTTTTCAGAAATAATGGAGTTTCAGTCCATAGCCATTCCTTGTATCAGCTCAGGTGTGTCTGGGGTTACTCTCACTGTGTGCACTGAAGCAACTGTTGCTGCTGTGAAGGACTTTGGCAGTGTGGGAGGTCGAAGTTTGAGGAAAATCATCCTGATTGATAACAGAGAGGAGGCGGTGAGGGCCATGCAGGAAGCATGTGACAGGCTTCTCCAAGGATAGATACACCTGATGAAGATACAGCAAGAGGAGCCACTGCCAGAGCTCCTGGAGGCAGAGTCCACATGGAGGTTATTCAGGGATCGATCGAGAGCCAACAGGTGAGAAACACTGCTGTAATTAAAATAAACAACACCTTGCAATAAAACACATTTTCTAAGCTCACCAAATCTCCTGCTCTTCTCCTAGGTGGATGCTGTGGTGTCTCCTATGGTTGGCCATGATCCTCTCTCTACCTGTGTTGGAAATGCTTTGTTTGAAGTAGCTGGACCACAGCTGACCACAAGGTTTAGAAAGGAAGCAGAAGATGAAACAATGCCTGGTGACTCAGTACTGCTGGAGGGCTTACCTGGACTTCAGTCTAATGCAGTCTTCTTCCTCAATCTTGTTCCCTGGGATGGTGACCCAGACGGAGTTGCAGTCCAGGTGAGATAGTGGGAGAGGTGGGATTTTATTATTCTGTCTGTTTGTGAGGACATTTTTTAATGAAGCCATTTGTCATAATGCAGCATTGTTATGTGTTATAGGTTCTTCGAATGGGCATCAACACAATCCTATCTTCTTGTGCGAAGAAAAGATTCAGATCTGTTGCTCTTCCCGTCCTCGGTGCTGGGATGGCCCTGCAGTTTCCTGTCAGTGAGGTGGTGAGGGCTTTAAAGGAGGAAGTTCATGTATTTGAAGAGGAGCAGGTGGGCATCACACCACTCCTGATCCGCATCGTCATTCACCCCGATGACGAGGACTCACACAAGGTAATGACAAAGCACTTTTCCTTAAATATTGGCTCCTAACCATTAGTGTGCTGAGTGTTGAAAAACACTTTGGAAAAGTAAAGTTACGTTCCATATCAATATTTGTTTCATTTTACTTTGTAATGAATCGTTTTTTCTTCACTCTATTACATGAACTACACAAGATAATAATAATTACTTTTTTCATCTGCATTTCCATCTGATGAGTTTTTACAAGGATTGCTATTGATGTTGATACTTTGTTGTCTTTGCAGGTATTTGATGTTTTCCAAAATGACAATTTCACTCAACATGTTCACCAAAAGGTCCGAGATCCAGGTGAGTATAGAATACTGAGAAAGAATGAAAAATAATAATACCCAAAGTGCTGGAGTAATGCATCTAAATTTACCAAATTAAGAGCCTGAGGGCAATAGCTCAAACTCTTAATGGAGTGGATTATTCAGACAGTCCAATATTTCATTATCCTTCCTAATGATTTCCTTTTATTAATTACCAGATACTTCTTCCAGTAAACCCCTTTGGCTCTAACACTAGTTTTTCATTTAGAAGTGTGTTTTTTGTAAGTAAAACTATAAACTATCTACTGCTTTCTGTTCAAAACCTCAAACCACAAAGAAACGTCTCTCTTTGCAGCAGCAAAAAAAAAAAAGAGAAAAAAAACAAGAGAGAGACAAATGTACTTAACAGAGTCAACTTTCTCCTGTAGAGTCAACAACGATGAGGTTGGTCCTGCTGGGAAAAACTGGATCTGGGAAAAGTCACCTGGGTAACACCATTCTTGGAGAGGAGCACTTTACCTTTTATGACTCTCCAAACTCTGGAACAATGAAATGCCAAACGGAAACCAAAACAGTCAGTGGAAGAAGCATCACTCTGATCGACACCCCTGGTTTCTTTGACACAGGAAGGTCTGAGGAAGATCTGAAGCCTGAGATAATGAGCTGTATGACAGAGTGTGCTCCTGGGCCTCATGCTTTTCTCATTGTGCTTCGAGTGGATAAATTCACAGAGCACGAGCAGGCTGTCATCACTAAGATAGTTCAGTATTTCTCAGATGAAGCTCTAAAATATGCTGTCGTTGTTTTCACTCACGGTGATCAGCTCAAGAAAAAGATGAAAATTGAAGATTTTGTCAGTGAGAACAAAAATCTGAGTGATCTGGTGTCAAAGTGTGGTGGTCGGTGTCACGTCTTTGATAACAAACACTGGAACAAGAACCAGCCAAATAACTACAGGAGCAACCAGTTCCAGCTGGAGGAGTTGCTGAAAACAATAGAAAATATGGTGGTGGAAAAAAACGGAGGTTACTACACCAATAAAATGCTGCAACATGTGGAGACGGCAATACAGAAACGGGTCGAGCACATTTCGTACTCAATGCCAGATAAAACTGCAGAAGAGATCAGAAACCAGGCTAAATCTGATGTGTGCAACAGCTTTCTGACCAAACTGACAGGGATTGCAACAGGAGCTTTGCTCGGTGCTTTTTTTGGTGTAGCAGCACTGGTTGGATTAGCTGTCACAGCCATGAATAACATAATGTTAATGAACGCTGTAAAAAAGGCTCCAGCATTAATGGGAGTGTCGTCAGCAGCAGCAGGAGAAGCAGCTGTAGGAGTTGCTGGAGCAGCTTGTGTGGCAGTAGCAGCAGCAGGAGGAGTATTTGGTGGCTTCATTGGAAATGAAGCAGCTAATGATGCTAAGTCACCATCAGATGCTGCACAGAGAGCGTGTGAGGCTATAGTGGAGAAAGGAAAGTCTCTTATCAGGTTTAAGTGAGATTTTTATAATTATCATCCAGGTAGTGGAAGGGAAAAAAGCATCTTATTATTTCTTGATGTTCTTACACTTCACATAATAACTGCATAATAATACTACATACATCGAAGAGAACATGTTAAATTATTTGGAATCAGGTTTGTTGGCAAATTGTTGAATACTTATCTAGCAGTTACCTTTTTTGTGGACTTTTTGCATAATCTTCTGAGGGCCTTAATGCATTGTAGTCATATTTTTTTTCCTGTGGACGAATGTCTCAGACCGAGAAGCATCACAGACAAACAAGTCAACAAGTAAGTCAAAAAACTGTGGTGGGAGTTGGTTTTGTTAACTTGTCATGGAATATTTAGTCATGTTACATATTTCTAAGATATTGTTGACCCTGTTTTGTCCCTGTTGCTTTTAAGCAATAAAAAAAACTAATTTCTGGGGAGTTTTCCATTTTTTCCAGTTCTTCTTTCGTTTTGAGAATACTGCTTTTAGGCAGGATTGTCATACTGCACTTACATGCTCTGATCAATGGGGGGAACTCTAGCAAAGAAATGTATGTGTGTCATGAGATGCCACTACCAGCAATAAGAAGGTCTATTAAGTATGTTTGCATATGTGAAACACCCACAAGGCGGTGAGAGGTCAAGTTCTGGATCTTAAGAGTAAAGAAAGGCAAGAGCAGTGTGTTAGTACTACATGAAATGTTGGATGTTTGTGGTTTGTACTCGTAGTCCATATATTTACTGTGCAAGACTTGGATAGTTACCTTATTTTATTAATGAGCAAATCTGTCCTGGATGTACAGTTTGGGTCATCCCGCATTTACATTGTTTTATTGTATTTTTAGCTTAATCTACCAGCATTTAATCTCATTGCAGATTTAGTTTTTCTCCAAATCTGTTTTGCTAGCTTTTTTCACCCTTACAGACTTGGCAACCGTCAGTCTTTAGAACGACTCCTTTGTGAACTTGAGAAAAAAAAAGAGTGAGTTTGCATTTTTTGCATTTTATTGTTACACATGTTTTAAAAACATGCAGTTGATTCTTGGTTATTTTAAGGTTACTTTGTGGTTAATAGTAATGTGTAGGAGATGACACAACAATGAATGGACAATACAAACAAGGCAACAAACAGTACTACAGTGTAAAACTACAATGTAAGCCTTGTTATTCTTCCCCAAGAGCATTCCTCCGACTCTGAAAGATGCAAATGCAGCAGTGAATTATAGACTCTGTATGCTCGCTAGTCTCTATGACTGATAAACTGATTTGTTCTATCTTCCCCTTTAAAATGAATCATTAACGCAAATGTGACGACAATTAAAGTGGGTGGACATTGAATGCACTTCAACACTTGACCTGTTTCCACTTCTCCACTTCTGCTGAAAGCAGACAGTTGCTGCTTTCTTTGCCAAGATCTTCAGAGATATGTCAACTCAGGGACAGTCCAGTTCTGTTTCTTAATAATACCGCAACTAAAATGGCTAGCAAGCAGCAAAGTCAGCAAGATGAGCCACATGGAGTTGACCTGGACTGCATTCAGTTTTCCTGTTCAGTGTGTTTGGATCTTCTGAAAGAACCCGTCACCATTTATTGTGGACACAGTTATTGTAAAAGCTGCATTGAGCATTGCTGGGATGGAGAGGAGGAGAAGGGTGAATACAGCTGTCCTCAGTGCAGGGAGACATTCAGCCATCGGCCTGTTCTCAGGAGGAACAACATGCTGGCCGAGGTGAGGGGACAGAAATGAACTTAGCACAGACTCTGTAGTTCACAGATAACGTATTAGTCGTATTGTTACATAAGAAATCATCCCCCCCTTTTTCCTGTAATTGTGTAAATAATTAAACAAGTGGAACTGGTTTTGTACCAGTTTGTACCAACATATTTATTTGAACTCCAGAGTTTAACCATTTTTATGTGAACACACTTCCTTATGAAGCCAGCCTCAAAAACATTCTATTTCTCTTTACAGCACATCCTAACAGTTTCTGTCTTTCTGTCTAGGTTGTGAATAAGCTAAAGAGCACAAAGTCAACATGTCCTTCTCTGGTCTATGCCAGCCCAACAGATGTTGCCTGTGACTTTTGCTGTGGGATCAGAATCAAAGCCACCATGTCATGTTTGACCTGCTTGGCATCTTACTGTCCCACTCACCTCGAGCCTCACTACAGTGTTGCTGTGTTGAAGAAGCACGAGCTGGTGGCAGCTACAGTGTCAATACAGGAGAAAATGTGCACGAAGCACAGCAAGTTAAAGGAGCTCTACTGTGAGCAAGATGAGCAGCTTGTTTGCTCTTTGTGCACAGTGGATGAGCACAAGGGCCACGGATGTGTTTCCGCTTCAGCACTCAAGGATAAGGCAAAGGTGGGGGCAAGGAGTCGAGCACATAATGCTACCTTTCAAAGTCCAAATGTTTCTGTGCTCCCAAACGACACGTGGCCATCAGACGTACTCATTAATTACATTACTGATTACTAATATTTAAATGACTCACTGGATGCAACCATGCCTTCTTGCAGAATCAGCTGGCTTTAAATCAAAGGAAAATCCAGGACAAAGTCGAAAAGAAAGAGAAGAAGCTGAAAGAACTGAGCCAAGCTGAGGAGAGTCTCAAGGTGTGGAAAAGCAATGTTTTCAGATCTGATATGTGCATTCAACTGCTGGGTGAATGAGATAGCTGCTGAAATGAGCTTTAGTGTGTTAACATAGTCTCAGTATTTAGCTCTGATCAAACTTGCAATAAGATTTTTACCCACTTGAGGGCACAAACAAGCACTGCTCTCAGCATTTGTTTTTGATTTGCTCTTTTTACCTTTACTTTGAGAGACGTGCTGTTGATCTGCAAATTCATTAGCATCATCAACAAACATGAATCCTCTCATCTGATGACTTTTAGTTTAGCATTCTGTCTTTAGGTGTGATTTGTGCACCACAGGTGGTTGTTAACTTAGCGTCTTTTAATGCTTAACATATCCTCTACAATTGTCTCGGTCTGTGGGGTTCAAAGATCAAGTCGGGTTGTTGTTTTAACTGAATAAAGATAAACTTTTAAACTAAAAACAGATCTGCGATGTGCCAACAGAGTTCTGCTCTGATTTCCCTGAACGACTGTGACAAGATCTTCGATGAGCTCATCTCTTCCATGCAAAGAAAACAGAGTGAGGTGAAGCAGCTGATTAAAGCCCAAGAAAAAACTGCCACCGCTCAGGTGGAGGACCACCAGTCTCAGTTGAAGGAGGAGATTACAAAGCTGAAGAGAACATACGCTGAACTGGAAAAAGCTTCGGATGCAGATGACCTCATATATCTGATGCAGGTATAGCTGCTTACAACATAGCAAAGGTTTTCCTGTAAAATACCTGATTTCAAAGGCCTAAAAAAAGAGAGAACTGAACACAATTCAATCCAAATGGCCAAAATGAACATTACACCAGATATTCTAGACCTGCATGAGATCGTTTAGATTTATGATGGGTTGCTTAAAAAAATGACCATTTTTGTCTTCTCCTTATATTTCACAGCATCTCTCCACTTCCTGGGATTCTCCAGATGGCTCACCTGGAGCTCCTCCTCAACGCTCCTTTAAAGACATAACCGAGTGTTTGTCTGAGCTCAAAGATAAACTGGAAATGTCACTGAAAGAAACATGGCCCATGATCTCAGCCACAGGTAACAGTTGGAAATGTAAAAAGAAAAAAGAAAGCATTGTGGATGAGTTGCTTCATAGATACCCAGTGATTTTTTTTTAATAACTCCAGTTTGTTTCTTCACAGTTTCATATGTTGACTTCTCACTACCTCCGGCCCCCAGCAGCAGAGAAGAGCTTTTACGTTGTATGAAATTCACTTGAAACATTATAAAATCATATAGTAGTCCGTTACAGTTGAAAATAGTGGTAATATTGATCGTACTTGCTATATTTTTTGCCAGATGTTTATCCCCTCACACTGGATGGGACCTCAAACTATCGTTATCTCCACCTGATATGCGAGAATCGCAGGATGAGGCCTTCACCCGGCCAGGCTTCAGTGCATCTGGACAGGTTCACTAAATTTCCCCAGGTGCTGTGCAGAGAGGGTTTGTCCAACCGGTGTTACTGGGAGGTAGAGGGACATGCTCGCATTTTGTCTGTAGCAGTGGCTTATAAAAACATCAGCCGGACATCAGATGAGTCACAGTTTGGCAAAAATGACAAGTCCTGGAGTTTAGATTGCACTGCAGATGGCTTTTTATTCTGTCACAATAATGTAGAAACCAAGGTGCCCGGCTCTGGTCTCTGCAAGATTGGAGTCTTCCTGGATTATAAAGCAGGTACTCTGTGTTTTTATCGTGTCTCTGACCCAATGATTCTAATCCATCAAGTCCAGACTGCATTCATCCAACCTCTTTATCCTGGGGTTGGGATAAATTATGAATGGTATGATACTGGAGTATTTGCACAGCTGGTTAAGTTATGGTAAATCTTTTCGAAGTGATAGAGATGTTAAATATTTTAAGATCCCATCTCTAAAGGATTTTGTCATCCATCGCAAAAGCGTAGCACATGAAGTTGGGAAGTATAAAAATACAAATTCTTCGTTACTATACTTAAGTAGAATATTCAGGTATCTGTACTTGAGTAGTAGAGATACCTGTACTTGAGCTTCAACTTTTTTAAACAAATATTTCTAGTGTAATTTCTAGTCTTATACTCAGGGATTAAAGCCGGAACGAGTGCAGGTCCTCGTAAATTGTGGCTGTGGTACCTCAGCATATATTTAGTGCTACTGAAAAGCAGCAAATATAATGAAAGTATTTTTTTAAGTGGTAGGTAATTTCAAATGCAACATTTCTATTAGCTCAACAAACGTCGGCAAAACACACACAAACTGTTTTAGCGCAGTGTGTTAACCCTAAAGGTTCAGCTGCTGTATCTCACAGTGTGACAAAGTGGGTTAACAGTTGGAATACTCATTACTTGTCTCATAAGTATTAACTTTTTACACATTAAGCACATTATTCTCCACATGTTAGTGATGGCCATATGGCACAGATTCAAGTGGCTCTGCATATTTTTGGCTGCCAGATGGCACCAGATAGGACTGTGTTGAAAAGCTTCTAGTGTTGAATCATGTTTTGATAAAAGCCTCAGTTTTTTTTTTTTTTTTTTTTTGAAAAAATAAATAAACAAATAAAAGCCTGTCTAGAGTTTCTGGACTTCAAAGGGGTGATGAGGTCATGTCTGATGTACCCAGGCTAAACCAACACGTGCAGCATTAGGAATGTTTTCTTTTGTTTGTTTTCAGGTAACGAAGTGATTTTTCAAGACTATCTTTAACTTTAACAGAGCCATTTAGCTGTATTTATTCAATTCAATTCAATTTCATTTAAATAGCACCAAATCACAACAAAAGTCGCCTCAAGGTGCTTTATATTGTACAGTAGCTCCTACAATAATAGATACAGAGAAAAACCCAACAATCAAATGCCCCCTATATGAGCAAGCACTTTTGTGACAGTGGGAAGGAAAAACTCCCTCATAAACAACTGAATCAGGTGCTGAGCCTGTGATATACTGAATGAAGGTTCAGACGTCACTCATCATGTGGCTCTCGCCAAACGAACCAAGCCTCGACACAGTGCTTCTGAAGGAGTGTGTTATTTTTTTGGACACATGCGCTTCAACTTCAAATGGACCATCACTGCTGTAAACCCAAAATGTCTGCTGATTCTTCTTATTTACACCCTTCTTTGACACTTGAGCCAGACTACTTCCCACACAAGGAGAGAAAAGAGTGTGAGAGAACTTTACTCAGAGATAGAGAAAGATGTAACAAAAGAAAGGACAGGAAAGGAAGCCGAGAGCTTAGATTTAAACGTAAGGAGTGCTCATTCATGCTTGATAAACTGCAGACTTAAAGATTACATGTCATGTTGTCATTTGTAATCATATACTGGATCTGTATGTGACATGTGTTTAACCCTAAAAGATCGTTGGGTTTCCCCACCTGTGAATCGCACTTTAACCCTGGACTATACTAGTTTTGTGATTAGATGTGGAGGTTTAAATCAGACAACAGAATCTTTTTGTTTCTTTTACTGCTTGGTTCCTACATAACGCTTCACTCTGACCACTTTCATTAGAAGTACAATCCAGATTTAAATAACATTTGTATTCTTGTATACTAAAATTGTTTTGTTTTTATATTAATATAGCACAAGTTTCACATACATGTGCTTAAAAACAAATGGTAAAAATACTTTTAAGGAGCTACTTTTTTTTTACTTGGAGTACATTTCAGAGGCTGTTTTTTTCACTTTCACTTTTACTTAAGTTGACACATGTATCTCTATCTCTAAAGATTTAACTTTTTAAAGTTAAAGAAAAAATCTGCACATAAGCGGTTTCTGTGGGGACCCCTTTCCCTTCTTGAGACATATCTCTCTTTTTTGATTTTTTTTTCTCTTTTGAATTTTATTTAAAACAGGAACTATATTTTCCTCATAATGGTGGCCAGTAATGAACTGTTCATGTTCCACCTTCAATAAAAATCAAATGAGCTCACCTTAGGCACATCTAGGCAACATTGGGGAGGGAGCTGCTGCTGCTTCGCTCTCTCTGACTGTATCTGAAATTAATAGCCATACATCTATTTGGATAGACATAGTGTCACAGCTATCACTGGCTTGCTGTCTTTAACAGCTGCCGATAGCTAAACTATTCTTAATCTGTTAAATGTATTCTGTTCACTTTTCTTTTGAAAAAAAAATATTATACCTGACTGCTCCCAGTTTGCTTTTTTGTTGGTCATTTTCATATCTATAATTTGCCTGAGAACTTGCCTTGATTGGCAGCTGTAGCCAATCAAAATTACTCTAAGAGTGCATTGATGATTTATCTACAAGGTCACAAAAGAATCTAGAACAACATCTAAAGAATAGCAGGTGTCACATTTCTTACTGAAGGTCAGGGTTAATGATTAAACAACAACAAGGAGATCAAATAACCATCCTCTGTCCTTTTGAACAATACTTTTTAAAAACACTAACTGGAAATGCTCTTGGCTTTTACATAGAAAGTTCCTTCTGATCAAACCAGTACTGGAGGTGACATTTTTGTTATTATTATTATCTTTTTTATTATTATTAATAATAACTGTTATCCTGTGTATATATATATATATATTCTTGAACCAAAAATACAAACTGGAATTGGATGATTTTTGCACTGTGTGCATTACATAATGAAACAGTGATTCATCTTTTGAGGAACTGCACCCACAAAAAAATCTCCTGGACTGATAGGATGACCTTTGTTCATGAAAATGTATTGCCATGTCAGTGCAATGCAGTGTGCATTTTCCCCCGTTATGGAAAATGTGTCATTCATACGATGGTGTTTTCACAACAAGGACTAACGTTTAGCGTATTTTTAGTCTTTATACAAATAGCATGAAAGTTAGATGTAATCTCAAAGGAAAGGTATCTCTGGCATTGCTTGTGCTCTTGGTTTATGTTAAATTGGGTAAACTGTCTACATGAATTAAGAGATTCTAAATTCCTGTTTCAATTGATTCTCACTTCCTGATTTTTTTTTAACGTAATTTAAATTTTTGACTTTCTTTGCAGTTTCTCTGTAGGGAACACCTACATTTTTAAATATTATAAAGGTCTGTCTCTCTTCAATTGTTAATTGTACAAATTTGTCCTTTAAAAAGATGCTGATGAACCTGAAAAAAAATAATTCTAACAGTCCAGGACATTCTTGTTTGGGTGCAATTCCTGAAAGATGAATCACTGTTTCATAATGAATTTTATAAAGCGAATCTACGATAAGATAAGATAAAAAAAAAATCTGAGGGTGATCCGAGCAAGCAGGAGGACAGGCAGGTTGCAGACGCGAATGCTGGATCGTAACCACTGAGGGGTGATTGACGGACAGGCGTGGAGCATCCGTCAGCGCAGGGTTAAACGGTCCTCCAGGTAATTGTCCAGAATGGAAAGCAGGTGTGCAGGTGATCACACACACTCCTCAGACACAGGGCCACGGACCATGACAGTTCAATTACATTTTTTTAGCTGAGTCTACATAAAATGCCACAGATGGGATACAGTTTGAGATGCATCAAATAATATGACTCAGCTGGGTCTTAGCTGAAGACTTGGCATATCTTATGGTGTGCAGTTCGTCCTTAAATATAAAAATATGACACAACGCCATTATTTAACACGTGCTGTTTGCTGAAGCTTCACAAGAAATGGTTTAATGGAAGTATGGCAGTCAAGAAGCTAAACATAAGGTAAACAGGGAGGGAAAAAAAGTTATTCCGAATTACCAACAGTATCCAATACCATCTAGAAATTAAGATTGGCAACAACTTAATTTTTCAACATGTTGTTGATCCCAAACTGAGCACATTAAAAAAATGCATTCCACTACTAAAGCAAAAGCAAATCAATGACTCCCTAAATCGGTTGCTCACAAATTACATGGAAGAACTGGTCACAGCTGTTTCCTGATCCACAGCTTGAAGGGAAAAAAGGTATACAACAAAATTCTAGTGTTTGTCACAGAAGATGGTACTTGTCTCCTGAAGCGAACAATAATTATATGTTAATAAAGAAAGATTAATATACATGAAGATAACAACAAATAAAAGTGAAAATAGTTGCAGTGCAATAGAAACACTTTATGTTACTAAAGTGATTTAATAATAAAGAATAACTTTAAAATTAATCCTAGAAACAATAATGTGATTCTTTGTCGGAGTTGTGTCTCTGTGTTCAGTCTGTGGATTTCCTGTTTTATTTTGAAGGTTCATGTCTTATGTCAGTGTTTCCAGTTTCGCTTCCTGTCTCATTAGGTCTAATTTCTCCAGGCTGTGTTCCCACCTCTTCCTCATTCCCTCATGATCCTGCCTGTGTCTTTATAGTGTGTGTCCTCCAGTGTTCAGCGTTGCGTTTTACCCTTAATGAGCTGTGTGTTTTGCTTCCGTGGTCCCTCGTTTTCAGGTTTTTCTAATGTTTTATTAGCCTCATGTTTTCAGTTTAGGTTTGTTCTTGTGAGTTTATGTTTGGAGTTTCTGCCACAGCACAATAAAGCTGCCTCTCTTCGTTCACTGTGAGTCCAGTGTTTGGGTCCTCTTCTCCTGTCTGCGCACAGCACACCATGACAGCAGCACTATCAGTCACCGATTTACCTCTTCAGTGCTTGTATCTGAAAGTTGTTTAAGCAGCGCAGGATGCTTAAACAACATCTTGAGAAATCCCTGTGAAAAATAAGGCTAGACTAGTATTTAAAAGCACCTGCCTTGAAGGTTTTTAGATTTTTCGGACGTTCGTGATGAAACTATTGACATTAGTGTCAAACAATGTTTATTAATTCCAACAAAAGATATATGAACCCCCGATTTTTCCTCTCAAATAAAAGATGGTCAGGATGCAAGGGCAATGGGACATGTTTTTTCTGCTATGTGGAAAATAAAGTGTTAGTAATGTAATGTCAAATGTGCAAATTAAAGTCCTCAAAAAACAATTCAACCTAGGGAAATATTAGACACACGAGCAGCACATAATTCATATTTTGGACTAAGAGGAATCTTTGGTAAGGATTTGTTCAATTCATTTCAATTTTATTTATATGTCACCAAATTACAGCAACAGTCGCTTTATATTGATATCTCATTTTAGATTAGGTCCCGATATACATCTACCTACCTTATTCTTGCTTGTGGTTGTAACAAATAATTTTTGACAAGGGCACAATGACCTTATGAGAATGCTGATTGCACAAGAAATCAAAGCAGGGTCAACTATAGCATTGCACTGCCACAGTGAAGGCCATGCTGCCAAAATTGTGTTTCAATTTTAAAACACTCAGGCAGCTCTTAATCACAAAGTCAGTAGTGTATGCAAGAAAATGTTGTATATTTATGAATTACAGGCAAGGAAAGAATACCAAACTGTTAATAGCTTCAATTTTGATTGAAGCTGGAAACACTGCTAGCTCATGAGGTCCCAACAATTCTGAAAAACTGTAGGGTGATTCAGGTTGGTCAGGTATTACTCATGTTAAACTTAAATAAAATAAAAATAATCATTCATTTATGTTTATATTTCAAATGTTGGTGAGAAACATGACTACATATTTTTGTTTTCTCTTTTATTTCCTACCAATATTATAAATAGATCTTTTGTTTTTGTTAGATGTCACACTTCCTGTAAAGCAAATTGCGTAGATTTCTTTTTCAGAACAGAGGGAGGGGATGTCACATATCCCACCTATTTCATGCAGAGTATAAAAGCTGAGCTATGAGATGAACAAAGGGACATTTTTGACCTGTTGATTCTTTTATCAGGGGAAAACTGTAAGTATTGTTTTTTTGCTTGTTCTTTTGGGTTTTTTTTTTTTTTTTTAGATATCTTCATTAGACATTATTACATTATACTTACATGATTTAAACAAAAGTCTTTCTCCAAGATTTCAATTTCATTAAAATATTTTTGTCTGTGCAAAATAAATAAATAAATAAATAAATAAATAAAAATGAATCAGTCTTTCTCATTCATCTTTTCTTCCATAATCTCCAACAGGCATAAGTGAGACTATCAATGGGGCAGCTCAAGTCTAAGATTACAGGGTCAGGCCCAGGTATTCACCAGGCAAATCCTGAAGAAGGACCTCCCAGGTACTCCTCACACCATTTTGATAGCAGTATAAATCCAAACTCCACCATCTCAGGCATGTCAAGGTTTGTTAAACGCTAGATTTTTTTCTTTATTTATTCTCTCACTTGTAAGTCTTACATGATACTATTATATCACACTGATCCTACTTCAACTAGCTAATCTATAATCTGTTAAATATGTAAACATAAACAAAGTAAATTAATAAATAAAAAAAGAAAGAAAATCTAGCAATCACTGAAGGAAATGCAGTTTCAAACAGTTATGGTTTCATTATTTATTAACTTTTTCTTTCTTTTTTTCACTGGAACAAAAAGCGAATCAGGACAGAAGGACATGGAGCTGCGAAAAACGTCTATCTATAACACCATAGACATGGCACCACAGTTAGATTATTATGCAAATACACTGCCCCACCAAGAGATCAAAATCAGACCGTCCCTTGATGTTCTGCGCAAAACATTTGAGGTGAGATTTCCACCTGTGGAAAAAAGATCTCACTGTTGTGTTTTTTTAACTTTGCAACTAGTTTAATCAAAAACTGACATTTTATTATATTTCTATTCAGAAAACTAGCAGATCTATTTTCTAAATTATTTATTATTGTTTTAGGAAGTGGAAGCAGAAAAGGCTGCCGCAGATGATGCCGCCGCAGAGGATGAAAATGAAGAACCCCAAGGTCCTCCAGGGAAACCGCCTACTAGATTTGGCTGGTTTATTGCAGTCTGGGTGAACAAAGCTTTTGTGTATTTAAGTCTACAACATACAAATGGATAAAAGACTAACTAAAAAAAGGAACAATTAAAACAAAAACAAAAAAGACATTTTTTTCTTTTCTTTTTATCACAGATGCGCTGCATGCTGAATATCTGGGGTGTCATCCTCTTTCTCCGGCTAACATGGATTACCTCTCAAGCAGGCATTGGTGAGACAACATTCATTCATTGTTCAGCATATTGGGTCCTTTTCATTCCTGCTTTCTGCTGCCAACTCTGGTATATATAACATTGATTTAGGCTGTTAATTCTTGATAGTAGATATACAGTCAAACAGAGAATGATAATTTGGGGTTGAATAAAATACTCACCTTGATTAAAATTTGTTCCTTTTCATCCTGCAGAAGGTACTTCATACTATTGGCATGAGAAATGTAAAAAATCAATAAATAAAACAAATTTATATACGTTGAGAGTACTTACCTAGCCCATTTTTGTGGATATATGACAAAATAAATACAAAATGTATCATAATAACAGAATTGTATAAGATCTGTAGACAAGAAAATTGATACACTACATGTAAAACATTCTTATTCAAGCCCTTTAAACAGGACTTTGATATAATAATTAAAGACCTCCATGATCATAATATTATAATACTGAGTCCTAACTTGTTTCTTTTTTTAGTGTTGGGCTTGGTTATCATAGCGCTGGCTGTGTCAGTGACCACAACAACTGCCCTCTCAATCTCTGCCATCGCAACCAATGGGAGAGTGAAATCAGGTGAGCCCATGTGCAATTTAAGAATTCCAAACAAACCGTCTGAAGTAATCTGAAAGTATGAATACTCTGGATTCCTGTTGAAAAATCGCCATTAAGTCTGTAAAAATGGAAATTTTCAGTTGGGTTATTATTTATTTATTTGAATATTGCATCTTAATAACTTTATTATTAACTGTGTATTATGTATATACACTTAGCATTCAAACTAAAAACTCCTAAAATCACAAATTGAATAAATGATTTTAAAATGGAATGACACAAGTATACGTGTGAGAGGACGCCGCTCAATCTTGCCTTTTAAAATCATCCCTTGAATTTCCAGCTTCAAACCCACAATCCTGTCTGACACTCTCTTTATCTCTATAACACTTTTAAGAAATGTTTCCTTTAGGAGTATTCTCACTACATTTATCTTCACATCAACATTATCATAGAACAGCTCCAATGCTCCTGGCGTTGCTTCCCTTCTTCCTGGTCCCCATTCAAACACAATATTTTTAGTATCCCCCATTCCATCATATCAGTGAGCTCTCTTTTTTGGTGAGATTTGCCCTTAACATTCTATTCTAAAATACTTATCCCATTTGAACTACAAATTTAAATGGAAAAGGTTTTATGCCAGATGCCCTTCCTTATACAACCCTCCACATTATCTGGGCTTGGGACTAAAACTAAGCAGATTGATTTGTCGCTTGTTTCCAATTAAGGCAATTCAGTGGACGGTGAATGGTTTTCCTCAAATGCTCTCGTCCAAAGTAGCTCAAGTAAAATAAAATTGGAAACCAGCCAATTCTGGTCTCTAACTAGGAAGTTTTTGCATCTTTGAGAAATAATATATCTGTTGGTCAAGATATTAATCCATTTCAAAAAGTTCAAATTATTGTTCTGCATCAAATAAAGAAAAAGGAAAATCCATTTGTTATTTGGGTGTAATACTTCTTAAATAATGATAAACTTAGATAATTCAAATGTTTGGTTAAATACAATCATTTTAAAATATCACAGTTATGTTGGATATTGAAAATAAGTGCTTTTCCACAGTCAGAATGTGAAAAACAGAAAACTCAAGAAAGAAAGCCTCATCAATGATATATATATATTTTTAAAAACCTGAAGAGTAAATATGCGTTTGCTAGAAAGCATAATTTGATGTGATGTAAATTTAGATTTAGTGTTTTCAAGAGTGATGGGCACATCACTAAAAGAGAGGTAAAGTAAAAAAAATAAAAGACTAAAAAGACAAAACAGAGTCACGGCACATGCCTGTATCATTAGCCAGAGTTTTCTTAGATTAAATTTTCATACTGATGCTCAAAAAATGAAGTCAGCTGATTGATAAATCTAACCCCATTGAGAATATTTGGAAAATACCGAATACTTTATGTAGCTGTTTGATTCTCCCATAATCATAAGAAGATGGTAACAAATAAAAAAATATTTGTGGACATAAAAATGATATTCCATAAGCTTATCAAAGTTATGTTAGAATGAAAGGTGTATCAAAGCTAAAGGCTGTCCAATGACATATTAGAGAGCGTGATTTTTTTTTTCACTTTAACAGCCTTGTTTCTGCTTATTTTTAAATATTTAGGTGGGACATATTTCATGATCTCTCGCACACTCGGTCCTGAACTAGGAGCATCAATTGGGTTGATCTTTTCCCTTGCCAATGCTTTGGCTGTTGCGCTCCATACTGTTGGCTTTTCAGAGGTTGTACGCGATCTGATGAGGGTAAACAAATAATAATATAACTAATAATAATAATAATAATAAATAGGTAACCACATCTTGTAAAATAATGCATTCTAAATCTTTATACTTTCATATTCCTGTTAATAACTTGTTGATTTTTTTTAGAGCTATGGTACCATAATGGTGGATTCGCTCAATGATGTCCGTATTATTGGTGTGGTCACGGTGACAATTCTTTTGTTCATTACGTTCGGTGGAATGGACTGGGAAGCCAAGGTAAGCAGACCCAAACACATTTCACTTTGTTTGCTGGACATGGGTTACAAATATTGTTGTTTCTTATTAATGTTTACTCTTCATTACACCTGTTTCAATTATCCCTCTATATTCTTTTTTCACTTTCACTCTCGTAGGCTCAGATTTTTTTCTTCATAGTTCTCATGGCTTCCTTCGTTGATTACCTTGTGGGAACACTGATACCTCCCACCCTACTGAAGAAGTCACAGGGCTTCTTTGGATATGACAGTAGGTTTATTCTTCTCACAACAATCTATTTTCCAAAATGTATCTTTGAAAAAATCATTTTGATTAAATTACTTTAGTTATCAGTACTTCTAATAAGTTCTGCCTACCAGTTCTAATGCACTAATCTTCATTCTCTGATGTCAGTTATTCTGGACTGTCACTGACAATATTGAACACGTTATAGGATTGACATGAATTAATTATTGGAAGTAATAGCTGAAAGAGCAAACTTTCAGCTACTTTACAAAATCCTGACGCAACTGAGTGTGCCTTTCATATGCTGGAGAAGAAATCTAAAAGGGCAAACAACTGAAACAAGTACAAGTTGAAGGTGGCTGCAGTTTTCACCAGAGAAGATTCTCAGCAACTGCTATTTTACATAAATTGTAGACTTCGAATACTCCTTGTTTGCAAGGGATCTGCAAAGAAGTACCAAACATGACTGTTTTAACATACGTAATATTACATTTTGTCAAACACTATGGTGTTCTGTTACTTTGAATCAAAGTGTGGAATGTGCAACTGCACTTTAGATCAATTTTCGATTTTACACTGAGGAACATTTGTTGCTCATGTGGGGTTACTCAACGAAAAATATTTATTTGTCCCAAACATCATATGTGTTTACAATAGGGACATGTTTTTAATAATTTAAAGTTTAATACTATTTAAGCTAATATCTCGTATCTTCTACAGGGGATATATTCATAGAAAACCTCACACCAAGCTGGAGAGGTCCTGATGGCAACTTTTTCCGTCAGTTTGCAATTTTCTTTCCTGCATGCACTGGCATCCTGTCTGGAGCCAACATCTCTGGAGACCTCAAAGTATGACAAGCATCAAGAAAGCAAGATGGTTCTTCCACTGAACCCACTAAGGTTTATATGTGAGTGATGACTCTAAAAATATTTTCTTTTGTAGGACCCTTCTACTGCTATCCCCAAAGGCACCCTAATGGCCATATTTTGCACCACTCTCAGCTACGTTGTGATTGTCATCACTTCTGGTAATTACTCAGTTTCCTTTTTTTCTTTGCATTAGACATGGCTGGAATCTAAACTTTAAAGCTTCATTCAGATTCTGTGGTATACAGGCATTTTTTTTCTTGTTGAAACCACCCGTGAGAAAAAGGTCAGACACTATGAAACTGTTTTTTAACTCTGTTCTGAAACTAAAATTGACTGCAGGCGCAAGTACAGTGAGGGATGCCTCTGGAAATATGACTGACCTCATGACTGGAAACAGCACAAGTGGCTGTTTGGGACCAGCATGTAAACTGGGCTGGAACTTCACAACCTGCGTCCAGTCACAGGCTTGTTCACAGGGTTTGGCAAACTACTCGCAGGTACTGGTCAGCTAAGAGATAAATAGCATTTATGTTCATTGAAATTTTAACCAGTTTTTTTTATTTATTTAGGTAAAATAAACATTGTTATTGGTTGTGAAAGGTTGGATCAGGTCTTAAGTTATTTTTTATATTTACACGTAAAATAATCCCATTGATGGTTTTCGATTCTCATCTCACCTTTGGATCTAAAGATCTGAGTTTGAAACATATTGAGATTACCATGCTTTCATGTCTTCTATTATTGTAATGATCTTTTAACAGGTTAACCCAAAAGCATTGAATTGACTATAAATTAAATAAAATGATGTATCGAGGTTCATTAGAAGAATCAATTAAAATGAACATGTTACATTGTTTTTAAGGAATTTGTACTGACTGTCCACTACTTTCAAGATTTAAAATTGATTTACTAAAATTGATTACTTGTTACTTTTTAAATTGTCATTTCCTAGCGCCAGAATATATAGTTCGCCTTCTTTGCCCTTATCAAACAGTGTGCAGCTTTCACATACTTAGAAACTGTATTTTGGCTTCTTTGGTTCTAGAATGAGCTGCACAATGAAATCTAGCTTGCCTTATTAGTATCTACTTTTAAGTTATTCTTATTCTCACTATAAAATTGCCCTTGACTCTTTCATGGTCTTTTTTTGTAATCTTTTTTAATTTCCTTATATGTTGTCTTTTGTTCGTTTAGTGTTTCTTTTCTGGAACTGTCTCTTGTAATGCTGGTTCTATTTAAAAAGTGCTTATTTATTGCTTATTTAAACTGTACTGTTTATTTTTGTGAGCATTTATATTAAATGTGTTGTTTTGAATACATTATTCCAGTTTTTAACAATTTCATTTTGAAACTTTTCTACAGGTAATGGGCCTGATATCTGGTTCATATTACCTCATTGTTGCTGGTGTCTTTGCAGCCACCTTGTCTTCTGCTCTTGGATTTCTTGTTTCTGCCCCTAAAATTTTTCAGGTGAGAACCACCTGGAAAAAAAAGATACATCACAATGACTGAACCATATGTTTTATTTTTTAGACAATAAAATATGGATTGTCTTAACCAAATTTTCAGCTTGTGCAGCATAAAGTATTAATTTTGCAGAGTCGAACAGTGATAGACAAACATCTGACACTAGCTTTCACAGTTCTACTATTTCTGCCATAGTATTTATAAAGATGATCATAGCATTTGAGATGGAACTCAGTTCTTAGCCACATTCATCTTAGCTTTTATTTTGTTTTAATTCAACCTGAATTAATTTAACAGAAAAACTACGGGACACTGCTACCTCATGGGCTCGTGACTTGTCAGTCACATGGGGAAGCACATTGTTTGTTATCACCTTCCTGGAACAGATGGTGACCTTAATGACAAAGAAGCCACATACTTTTTTCCACATACCTTTACACAACTGGTTGCCTTTTTGACACAGATGTCAGAGAACCGATGATTATTAGAAATAAATCAGATTTCCGTCTCTCCAGCATTGCTTCAGCAAGGTTCTGCAAAAAAGAAAAAAAACTTAATTTTTTTGGTGCAAATTCCTATATCCCAACTAGAATAAGCAGCAAAACAATGAAACATGTAATATAGTCATCTGTAAATGTAGTAAAGTTATTATTGTTAAAGAAATGATGTTTGTATTTTATTTCATCCCTCAGTGTCTGTGCAAAGACAATGTATACCCGTATATTTCATTCTTTGGAAAGGGTTATGGCAAAAATAATGAACCACTTCGGGGCTATATACTCACCTACCTCATTGCTGTGGCCATCATTCTAGTTGGTGAGTGTAATTCAGAACTGTCCTCCTACTGTTATTTGAAATATTGTTTCATATATGTGCTGATCGTTTTTTCCCCTTTTGTATTATTACAGCTCAACTAAATATCATTGCACCCATTATCTCCAACTTCTTCCTGTGTTCCTATTGTCTCATAAACCTAAGCTGCTTTCATGCATCAATTGTCAACTCCCCTGGTAAGTTATGTACTCAACTATCGCACTGCACTAAGACTTGATAAAAGCTCATGCCTATTCACTAAACAAGAAATTAACTATTTCACCAGGTCAAAAGTGATGTCTAAGATAGGTGATACTTAACAAGCTGATAAGAAATAATGCGAAGATATATTCCTTTGAGCATCACTTCAATATTTTTTGTGCTTATGCTTAGGGAGGGCAAAAAGAAGGGTTTATATTTCAGGTTTTTTTTGCATGCTGTACTGGACACAGTTCTAGAGATCTAAAATCAGAACGTTTGCATTATGCTCAGATCTAACTGTCCTTCTCTTGTCATCTCTTAAAGGATGGAGGCCAGCATTTAAATACTATAACAAATGGACAGCTTTGTATGGAGCAATGGCATCTTTTGCTCTGATGTTTGCGTTTACCTGGTGGGCTGCTCTAGTCACCTGGTTCGTCATCTCCCTCCTGTTTATATACATTACATACTTAAAGAAACCAAGTGAGTCAAAATCAAGCATAGGTTGGAAGTCAATGTTGCTTTAACAAGAAACATGTCTCAGATGGACAAGTGAAATGCACTGTATTACCTTTCATTTATACTGCATCCGTTTGCATAATGTTTTTTATTACATCAACAGATGTAAATTGGGGCTCTTCAATACAGGCAAGTTCATACAACATGGCTTTGTCATTCTCTGTGTCTCTTACTGATGTGAAGGACCATGTCAAGAATTTTAGGTGAGGGATCTTAAACGTTAAAATGCATTTGTCTGTTTTTTATTTCATGTGTTCTGTTTTCAAAGAGTATTTGTGTGATCATTGTTTTATTTAAAAAAAAAAAAACTGTCAAAATAAATCCTGCTAACATATGCAGAATGGTGAAAGAAGGACATATCAACAAGTGCTGATCACATATCTCAATTAAACATTAGGATAATTCAAATAGACAGTAACTCCCGGACATTATCTTTGTTCTCTGATGTCCTTTTATTAGACCACAGTGCCTTGTCATGACTGGACCTCCAAAACAGCGCCCTGCACTGGTGGATTTTGTTGGCTGCTTCACTAAGCAAGTAAGCCTTATGATCTGTGGAAACATAATGGTGAGTTTCTTTGTTTCATGTTTATTTATAAGTTATAAATGACAACTGATTGACATTTTTGTATCCACTTATTAAAAGTCCTCACAATGGCTTTTTGTTAGAATTTTTTTTTTTTTTAATTGCACATGCTCAGTTCCTTCTGCTTTTCATGGAAGGTTGAAATTGCCTTTTCCAGGAGCCAGACAAGCAGACCCAGTTTCAGGATTCCACAGATCAGTATGTTAAATGGCTAAACAAGAGGAAAGTTCGCTCGTTTTACACTCAGTTTACAGCTAACACCCTCAGAGATGGAGTTCGATATCTGATGCAGGTAGGTCCTCTATTTGACAAGCAATTGTTGCTCACTACCCAAAAGAAACTAGAAAATGAATAATGGCTTCTTACAAGTTATACTGTATGAGTCTCATAATGTTAGATAATGTTAAACCGTTTTTATCAGCATGTGAGTGGCTCTATTGAGCCTGAAAAATTAAAGGTTTCTCGTTGAGTTGCAGAAGACACAAATACCTATGTGGATGTGTCAAGAATGGCATTCTACTTACAAATCAGCTTTTGGTTTGTAATCATGGCATATCATTCCTTTTTTAAACTATAAAATGTTATCAAACATTTCAGTACTATAATACAAGTGAAGCAAAGGGTTGTGTTTAAATGGTCTGTTTAAAAAGAAATGCTATAATTTATATTCTTGTTTAGGGGTGGATTTATGTGTTTTTCCTGCATCTTATTTATGGTGTCATTTTAAAATTCCACTATCTTGAAAATATTGTAAAGTTTTTTGACATTTTCAATATAGATATCCAAGAGTTTAACTCAGTTTAACTTAAAATGTAAAATGCCTGAAATCCCTAAAACTTTTGGCTGTTTCTGACAGCTTCTTCTTCTTACTATTATTATTATTATTATTATTATTTTAATTCAAGGCTTCTGGTCTCGGCAAGCTAAAGCCTAACACGCTGGTCATTGGCTTCAAGTCAAACTGGATGGAAAGTTCTCCTACAAGCATTGATGATTATATCCACACTATATAGTAAGCTTATCATTTTTTCATATTCTGTATGTGTGAGCATCATTCTATTGTAAACATCAAAGATTACATCTTTGAATCAATTCTGAAAAAAACGTTATGGTGTTGTTATGGTTTTCATTTTGGGAGATGAAGAAAACATGAAGGAAAGCCGTGATGCGTAGGTTTATTCTATTTTAACCTCTGTTTTGGTATTTGAATTGACAATATCTGTATTTTTGAAAACTGTTATTCATAGATAGGTAGGGTGGGTTCACGTTACCATCCACGAAAATTTGGCTTACATACACCGTGGTCTTAAGGGTCAACTTAATGATTTGGTCTAAAATTCATAAAAAGCCTTTTAACGATTCTTTTAAAAGTGTGGTGTGCATTTTTAGCATATCGAAAGTACCATACAATATTATAACACCTTCTACTTAACACTGAAATGAGTAAAGAGTCCTTAAAAGTATTTCTGTTGCTCACACACTCTCTTTTACTGTTCTTCAGTGATACATTTGATGCCAACTACTGTTTGTGTATCTTGAGGATGATGGATGGGCTGGACATCAATGACCATGCTGATTTTAAAGGTTGGATACATGGCCTAGAATTCTTTTAGGCATCAATTCCCAAACGTATATATGTATAATTTATATATATAATTTATTTTTTAACGTTAGAAAACCAAGGCTTTGAGCCTGATGAAGCCATTGAAAGCAATGACCATCAGCTTCCTGAGAAAAACTCTGGTAAGCACTTCTAATACAAATATACATTATAATTACTGCTTCTTAAGTACGAATATGGAGTAATCTTTATGATAACACATATCTATTGCTTTTTGCAGCTAATGACATTTCTGAAAACAGCAAAAGCGATCAGGTCAAGACTGTGTTTAAGAATGCTGGGGGAACAAAGACTATCGATGTCTATTGGATAGCTGATGATGGAGGTGAAACATGGCACACGGGTTACATGACAATTTATTAATATGTGTGTAACACTTAGTTGAAACACTGAGTTGATATAAAAGTGTGTGGATTGGGTATCTGGTCAGAATTCCGGGCCACCAGTTTGGGATTCTGACCACTTACTTTGGTCATCTAACTATGATGTCTCTTGGACACATTGTGAATGTGAATCAAAGGATGAGTTGGTCTGTGAGCTAATCTGGAAACACCTAGATCAGTCAGTAGCCAAAGACAAGGAGGTCTCAACATTTCAACTTAGACTGGTGGATGGATAGTTGATAGATATAATTTTAGTGCCAATATTGGCTTTAGTCAAAACTGAATCTTCACCTATCATGTTGAATATAAAATAAACCACCGCTATCTTGCTCTTCTCTAGGACTAATTCTACTGGTGCCTTACCTGCTCACCAGGAGAAAATGCTGGCGAAGCTGTAAGATTAGGGTATTCATTTTGGGAGATGAAGAAAACATGATGGAAAGCCGTGATGCGTAGGTTTATTCTATGTTATCCTCTGTTTTGGTATTTGAATTGACAATATTTGTATTTTTGAAAACCCTTATTCATAGATAAATTGAAATTGAAAGGCGTGGAGGTAAACATTCTTCCAGTAAGTTTTTATTTGTGATCTATTTCTTTATTGTTAAATAATGTATTGATTAAATTGATATAATTTTTTCCTTTAGAAAAGTTTAAAACTGTATATTTTAGATGTACAACACACAGTCGGCGATCAAATTTGAAATAGCACCAGGACTGAAAGAGCGTTTCCCTGCATGCTGTTCAGATTGGGGTGAAAATGTTTAGGAATGTTTCAGGTTATATGACATGGTGTTTGATTTTCAGAAACTGAAGTGCTTTAAGGTTGTTTTTGATTTCTTTCAGAATGATGGCCCTGCTGAAGAGATTCCGTATCAATGTTACTGATGTTGTCGTCATGACAGACACTGAGAGGAGTCCCCAACCCAAAAAGTATGAAAATCTTACCATCTTTTTCAAATAAGACAAAATATACACTTTTACAAAACTCTGTGACGCTTTTAACCCCATAAACAAACGACAGGCATGGAATTTCACCTTAACGTTTCAATTATGAGTCCCATTTTTATTTAGTGAAAAAGATATTTTTAAACATGATGTTGAATTAACTGTAATAGAACACTGGAAGTAAAATTATTTAGAGCATGTTTAATTCTAGCAGGGTGTTTCTTTCCTTGCCAGCAAACTCATTTGTGTCTTTTTGATGCCTTGCAGTATGAATAGGTTTTTGGAGACTGTTGCGCCCTACAGGCTATATGACGAACAGCAGGAAGATGTCTCGGTTCAGGAACTAAAAAAGAAGGAACCATGGAAAATATCTGACAAACAGTTTGAAGCTTTTAGACTTAAGGTCTGTCTCTCTGTACCTCATTTCTGACTAAAGGAGGAGATGACATGCATATGATTGTCCACCAAATTAATTTAAAAAAAATTTTTTATTTACAGTCTGAGAGAAAAGTAAGGCTGAATGAAAT